GCCTGTGCGCGTGCGCGTAGCTCGTGTGTGCGCGTCGCGTTTGCTCGTTTTGCTTGTGCACTTGCGCGTGTGTGCTTGTGCGTGTGCGAGTGTGCGTGTGCGCGTGCGCATGTGCTTGTTCGCGTGTGCGTACCGTGTGCGCTGTGCTCGTTGCCGGGTGCGCGTTTCGTGTGCGCGTAAGCCGCTTGATGGCGGCGCGTGTCGCGGGGTGCGTGTGTGGCGTTCGTGCGGCTTGCGGGCGGGCAGCACGCGGGCGGCGTGGGTGGGTTGTGGGTGGGTGGGGTGGGTGGGTGTGTGGTTGGGTGGGTGGGTGTGTGGGTGTGTGTTGTGGTGGTGGGTTGTGGGTGTGGGGGCGGGGGGGTGTGGGGGTGGGATGGTTGTGGGTTTGGGGGTGGCGTGGGGGCGGGGGGGCGTGGGGCGGTGGTCGTGGGTTGTGTGTGTGTGTGTGTGTGTTTGTGTGTAGTGTTGTGTGTGTGGTTTGTCGTGGTGTTTTTTGTTGGTTGTTTGGTTATGTGTGTGTTGTGTGTGTGGTTGGTGTTGGGTTGTGTGTGTCGTATTTGTTGTAAGTTTTTGTGTGTGTGGGTGTTGGTGTGTGTGTGTGGGGTGGTGTGGGTGCGGTTGGTGTGGTTGTTGTGTGGTGTGGTTGGTGTGTGGGGTGTGTGTGGTGTTGGTGTGTGGTTTGTGTGTGTGGGCACAGAAGTTGGTGTGTGTGTGTGTTGTGTGTTGTGTGTGTTGGGGGTTGGTGTGTTGGTTGTGCTGGTTGTAATGTGTGTAGTTGTGTGTTGGGTGGTTGTCTGTGGTGTGGTGGTGTGGTTGTGTGTGTGTGTGGTTGGGTGTTGTGTGTGTGTGGTTGGTGGGTGTGTGTTTGTTGTGTGTGTGTTGTGTTGTGTGTGTTGTTGTGGTGTGCGTGTGTGTTATCCTGTGTGTGTGTCGGTGGGGTGACTGTTTGTGTTGTGGGTGTGTGTGGTGGTCGTGCTTGCGTGCGTGCGTGCGGCGTGTGTGTGTCTGGTGTGTGTCTGTGTGGTTGTCTGTGTTTTTGTTGTGGGTGTGTGGGGGGTGCGTGCGTGCGTGGCCTGCTTCGTGCCGTGCGTGCTGTGGGTGTGTGCGGCGTGTGGGCGTGTGGCGTGGGTGCGTTGGCGTGTCGTCGTGTGGGGTGTGTGCGTGTTGCGTGTGTGGCTGTGCGTGACTGTGCGTGTGTGCGTTTGTGCGTTGTGCGGTGCGTGTTCGTGTGCGTGTGCGGTGTGCTTGGGTGCGTGTCGTGTGCGTGTGCGTGTGTCGTGTGCGGGTGCGTGTGCGTGTGCGTGTGCGTTTCGTGGTGCTGTGTGCCTGTGCGTGCGTGCGTGCGTGCGTTGCGTGTCGTGCCTTGCGTGCGTGCGTGCGTGCGGCGAATTCGTGACGTGCTTTCGTGCGCGTGCGTGCGTTCTTGCTGCTTGCGTGGTGGGGGCGGTGCAGTGCTGTGCGTGCGTGCTTGGCGTGCGTGCGTCGCGTGCGTGCGTGCGTGTTGTGTGGTGTGGTGTGTGTGGGTGTGTGTGTGTGTGTTTGTGTGTCTGCGTGTGTGTTTTTTGTGTGTGTTTTGTGTGTGTTGTGTGTGTTGTGTGTGTTGTGGTGTGTTTTGTGTGTGTTGTGTGTGTTTTGTGTTGTGTTTTGTTGTGTGTGTTTGTGGTGTGTTTTGTTTGTTGTGTGTGTTGTTTTGTGGTGTGTTTTTGTGTTGTGTGTGTGTGTGTGTGCGTGTGTGTTGTTTTTTGTGTTTGTGTTGTGCTGTGTGTTTTGTGTGTGTGTGTGTCGTGGGTGCGTGTCGTGTGTTGTGCGTAGTTGTAGGGTGCGGCGTGGCCGTGCGTGCGTGCGTTGTGTGTTGTGTGTGTTGTGTGTGTTGTGTGTGTTGGGTGTGTTGTGTGTGTTGTGTGTGTTGTGTGTGTTGTGTGTGTTGTGTGTGTGTGTGTGTTGTGTGTGTGTTGTGTGTGTGTGTGTTGTGTGTGTGTTGTGTGTGTGTGTGTTGTGTGTGTGTTGTGTGTGTGTGTGTGCGTGGGTGTGTGTGTGTGTGTGTATGTGTCTGTGCGTGTGTGTGTGTGTGTGTTGGTTGCTGTTCCCTCCTGTTGCAAGACCATTCTGTGCCAGCCCTTGGTATGCCAAGGGGTCCCGGGGCCTGTTAGCCAAGACTTGGGTAACAGAGACCAGCAGTGAAAAAAGCGTCTGAAACCCACATCCTGATAAAGTGAGAAGAGAGCACCTGTCCTTGTGCTTTGCACTGCTTCTTAATGACATGAACTCCTCGGAAACACCTTTCTTGATTTCCTGAGCGCGCACATGGCAGAGCATGCAGAGCCCCAACAACACAACAAAGCCCTGAGCCATTCTTGAGTCCCTTCGGAAGCTTTTTTCAAGCAGAGGTCACCGACTCACAGGTTTCTCGACTGAACTGACATGGAGAGCGGAGAGAAGCAGCATGCTCTTCTAGGGTCTCCAAGCCTGCACGGTACACTCTCCAGAAGTCTCAGGGATTCTCAGGGGAATCCTGAGGGCCGAGCCTGAACTGCTGTCTTGGAAAAGTCGGATGTATCACTGGTGTGCAGTGCATCCTGGGCTTCGCGGAAATTCGGCCCACTGATGTCTGCCGGAATGGTTTGACCCTAAACCCTAAACCCGAATAAGCTCTATAGAACAAGGGTTCAACCCGTTTTTTTAAACTTAAACCCCCATTCAACTCAAATTTCCAAATTTCTCCAACTCATCTTCTGGGCCCTCCAGCTGCAAGAGCCAGTAGCCGCGCCAGGGCAGCGTCGGCCTGAAGTTTTGGAGCGGCTGGTGTCCGTCCCCCATGTCACCATGAGCGTTCTCAGCCTCTGCCGGATCGCCACCATCGAGGCCTTGTCGCTCAAGACAATGGCTGAGACAAACATGATGCAAACACGATCACCGCCAAATGTGAGAGGGGGAGCCAAAGAGGCAACAAAAACCTCCTCCTCCTCCTCCTCCTCCTCCCTGTTGTCTCTTCTGCGAGGCCACGGCCCAGGTAGAGCCGTCGCGACCGTTCGCAGACCTCTGGCGGCAGAAACTGATCAAACAAATCAACGCGCGCACACACCCACGTTGACACGCGCTCTTCATCTATCTCTCTCTCTCTCTCTCTCTCTCGAGTGTTGCTGTTGCAGATACTGTACGTGTCTGTACACGCATATAGGTATATGTCTAATTCAAACATGTCTATATCTACAAAATAAATAGAGAGATATACATATTATGCAGTGCACAAATATATGTATGTATGTATGCATGCATGTATGTATGTAGACTTGTACGACTGCGTATCCATACAAGTCACAACGCATTCCCGTCCAAACTTCAACCCGGCTGTCCCGAACTACATGGCAGTTCCGACTCCGATAACTGCATGATGACCACATGAAAGCACGCACCGGGCAAACCTCAAGACCATTGTCACAGCAAGTGCTTAAAGCATTCTTCCGTTGGATCAGCAGTGCCAACTAATTGGTACCTATAAATTGTTTTGCTTTGTGGCCAGATGTCTAAAGATACAATAGCCTCAGAAGCCCGCAGGCCAAAAGAAAACAGGAACGCATGCCGAGGATGACCATCTCCGCCAACTGCTTCGCAGTTGTCTTCGCATGGCTGCACTGCGACACCTGCACGACTTAGGGCTTGCAAGCGCCGATCCGAGCAGGTCGCCTGCATCGCACGCTTGAGTACTAATTTACATTCCCTTCTAAGGGGATGGCTTTACCCTCAATAGCTTTGTTAAATTCCCTTAGAAGCTTTCAAGTGACAGGGGGTGCCCCCACCAGCCGCTTGGCTGCATCAGGGCCAACGAGGACATCGCCCTTGGCAATGCGCTCGACGAAGCCTGCGAACATCTGCGAACATCTGCGAGCCATAGCGAGATACCGTACTGTGGTGATTGGAAACATTGGGATGAGATCCTCTTTGAACAAAAAAGAGATCCATCCCTCTCCACCTCCCCCCCGAGACTGAACTGAAGGGCGAAACTCGGAGAAATCGAGGCAGAGACAGCTTGACACCTCCAATCAAAGACCAAAGACCAGGAAGGGTCAACAAGGAGTCAACGTTGACGTCGCATCGCAAATGTTGCGAAAGCCGCTGACAAATATGGGCTTGAAACCTCCAGTATTCGAGCTCTCTCGGCCTCTCCAGCTTGTTGGCCAAAAGACTGGCTCCAAACCCTATATGCCTGTACCCTGGAAAGCCTGAAGTTGAGAAGTTGAGAGGTTGAGAGCCAGAGTCAGAAGGAGAGGCAAAGGCATCGAACGCGGAGAGCCCTCGGATAGCTCGGCAAATAGGACCAATGGCCTTTGGCGCCGGACGCAGAAGAGCTAGTGCCAGAGCCTCGCTTTGAAGAGGTCGATTGAAGAAAACTGGATGGCAAGCGGAATGTAAAAGATATGAGGAAAGGTGTCAGTCCATTGTCTCGCGCCTGGCGCAGGGCCACTGTAGCCACCAGGGCCCCAACCTCAACATACTCAATCGGAGGACTAACAGGGCACTACCGTGGTGGTAATTCCCCTTCTTCTCCTTATTGCTTTTGGGTTCCAAATCCCCATATAAGCCCTAAACCCTTGCTCAAATCTTGGGGCCCCGGCGTCCAGCGGCGCCCGGCGGGAAGCCCGCGGCCGCGGCCCCCTGTGGGAATCCGGCAGTTGGGAAGCCGGGCCCAGCACCTGAAGCTCACGGGCTTTCCTCTTTCCCTCTTCCTGGGGTGGGGTGGGGTGGGAGGGAGGGCTATATGGTTCTATGGATAGTTTGGGTTTAAGGCATATGAAATATGGTTGTATATGGGGAGGGGGGCGGGGTTCTGAAACATTGGCGGGCTGATTTTATGGGGGCTCTTTTAAGGATATTCTTTCGTAATTTGGCGGATCAAGGGGGACGCTAAAACAGACTACCACAGAGTGCCCATCGAGCACATGTAACATGCAACTGTACTATCCTGTCTCAATCAACAGAGGCTTTGTTGCGGCCTGTTTTCCTCAACTGGCCCCTTTATGGGCTGTCGCGGTGCTTCCACTGTCCGACAGCAGACAAACAACATCTGGGTGAGAATGATCAGTTGCGAGCGAAAGGGGCGTGCTACCGAAAAAGTCACCTTGGTCCTTCTCCGCGCCAGCCTCCAGCAACAAGCGGACGATTGTCGCATGCCCATTCTGAGCTGCCTCGCAGAGAGGTGTTCTGTGGTAAATATCGCCCCAATCATCTGTGACCGCATGGGCCTGTAACAATAAACGGACCACCTCCGTGTGCCCACTTTGGGCTGCTTCCCAAAGAGGTGTTCTTCCATAGGTGTCGCCGATGTTCGTGTCAGCACCAGAATCTAACAGCAACTTTACAACCTCGAGATGGGCTCGCAAAGATGCAACCCAAAGTGGTGTTCGCTTGTAGTGGTCTTTGTGGTCCTTCTTGGCACCAGACTCTAAAAGCAAGCGCACAATCTCGCTATGGCCATCTTGCGATGCCAGCCAGAGAGGTGTTCTACCATGGCGGTCGCTCTTGTCTTTATCAGCATCAGCCTCCAGCAGCAAGCGCACAACGCCGGTATGACCATGCTCGCATGCGGCATGCATGGCCGTGAAGCCGCAAAAGGCGATGTCTGGATCGCGAGGTTCCTGTAACATCTCTTCCACATCCTCGACGAAGCCACCAGCAGCTGCGATTGTTAGCTCGGGCTGCTGCTCTGCGGAGACATCGGCAAAAGGAAGCAGGACCAGCTGAACATTCAGGCAATCCAAGATGGCGTTGTCTGCCAGTGTCGCGCTGTCCACTAGGAGCCTCTGCCTGAAACGTGCGAGGCCACATAGCGTCTGCAGGCGTTGCTTCAAAATGCGCACGTTGCTCAGCTCTTCCACGGGTATGGCAACCAGCTCGTCACCTGAAACCTTCCAGACATGGAGCATCCTTTAGCCACGGGCGTTTAGGGACTTGTTCACAAACGGCTTGCCTCTACGCACTGCCAAACTTGCAAAGGGCTGTCAAATACAGGTCCTTCTGCTCTGCTGTACAAGCATTTCAAGCTTTAAGAAATCCTGGTTTTGTGCCCTGAAGCTGCACGAGGCCACATGGAACACATGAGAACCGACACAGCACTGCCACTGATCCGCGCCGGCTCAGCATTTTGAAAAAAGGTGCCTGGGATGAAAGGCGGCCGCTGAGAAGGACCCGCTGGTGCCGGGGTGTACGGCGCGATGACAGGCCCACCTGCTAAGGTTGCTAAGGTGGCTCACTATGTCGTGCCACAGCGGACCATTCATGTACAGCGCAGAAGCAGTGTGGAGTTTTTTTTTTCAGCTGCACGGATCAACTCTCGCGGAAGCTATGACAACGTTTCTGAGCTGCTGGGTCGATTCTTGGGTGACCGGTGTGATGATAAAGGCAAAGCCCAAGCAGACCTTGTTCGATCTGGCTGGGTGGTGTTCGCTTCTTTTACTCTTATTCTTACTGTTATTCCTGTTCTCGCCAATATGACTACGACAAAATTACGGTTATAGCGAATACTTCGATCATTGCGATTGCTACCATTACGAACTTCTTCAGGTTCAACAATGCACTTGACAGCGGAAGGACCGCGTATAAGCATCATGTATTTTCATTCTTGGCATTTTCATTGTTGCACATTGTATATTACATTCTCTAGCTCAATTTAGAGCATGTCCATGGCATGGGCCCGGCTCTTGCTTCCTCTGAACGGAAGATTTCTCAGCCTGGCAGCTGCATCGGCGGCTGGTTGAAGCTCACCGGCGCTGGCGCCTGGCATGTGTCCGTAGTAACAGTGTAGTAACCGTAGGAATACCGAGGGCTTCATCCTCCGGCCCACGCTGCCGGATCAAGAATGAGCGCTTGACACCCTTCAAAGCACGTGACAAGCAAGCCGCTGGTACTTTGCCGAAGCCTCTGCCTCATTTCCCTTTACACCTCCCCACGCAGTGGCCGAGAGACTCAGCACCTCCCAGAAGACCTCTGACACGAGTACCCTGAATGCAGTGGCGAAGCACCGCTCTCGAGCCGGCCGGCGGCTGGTATGGCCTTGGAAACATAGTCGCGTGGAGAAAGGTCTTCGCGATTGCTTTGTGGACTGAAGCGCACGTTGCCCCCTGAGCAGTGAAGCTGAGAACACCCCTTTGATGAGCTGAAACAGCTCGCAATTCTCTGGGCCGACGGAACAACGGAACAGCATCCAACGCATACGGCCGCGACTGGATGTTCTTCGGGACGCGCGGGTCGTTCACTGCCCGGCCTGCGAAACTTTGAGTCAGGGAGAAGCTGGCCGGTCCTGCTTTGCGGCTTTGCTGGTCTTGGGGTCCGTGCGGTGTTGATGGCTGCTTCTTTAGGGTCCAGCACTGCCTTCGGTAGACTTTCACTACAGTGGGAGTAGACGCCAGGGAGAGAACATGAGAGAACGGAGTCGGAGAACGCCATTGCGCTATACTGGAGCTTATAGACTTATAGATCTTATAGCAGATACATGACGCTTGAGCTCGGCGATCAACGCCTCCTTGCTGTGCCGCCAGCTGCGCCATCGCAGCGGGGTCTGCTTCCTCTGAAGCTGATGCCCAGCCCGGAGTTCAGAGGTTTTTGAGTCAGAGGGTTTCGGGATGACTTGGAGCTTCTAGGCTTTTTGGCTCTTTCTCTTGGTCGGTGCAACACGGGGCCTCAGGCATCACCCACACTGCATTGATGCCTCCAGTTGGCGAGGCCTGTGCAGTCTCCACGGGTCAGTCTCAGAGATGCTAACAGCGAACATGTAGAAATGAGATTCAGCATCGCAATAGCTACATGTTGAAGGTGAGGGTGAGTGACTGTCGCACGAATGCCACTCCGCCCAGACCGACTTGCAAAGAAGCCTTTGGCCCCAATTCTGCATGGTTTATATTTACATGTATGTCATGTACAAAGGATGCCGTGGGCTTGGGAACCCTAAACCCTTTTTAGAAGAAGGAACATGGGAACTAGTGCACTTGGGGCCGACTTGGGGGCCGAGCCTGGGAGATGCCGTAAGCAGCACCGTTTGGACCGTAGGCCAGAGCTTTGGTGGCATCCTGTGTGGATCAGTGCGAGGATTAAGAAATATTCCTATGAAAGTCAAAGCAATAACCAGCGCCGAACTGCCCGAAAACCCGAGGTGTATGTCTGACGGCTGAACGGAACGCAACACAACTGTACCAAAGGCCAGGAATGGTTCTTGCGGAGGCCCCCTCCGCCTTTGTGTTGTAGGGGTTGGTCAAGCAGAGGGCTTTTGTCATGGTTGTTTCATGCCCATTCAAGCCTATCACCCAAAAGTAAAGACACCGACCCCCCCCCCCGCCAAAGAAAAAGAAAAGCTACGCAATGCAGGCGGCAGACCTCTGCTTTTTCGCTCTCCTCCTCCTGCGGGGGCTCTCCCCGGATCCAGCCGATGATGCCTCACTTTCCGAAACACCGACTCGTCAGGGCAGGAGGGACCCTTGGAAGGGACCCCTTTGGCCCTAGTGTATCACCGAGATATCCATTTTATAAATAAGTAAATAAAAACAAAAATGAATTTAAAAAAAAGAAATATATATATATATACATGCATACAAATGACTGCCTATATGTCCCCGTGCTCAGCGGGATGATCACAGACCTCGGGCTGCGGCCGGAGACGCCGTCGATGAGAATGTCGCCTACCACCCCAGACTACTGCGACTACGTGTGACTCTACGAGTAATTACGGGCACACTAACGTGAGTCAAGAGAGCGTGTCAACTTGACAACATGACAACCTCAAGACCGATCTCGGTCAAAGGCCACTCGAACAAAAGCACGCACATGCACGCACGGCACGACTGCCTGTGCCGCGAGGTCACCGTCAAGGCAGGCACATTCGCATGCCATCCATCACGCCATGCATGCCATGCACCCTTTATGCACCCTCCTAGAACGTTTCAACCCGCGGAGGCTGGGGATCAGCCAACTTGCGCACACTACGCGGCCACATTCAGCCCGTGCAATCAGCCACTCTTCCCACTTCCCCTCACCTCATTCAGTGCTCAATTATTGTGGGTTTGGCAGGGCTTCGGAAGTGCTCAAGGATCCCAAACCTGGCCGATAACCTGGCTGCTGCCTGCGTCCGCCACAGCATCTTTGACAGCACCCACGGCGCCCTTCTCCTTGAAGTCCTCAGAGTTTGGGTTGAGCCAGGGTTGAGGGTTAGTTAAGTTTGGTCTCAGCAGGCACTCGAAGATCCTACATGTTTCTTTCCTACTGATTTTCACAAGTCGGAACTTCCACATCGAAAGCCCTCAAGCCTGTTTGCTTAAAAAAACATCAGGAACTACCATTCCTGCCTCCACGGTGAGCATCACCTCTTCACCGACCTGGGCTTTTCAACTTGCATTTTGCCACATGTTGCCAGATGGTACCTACTGTCTGGGCTCATCTGTATCGGATTCAAAATGCTTTTCTTTGGGTGGGAGGCTTCTAGCAAGTTGTCTTGAGCCAAGACGCCATGTCTCCAAGGCGCCCGATCGCTTTTTTTGCCATGGTGGCTCCTGTCTCTTCCTGATGAAAAGAGCCCGCGAGAGCTACTGCAGCTGCGGCTTTTAGACTGATTGTGGCTGGTACTAGCAGAAGCAACCTCGTCATCGCACTTTCCGCATAGAGTGGGAGCTACTGGAAGTGGCAAACCGCGCGTGCATCGGTGCACATATCAGCACGACCCAGCGGTTACTGAATGGGAATGTCCCAAGTCGGGGCGCCCCATCACTATTATGCCCCCCAAAAAGCATATTCTATTACATGACATATACATATATACATATACACACACACACACACCTCTTTTCATTATTTCTAGGCCCCCAAACAGGGTACAACCCCAACTCTCGGAAACCCTCGAATCCATTTTGTGCCCGCCCCTCTGGGGGTGCTCCTCAAGCGGCGGGGGATTGACATTGCCAAAGCCTTGAATTCGCTGGGCCAGCATTGCCTTGGCACTCAGAGACGAGCTCTCTCACTGATTTATGCTGCGAATGCCCTGATTCACTACACTGCGATCCTGCAATGTCGTTTTGCTGTCTTTTCCAGAGGCCAGGGGTGCAATGAGCGCAATGGCTGTGCGCCTGAAACCAAAACAGCAGACTGCGATAGTCTCCAAGTGCTCCGAGATTGTGACCCTGTCTGCTGGCTGACCCGCCGCCATCACGGTCTCCTTCGCAACTTGATGCAACTTGGCATGGCTTTTACTGTACACTTCGTACGGATGCCAAAAACTGCGCAGCCAATTCCAAGCCTGCGTTGCGCTACAACTAAGCGTGCAGCCTTTCCTGGCAACACTTTCATTGTCTTAGGGCTCTGAGAAGCCCACCCCATCAAGAACACTTCTTCGGGCCGTGTCCTGGAGACGTCAGTCGCACGGACGAGACATTGACGCGCAAGTCTCGAGAGAACAGCTGCGACACATTGGGGAATTCGTGGGAATTAGCGGGTTCAGATTGCTCGGATTTTTTGCTCGACTCGAGACTGTATGAAGAACCTGATCTCAACTTCGCCACTTTCCGCATGATAGACGAAGTGGCCGTAAGGGCTCTACGCAACTTTGTGTGGCAGATGCTCAACAAAGAATCTCACAGATCATTGACAGAGTTGCGGTTGCACGCAGCAATAGACATAACTAGACTTTACAAGCCGTTTCATAAGTGGGCGGCACAGCATTGTAACTGGATTTAGTGAAGTCAACATTTTGGGATCAATCAAGCTGATTTCATGTTGATTATACAAATATTGCTCTTCCTAAAAATAGAATCCCCCATTCCACCATGGTGTTACTTCTCTTGAACGCCATCCCTTTCCTCACCACCTTCACACTCCTTCACTCCTTCACTCCTTCACTCCTTCACGCCTTCACTCCTTCACTCCTTCACTCCTTCACTCCTTCACTCCTTCACTCCTTCACTCCTTCACTCCTTCACTCCTTCACTCCTTCACACCTTCACACCTTCACACCTTCACACCTTCACACCTTCACACGCACGCGCACACACACACACACCCAGAGAACAAAAAAACACAAGTATGGTAAACTGCTACTCTGTAAAACCCAGCTTGTCGGCCCTTTAAAACGTTCTGCTTCCACTCTCTCAGACACACATCAAACACAAAACTCCCCTTTCAAGGTGAGTCCATGTTTCTTTCATTCAAGGTTATCTCTTCCCTGACCACACACACCCCCGCGACCCCACTCCCACTTCCTACTCCTTCTCCACTACTACTGACTAACAATGATAGTAATATCAAAATGAATACTTAATGATTATGGTTTATTGAACTACAAGGCACAGCCGATCGGACCCTTTTCCCACGGCACACCACGTTTGCGGTGTCGACCTCGAAGCTGACTAAGTTTGTCATGTCCGATTTAGAAACACCTCTTGTCGTCACTTCTTACAGGTTCACAAAAATCACCACAACAAACACGTGCTATCGCGGCGCAAGTTGCCATGTCCCTTGGCAATGGTGATGAGTGATTGGGCTGCCACGGTCCTCAATACTAGTGTATCCAGGAAGGGCTACACGCTGGGAGGCCAAGACCCACATGGTCCAGTTCCCACGTACAAGCTCTCGCATGGGAAGAGCCGCGGTTGGCGACCAAGTTGGCAAATGCATCCTGGCCAAACGGAGCTAAGCGGAGGCGGCAATCCGTTTAACAAAAACACGGTGCTCACCATCTAATTAGTCACTTTAGTCTGCCAAACCATACGCGATGCCCACACATGAATGCAATTCGCCACAGTAACGACCCGAATGCATGCCGCGAGCATGGTTGACAGCCGCCTGTGCTTTCGTGTCTGGCGAATCCAGGAGGAACTCATGCACGGCATCCGTGAAGGTGGCCGGGCCCGTCAACTCCTCTGTGGCCTCAACCCTCCAGGCGAACTTCTCGCGTATCAGCTCCAGGCAACGGAGTAGAACCTCAGCGCTCTGACTGGTGTTCGTCCTGTGAGACAAGATGGTTCCCCCTTGTCATGGTACCGGATACAGCATTACAGCATGAGACGACTGTAGCTCCGAAGCAGCTGAGGGGCCGGATTCCTGGGTGCCGCTGCAAAGAACCACTGCTCGAACTGCTCAGTGCGCGCAAAGTGCACATTTAAACGTTCGGCTTCAGTCAGGTGATGCCCTGTTTCATAGCCCACGATCCTGGACTGTCTCTACGGAAAGAAAGTGTATTTGCAATCGTTCCTGCAGCTCGTGACCTACGACGTACGACACAACACTGTGAATACACAATCTTTCGTTCCGTAAAGCACCCAAAGATCATATCAGCCTCATTGGGGAAGGACAATTGAAAAATAGGCACAAGGCATGACATGTCGATGTCGGCATAATAGCCCCTGTGAACCCAAAGCACAAGGTAGCGGAATGCATCAGCACGCTGAACTGGCAACGGCCCTTCCAAAATTGGCCAGATCAGTTCAGGCGATTCGCTCTGAACCAGACTTCAGTGTCGTTCCAAAGTTTGTGCTCGCAGGTCGGGTTCTGGCGGCTCCAAGTCGTGCGATTTCCAAGTTTGATGGATCACACAGGGAATCTCAGCTGGCCCCACATGTGCTTGCCCGCGTGCTCGCCGGTCTGATCGGGATGCTCCAACCTGGAGCAAACTGCAATGTGTGTAGTCAAGTTCCCGGGCTGGAAGCAGCTTGAACCAGAACAAAAACGCCAACAACCACACGTGGCATCAATATGCATCAATGTGGTAGAAAGGCTGAGTTCGATCCCAGAGATGGCTGCAGGGGACCCGCTGGACAGCTATGTTCTTGCTTGCATGCTTATGTTCAGTTCATTGTTCTTCTCATTGCTGTTCCTCACGTTTCTCATCCAGTGCTTGGGTAGCTTGGGAAGGAATTACAGTCCGGCGTCTTCATGGCAACTCCCTTCTATCCTGAGTGTCGACTCTAACAAACCAGTACCCAAACCAGAAACACAATGGCTCCGCGGCTCGTTTTTTCGTGCTGCCTGAAGCGCCCTTCAGACCATGTGATTCCGCTGTGGTGCCACTTTCACAGGCACAACACCAGCGACACCACGTTGCAGTTTTTCAAATTTATTGCGTGTTTGGTTTTTCCTGAATAACTATGCGGCATCATTTTGGGGAGGAGCGCTTTCCTTACAATGCATCAGAAGACCTCCATTTCTTCCACATTCTGTGAGTATCTAAACCTCCGTTCCATTTGCACGTTCCGGCTTCTCTACATTTCAACAGGAAAACGTGTACATCCCCTATATCCCCGAAACACTTGCACCGTCAGGGGTGCTTACATTGATCCTCAACGAAGGCGAGTTCGGACTGACCTGGCGATGTGGCCCGGATGCCGCGTGCCCGTGTCGCTCTCGCTCAGCGCTGTGCGTCTTTCAGGGCCACGAACGGCGGTGCGAAGCTGTACTCCCATGCCCTTCTTTAAAGCTTGCAGCGTTGCGTGTCGCCACAACGTGGCAGCTGTGATGCATCTTGGAGTGCAAAGGGGTAATCTTGGATTGGGGGTCACCTTGGAGATTGGAGTGGTCTTACAAACCCTGATCCCAGACACGGCCCTAAATGGCTCAACCTACACTCCACCCCAAAACAGTTACGCATCTGTCGTCTCGTTCTCCTTCAAAAACTCAAACTTTGGGAACACGATGGAACACCCTGAGTTCCCCAAATTAGGGTCCCCTGTTGCAATACGGAGACTTGTCCTCTGTTTGGGTGCCCAATACAGGAGCATGACTTGAGAGCTGCTCAGAGCGCAGATTGTTCAAGCGCAGGCCGTCAGCATGGCCTGAGGCGCATGTCCCTTTTCTCCGCTTCGGGCGCCTTTGGCCCCAGCGAATTACCATGCCACTGGGTTTAGCATTTAGGGTTTAGGGTTTAGGGTTGACTAGGCTTAGAGGGGTGTGGGATTTGGAGCTCAAGCTTCGTTTGGGCTTGAAAGGGTTGGGCTTCAAAGGGAAAGAGCTGACTGCGCAGTGCCTTGCAAGTATGAACTTCCCTGCAACAGGTAAGTGGAGATCAGCTGTAGCCTCCAGGTGACAAAACCTCCTTTCAGAGGAGGCTGCAAATCAGGCTATGGGGAACGGCTTTTGACAGTCGCGATATGCCCAGGCGACCGCCGGCATCATGCCGGTTCCTGTACTTGCAGTCATGTGGGCTTTGGACTTAGGGCAGTTTACAGAGCGAGGGTTTAGGTGATGGGGTTTCGGGTTTCGGGTACTCTGAAATACAACTGTTCTTTTACAAACCCTGCCTGAGAACACAATGTCCGCAATAGATTCAGCACACAGCACATCCACATTGCCTTCTTGTTGGCAGTCATTGATGCTCTGCAAGATGTACTCGATCGCCCACCCGAAGTTATCGATGGCATAGATAATCCCCCAAGCACACTCCCGCTTCGCCTGGGCTATAAGCTCGCCGCAACTTGCGCATTGGAAGAACGTTAGCCAGCTGTGCACTGTGCACCTTCATGCAACCTAAAGCGTCCAAGGCCCTCACCATCCCTCACCCTATAGTTATAAACTCAGCAAATCCAAGGCCAGCATCTTGAACCCTGAGCCCTCCTGAAATCCAAATCCCAATTCTAGTCCAGCATCTGGCTCCGTGTCCACGGCAATGCATTCTTTCATCTCTTCCACAACCTGCAGGCCAAACCTGGCGAAGAAGCTGATCCTCAGCCGCCAGCTCAATGTTCTGTTGGGTGTTTCCCTGGGAGGAGCAAGGACTCTTCGTTTAGCTTCGTTCTTGCTTGTCACAGAAGCTTTCTAGGCCAAGTGTCATGGCCTGGGAATCAAAGAAGCAGCTTGCTTGTGCCGCCTCCCAGATGGCATTAGCCGGAGAGCCCCGAGTGCGCAGGCTCCGGCCGAAACGCCGCCGGAGCGGCTTAGGCTTGAACTGCTTCAGAAACTGCCGCCGAGAGCGCCTCTGGCGAATCTTCCGCAGCAAGGCCTTCAGCTCTTGAATCCTCGTACCCGTACCTCAGCCGTGGGGGCTTCTGGCAGCTTCACCCAGCGCGTGACCTTCAAGCAACAGCAACAGCAACGGCAACGGCAACAGCAACAGCAACAGCAATCCTAGGACCACAAGAGCTGGGGCGCCATTGAATTGACGCAGCGGGTCATCAGAAGTCTCGAACCGTTCAGTTTGGTTGCCACTGCAATCGCCGACGATGGACAGAGCATCAGAAGCCAGCTGAGGGAAATTGCCAGCTGTCCACGCAACGTTTGAAACGCAGTTTCCAGGGACCAGTCCTGCAGAACCGGGGCGGGGGGGGGTGGGGGCGCCTTTCAAGCCTGCAAGCGACAATCGACCTCCCAGAGCCCGTCCTAAATTCTCCAAATAAACACCAAGGTCTCAGGGTAGGGTGAACCCGACGTCTCTCTTGAACCTTCCCTTCGTCAAAGTCCTTGGGTAGCGAATATATATATATATATATATAATCCTGAACGAATACCATTAAGAAATTATTCCTGGAATGAGCATCTTGGGAAATGAACACCCGCACGAACAAGTTTGAACGCCCCCCTTCCTCCCCTTCCCTCCCCCTCCTCTACGCTCCGCTCCCCTGCGCTCTCTGGTTGTTTTCTTTTAAGGGCTTGTTCAAGGCTTGTCTTTAAAACCTGATCGGTTGAGGGAGTAGGGTTCGAAAGAGAAGGCCCGAAACTCGAGAGGGTTTAAGGCTTTAATCGCCAAGCCTTAGGGCCTATAGGGCTTAGGCTTAACCCTTAAACCCTAAACCTGTAAACCTCATCCATAGGGTTTCATGGTTCAGCAATGACACTTAAATCCTTAACCCTATGGTGAAGTTTAAAGGTTTAGGTTTAGGGTTTAAGATCTAGGCATTCAAACCTAACCAGCAAATAGACCTACACCCTTAACCTTAAAGCCCTAGGGTTAAGGAGGTTAAGTTTTGAAGGTTTGGGGTTTCAGACTTAAGCATTTAAACCTGAGGCCATAGTGTTTAAGCCTTGACTAGCCTTTAGGATTTAGGTAGAAATTCCGTTCCTTAAATAGATGTCGCTACATTCGAAAGAGCTTAAGATTAGAGACTTAGGGACTAAGATTTGGGATCCTCCCGTTTTAGGGCCTGTCCAACTTGATTGCGGAATATAGTGAGAGGTGAGAGCTGGGGAATAAAAGTACGGCAATACGATTTAGGGAACAAGATTTAGGGGCCCCGCTCTCTTTAGGACTTCAAATGAAAAGGACTTTGGGTTCAGGGACCGGGGGGGCGCAGCCCCCCCATTTGCTAAACACAATGCTCACACGATGTTTTTCAACTAGTTTCTTGGACTTTGAAGCACGCTTGGTACGGTTTAAAAGAAGCGGGGGGCGTTGGGGGGGCTGCGCCCCCCATTTGCAAACACCCTGCTCACATGATGGCCCCCACTTGCAAACACCCTGCTTACATGATGGGTGTCAACTAGTTTCTTGGGCTATGAAGCACGCTCTGCACGGCTTAAAAAAAGCGGGGGGGTTGGGGTGGGCGCAGCCCCCCATTTGCAAACACAATGCTCACACGATGTTCTTCAACTAGTTTCTTGGGCTTTGAAGCACGCTTGGTACGGCTTAAAAGAAGCGGGGCGGGTTGGGGGGCGCAGCCCCCCCCCCCCCCTTGCAAACACCCTGCTCACATGATGGGTGTCAACAAGTTTCTTGGGCTTTGCAGCACGCTCTGCACGGCTCAAAAAAAAACACGGGGGGGGGTTGGGGGTTGGGGGGGGGGGGGGGGGGGGGGGCGCAGCCCCCCACATTATTTGCACACACGATGTTTTTCAACTAGTTTCTTCGGCTTTGAAGCACGCTTCCTTTCTTCCTTCCTTGCTTCCTTCCTTTCTTCCTTCATTTCTTCCTTCCTTGCTTTCTTCCTTCCTTCCTTCCTTCCTTCCTTGCTTCCTTCTTTTCTTCCTTTCTTTCTTTCTTCCTTCCTTCCTTCCTTTCTTTTTTCCTTCTTTCCATCTAAAATCTACAAGAAATAATGCTTTCCTATGAAAATACAGAGGGAATTACGGTTTTTCGTACGAACAACCACGAAAATGCATCAAATCCTTTAAAAAAATATAGAGGGAATGGTGGTTTTCTTAGGAAAAAACAAGGAAATCGACAAAAAAAAAAGACCCCCCAAAAAAAAGATACCCAAAAAAATAGGCCCTCCTTTCTATAAGATTGTTTAGGGGCTGATATGTACATCCCGAGGCTAGAAGGGCCACAAAACCATGGATCCATGGGGGGGGGGGGGTAGCATATATACATATATATGCCATTGAACTGACGTGATAGCTGCAGTTACCCGGCTGCCGCTACACTTCAAGACCCAATTCACAACAGCTCAATCAACCTTCCAGAAAGCCCTAAAGCCGAGCCTGAGGCCCGTGAAGCTTTTGGCGTAAGTATCAGGGCGTTTAGGGTTTCTGAGGCTAGCCTCCAGCGCAGGTGCTGAAAGCGGAGGCCAGATACGAGGCAACCCAAGCGACGGATGCTTGAACACCTGGGGCCAAGTCAACAATCCGAGTGCCGTGTTGAAACCATCCAACAATACTTCCAATACGCAATGCTCCGAAGGATTTTGACTTAGACCTGCCTGTAACGTCAGCTGAAAGATCCACATCTGTCGTCGCGATGGTACCTCCGTCCACGGTTCGGATTGATCACACACACACACACCCACGCACATGCACCCGCACGCCCCCATGCCCGCACGCCCGCATACGCGCGCTCGCGCACACGCACAAACGCTGAGTTTTGGCCCCCGGTGTGTTGCGAGACGTTTTGAAGGATTTTGAAGAATTGTAGAGGCAGTGCAGAGGCTCTGGTTGCGCGGCTGTGCGGGCACTCGCTGTGTTTGAAGGCGTTTTGGAAGCTTTTGTAGGAGCTTCTCGAGGCGGCCGGCCGTGGAGGCTCAGTGACGCGTTTCGGGGCTGAGTTTGGATGCCCGGGGTGCTTAGAGGAGGGTGACCGTCGAGTCAGGAAAACGAGTCGAACACGCGCAGGACCAAGTCAGACAACCTGGGAGGACCGAGTCACCCCATGCACGTCAAACGTCTCGAGGTTCCGTGCAAACTTGCTTCAAGCATAGATGAGTTTTTGAAAAAACCTCTCATGAGAGCATTGTGTTTGCAGGGGGGGGGCGGGGGGGGGCTGTGGCCCCTCCAAAGCCCCTGCTTTTTTTAAAGCCGTGCAAGCTTCCATCAAAAGAACATTTTCAAGCGCATCATAAACACCATAAACCCTAAACCCTACAGTAAGGGCCCATAAACCTGACACACCATTAACACCTAACCATAAACCCTAAAAAAGCCCTAAACCCTAAAGCCTTAAAAATCCTAAGCCCTAAGCCCTATGCCCCACCTCCCCCCGAACGCCGAAACCCCCTAAACCCTGAACCCTCAGAACCCCGAAGGCTAACCGTCAAAAAACACCAAACCTGAAACCTCAACAAACCCATAAACCCCTAATCCCTAAGAAGAAAGCCTCCTGGACCCTAAGCCCTGAAGCGAGAAATCCGTGCACCCGAACAACCCCTAAACTCCAAACCCCAAAAAAACCCGTAAGCCCTAAACCCCAAAAACTCCTGAACCCTAAACCCTACATTCCCCCTAAACCCTAAACCTCAATATCCCCGCCTTTGTTCAAGCCGTGCAAGCTTGCTTCAAGAGAGCAAGCCATGAGTCTCTGTCGAACCCATCATCCAAGCTTTGTGTTTGCAAATGGGCGGGACTGCGCCCGCCCCCCAACCCCCCCCCCCCCCCCCGCTGTTTAACCCGTGCAAGCTGGCTTCAGGCACTTTGTTTCAAACCCATCATGCGAGCATTGTGTTTGCAAAATGGGGGTTTGCTCCCCCCCCCATCCCGCCCGCATTATTCTTTTTCGACCAATCATGCGAGTGTTGTGTTTGCAAATGGGAGGGGGCTGCCCCCCCCCCCCCCCCGCCCGCTTGTTAAGCCGTGCAAGGCATTTTTTCCTAGCCCATCATGTTCGCAAATGGGAGGGGGGGGGCCCCCCCCCCCCCAAACCCCCCCCCCCCCCCCCCCCCCCCCGCTTTATCCTTTTTCGAACACATCATGCGTGTTTTGTGTTTGCAAGGGGCTGCCCCCCCCCCCCAAACCTCCCCGCTTTTCAAGCCACGATGGACCCCGAGCCCGTTCAGATAGTTCCCTAAACAACCCTAAGCCCTAAACCCTAAAAACCCTAAGACCTAAACCGTGAAACCCCTAAAAACTAAATCCTAAAATGTGCGAAACCCTAAACCCCAAAAACCCTAAACCCTAAACCCTAAAAAAAAAACCGGAACCCTGAACCCCCAAAAAGCCCCGAACCCTAACCCCTGAAAAACCTCCAAAGCCTAACAACCCGTGAGCCCCTAAACCGAAAAGAAAACCTAAATCCGAAAACCCCTAACCTCTAAACCCAAAAACCCTAAACCCAGGATGTTTTCGATTCAGGCTGCATGTGCTTCCTGTGTGCGGGTCCGGGCTGGTTCCAACTCAGGGTTCCCACGAGTTTTCGACTCAGGTCGGCCACGTTCTCGACTCAAATGGCTTGACTGAGGTGTACTTTTCCCGACTTGACTATCAATCGTTTAGAGGATGAGTGTATAGAGGCGCGTTCGGGCATGTAGCATGTTTAGAGGCATTGCGCAAGCATTTTTGAGGTTTTTGGGATTATTTGGAGGCCCTGGAGGCTGCGCGTTTCGGGCCGGAGTGTCATGGTGCGCTACGAAGGCATGCTTCATTTCGGCGCCTGGCAATAGAACACAAGACAATTTTCTATGATTCGGGCTGCTTCCACAGCCTGCTGGCGCAGACGCAGGCTTGTCCTCACAGCCCATACTGTTCTGGGCACTCACTCTGGGCATTGGCAGTGAGTTTCTGGCCTTTGCCTATAGAGTGCAGGGTGTGAATGGAGGATGCGTGGACTCACTACTGGCCCCTGTGCTCGCATACGGTTCGCGCATCCACTGCCGTCTGGCCTGTGCGCTTCGGCGTCTGTGCGGGCACTGGGGAGTTCATGGAGGGCGTGGGGTGGCCAGTCAGGGACCTCGAACCTTTGCTGGAGGGTTGCCGATGACGCTTGCGGAGGCTCCCTGAGACGGCGGAGGGGACGGCACCCTTTGGCAGCCGTACCCTGCGTGCCATCCATCCATCCATCCATTTTCTATGATTCGACAAGCCAATTCCTCTGAATTCCTCATTTACAAGGTTTCGTTTTGATGCACGTATCGGGACTGGCATCGAGTCACAATGGTGTAGCCAAAGTTTTGGACTTCGCGATGCTGAGATGCACCGCGTCAAACCCCATAGCGTGTGCACACAGCAAATGGGAAAGTGCCACAGGTTCTCCTGGCCATCGCTGCTACGTTGTGACACGAGGTGTATTGGCGCAACTTGATGCGAGATGAGCTGGGGCCTAACACAGCATCAGCGATGACTAGCGACATCCAGCGATGAGGGCCGGCCGAGAGCTGATATCCAAAGTGCGAAAAATGCGCAGTTAATAAATGTAGAACCCCGGGGTGCCCTCAGCAGTTGGGGCAATTTGTTCTTATTGCAGGGGTCTCGTGTCCTAGAAAATTTCTGGGGTGCCCTCGGCTCGGGCTTGATTCTTTTGATCTGCAGTCTCGAAATTGAGAAATCCAGGGTTCGGGAAGCCCGCCAGGCCCAAATGGAAATTACGAAATGAGGGGCTGGGCCGGGCTGGTCTTCTTGCATTTGCCACCCTCTAGAGGATTCCAGAGGCAGGCTGCTGTAGTAGATCATAAGCCCGGCGTAGGCAACATATTGCAGCGACTGGTATACGTCGAAGAAGCAGGTGGTCCCGTCAAAGGCTTTGAGGGATTCCTGAGCTCCATGAAAACTCTGAAAGCACGGGAATAGTGTTTGGGGCTCAAGGCCCCAACTCCAAACCCTAAACTCCCTAAACCCTCGTAGTTGGGGCTTCTAGAGTCGAGGATCGGCCAAAGCAAGAATACGTGCAGAGAACGTTTGTGCCCTAGCTTGCATCCCAAACCTGCCACCACGTAAGTCGGTACCTCAACAGCCCATAACCCACCCATTGCTGTAGGTTGCCTAGAATTCTATAGGGGGCTTGACGATCAGAAAACGTATCATAGCCCTAAGAACCCATAACTGTTGCACGTCTCCTGACAAACCTCTAAACGGGCTTCTCAGCAATGACCTAGAACAAAGAACAAAGGTGGCCCTGGCAGATTCTGAAATCGTCGACGTGTCCCGAAGAGCGCCAGATCCCTCAATTGGAAGGCAATGAAGGGGGAACCCTAAACACCCTAAACCCCTACGTCGCTGGCCAGCTTCCGGGCTAAAGATGTCGGACGTCGGCGGCCGCGCTTCAGGGTTCAGCATCCTCAGGAAGCGTTGTTTTTGTAGGGCTCTGAGGCCCTGTATTCGTAGGTCATTCTGGAGGAGGGTAGTTCGGGGGTTCGAATAACCGCGTTAAGGGTTAACGCAACAAAAGGCTCAGAGCATCTCTTCACTTTGCGGTTGGAATCTCGGCGCAGGAGCAGCTCTCTAAGGAGCTGTACCATGGAAGCTCTACTCCCCATAAGTCCAACCCGCAGATATGGTTGTGAAGGTTCCCCGTTTTTTGTTTTCACGGACAAAACCTTCAGAACAAAGCCCCTAGAAGGACACCAAAGGTAAAGCGCGGAAACCCACAGCCACCATTTCGTGAGTCTCTAGCCGATCCTAAAGCCCAAAAACTCTGTGAGAAACTGAAGAGGAGAGCCCATAGCTTGCGGCGCATGGTGGCATAATGTGGCATAGTGTCACCTCAAACCCAACCTCTCGTGAAAACTCTCTGGCGCTTCACGCCCAGTCTCTCAGAAAGCTGCCTCAGCAGTGCTCTTTCGGAGAGGTGTCTGGTAGGCTTTGTAGGCTTTCGAGCCGGCGTCAAATCAGTCAAAGTCGCATCTTCAGCCAGCACTCGGGGCTCTGGTAACTTCGCAATCACCTTCAGAGCCAGAGCCCCAAAACCATGGGGTTTAAGACAGCAGTTGGAACCTAAAGATCTTCTTATTATCCCTGCATACATACATATATATATATATATACATATACATATACATATACATACATATACATATACATATACATATACATATACATATTATATATACATATACATATACATATTATATATACATACACGCACATCTACACATACAATACTGCATTCTATACCTATACATATACACATATATATATATATATGTATATATGTATATATATATATACTGATATTTATTTATTTCTGTGAATATTTATTTATGTTTGTATCGAAATTTGTATTTGTATATATGTAAATGCATATATGTAAATGTATACATCATCTATAATCATAGACTACGCCTCTCTCAAAATGACAGTTTAATGCCAAAACTGCTAACACCATCTGTGTTGGTCCTTCTTGCAGGCAAGGCACCTGCACAAATCGGGGAACATCGGCCGAGTCAGACAAGACCGGAACAGGGAGATCTTCCCACATTCTTCGTCCCAGGCCATCGCGTTTCAAGCCAAACGAGCGATTCGCATCTGCAAGGGCCTGAGCACCGACGGGGTGCGCCTGGCATGCCACGACGAACCCTAAACTCTACTCTAAACCCTAAACGTCATTGTCTTTGTGTATTCCGAGAGATCAACCCCAAACCTTAAAGCTTCTTGAAACCACCCTCGCCCTAGGCCCTAGACCCTAATTGAAAAGGGACCTTCATGGCCGTGAAGAGCTCCATCAGCTCACCTCGGCCACTCCGGGAAGGCTGCATTGGGTTAAGGGTTTTTAGGGTGGGGGCGGCTTACGTTTCAAGGCTCATGGGTAGCTGTCTAGAGGGAGGGTTGCAAGAAGAACGTCAGATGAGGCCATGGGTCTAGTTTTATACCATGCTATCAGAACTTCCCTTGAACCCCCAAGTGGGTTCTTTAGGGCATGGGATGGCATGCGGCCAGTCGTAAGCCGCGAGTTGTTGATGGCCCTGGACCCTTGAACCGGTAAACCCACTGAAGCGTCCACTTGAGTCGCTGAGGTCCAGAGATCCGCCGCCAGGGTCCGAAGTCCGTGTTAGCGAGGCAGGCGAGGATGCTGCCTCTTCTGGGCTCCACAGAGCCCATCCTGCCAGCAGCGCCAATGCCCAACAAACCTCAGGAAAGGCTTAGCAGGTGTTTGAAGGGTTTGCTTTGGAGCTTAATGTTAACCTACTATTACTAAAGCCCCTAACATTAAAGTACGCCAGGTGTCCCGGCCGCAATAATAAAGCCCTGGAAATAAAGTACGCCAGTCGGGGCTTGTTTTTTGTGGGGGGTCCGTTTTTCTTTGTTTGTGTATTTTCTGATCCTCTCTGATTCTCTCTGATCCTCTCTAATTCTCTCTAAGGAAAGGAATCCTGAGTGATTCTCTCTGATCCTCTCTAATTCTCTCTAAGGAAAGGAATCCTTATTCAAAGGGGCCTCACTCTATTTGGGGGGTTTGATTGAAGGGGAGGGTTTATTATTACTAGGTCAACATTATGGGGTTTGGGGTTCAGGGTTTGCCTCCATACTGTCTGAATGATCCTACTCATTCCAAGAAGCCACACCAAGGATGCCACAAATTCCAGCCACCCTGGTCCCAACATTTCCAACGCACCATTGCGAGGGCCCCGACGGCCAACTGTCAGGTTGACTGCCTTGATCAACCAAAATGTCTGTCTCGCCCTGCGTCATGGCTCCAGCATGCTCAAGCGGGCAACATGCTCGAGCCAGGAGAGCAAGGCCATGCGCAAGGCCATGCAAGGCCACAGACCGCAAGCCACTAATGGGCAACTAGCGTAGCACTAGCGTAGCCAGTGCAACGCGTGTAACACAGGCTCGAGGCATCATCCAAAACACTGGCATGTTATTCAAACCCATGCTGTGAAGACTGAAGCCTAAACTCCCCTTGAACCTTGGCGGTTTTGAATTTTCCAGTCGGCAAACAAGGTCTCACTTGACACAGACTCAATGGATTCCATTCTTTGTAGGATCTGGGGGCTTCGGGGGCAACTTTGTGCGCCACGGCTTTGGCCCTGGCTTAAATTAATCTTGCTTCGTAGGGAATTGAGGGAACCGTTAATTCTCTCTGATGATCCCTTGAAAAGTGATAGAGGAAAAAGGTACCACAATTCCTTCCTGGGCCTCGAATTCCCCACTTAAGAACTGGTCAGTCAGACACAGAAGGATCCAAACAGGGTCGTTGAGTCAGCGCTGGGCACGCTGCTTTCTCTGTGAAGATCCTTCTCGGTCAGCAGCTGCCATATTTCTGGCTGTTCCAAGATAGCTGTCTCCAATTGTGCCTCACGATCAACTAGCGCCTCGAACATCATCAGAAACATGGCCACTGCACACACCTGATTGTCGAGCAGCTGCCGAGCTTCTTCCTCCAATCGGAGATCTGAAAGAAGCTCGGCGATGATTCGCTTCATGGCCAACTCTGTAGATGACACCCTGGAAACCATCTCTTCCTGCAACTCGATCTCGGCACTCCTTTCGTCGTAGTAGTTCTGGCGCAGGAGGCCTGTAGTCAGCAGAAAAGCCTTCTCCGTGCGGAGCCGCAGGCTCCGCAGCTCCTGCCGAAAGCTGGGGGATTTGAAGAGGAGTTCCACGGACTTTCGCAATGACTTTTCCTGATCTGTGACGGGGTTTTCGCTGGCGGTCACCAGGGTAAGGCATTGCCAGGTCTCGTGGCACACCTTCATGACCCGGCGCCAGAGCTCCTGTCGCCAGGGCACCCCCAAACACCGGGGCTCTCGGCCCGCCTCATTTCCGTCAGAACTTGCGGCACGGAGCAAGATGCGGCCCTCGCGCCGCAACTCCAGGGCTTTGGCAGTGCTCAGGGGATATCCTTACGTCATGAGCACCAAAGATAGTCAATGGACCAATCGCACTTCCAAAAGATTGGTCGGACAAAAAACTGCTTTCATCAGGTATGGGACTGCTCATCGCCTCATCCACAAGCTGGACGAACTTATCCAATTTCGCCGTGGCGCGAATGCTCAAGGACTCATCCGTAAGGACGTCCATCAGCGTCGCGACAAGGATTGCCAGCAACCTAGGACCCGGCAACCTCGAACCCCCAAAATGATCTAAACATCCCGAAACTATGCTGTATAGATCCTTGTTCTTGACATCTCAGGAACTGGCTGAGGATGTTCTGGTAGTCCGACACGCACTGTAAACGAACCCCATCAGGCTTGTCGAGCCCACCAGACTGTGCAAAGTGCCCTATGCCATCAAAGGGTCTCAAGGCCGAATTCGCGTAGAAGCAAGAGAACATGAGGCCAGCGTAGGAGAAGGTCGGGGAGAAAAAATATACAAACAAGGCGAGGTATTCGAAGGAGAAGTAGATCATGAGGAACAAGGTCGCAGCCCCGTTCCAGCCAATGGAGGACTTTAGCGAAGCACACGTGCCCACGGTCAGAGTCCCCAAGAGAGAGCCAAAAGCCACACCCATGAAACGGTCCATGTTTTTCTTGAGGGCGGCCGCCTGATTCCCGCCCTGGAAGATCAGGTAGGCCACGGTCCCTGCTGGAGTGGCATTGAAGGCTGGCACGAAAGAACCGGTCCGCATCCCAATACCAATCCTTCCAAGCATGAAGCACAGCATGAAGGTGAGCAACAGCTTCAGGCACTGCATGGCAGAAGCCCACCTCTGCAGGTCGGCTCCCGGCAGCGCCCGAAGACCTTGCAGAAAACCTCGGCAAGGTCCCAGCGCTTTCTCTGATGGCTCGAACTCGGCCATAGCTACCAAGAGGTCGGCAACCTTCTGGCAGTAGCCACTGGTACTGGAGGCGAGGGCAAACTGCGGCAAGTGGGCAGAAGTGAAAAACCGCTGCCAGGATCCCTGATGCATCAACCTGCTCTTCACAGCCTCATGCGCCCTCACCTGGCCATCCTCGAGGGCACTGAGCCAGAACTCCAGATGAGATTCCTCTTCGTCGTCCCAAGACACCCCTCGGACCGCAGCCTGACAACTCTGCTGCAACGCACCCCTGGTAGTGTCAATGAGCTCCAGAAGAGTCTGCGAGTCGAAGATGTGGAGCGAACGGAGGAATAACTCTCTCTCCACATGCTTTGCGTGCTGAACCGCCATGACCATGGACTCAAGCCAGCCCGTTAGAAAGTCAACGTTGCGGCACATCTCGATGAGCATCAGCCGAGACTGGCCCGCGACACCCAGATCGAAGCATTCCCACCAGCTGCTGCGCAAAAGGCTGCGAATCTCCTCCAGTTGTTGCTGGAAGTTGTGCACCTCGACTGCAAAGACGGTGGCGGTCTGGGGCCTCATCCTCAAACATCCCATCTCCAGGAGCTCTTCCAAGAGGCGGCCGTGAGACCAGGTCAACTCAAGCATCATGGTCTGGGCTTTGGTCAGGGCGGAAATGTTCATCGCTGCAGCCACACCAACGGCGAAAATGCAGCCTACCACCGTGCCCATCAAGGCACCTGTCTCTGCTGCGTGGAGTTGGACATATAGGCCATTGCTGAAAAAAGTCTGGTCAAAAGGGTTCAAGAAGCACATGGAGAAGTAGGCCTGCCAGGACAAGGCATACATCTTTGCGTTTGTGTCAAATCCTAAAGCGAACATCAGCAGCAGAAACACGAAGAAGTCCATCCAGCCAAAAAACTTGCTGCAAATGTCGTCCTTCTTCACACCGTCGGGATAAAGGTAAAACATCAGCCAGCAGTTCAGCACTGGAAGGAGTGTGCCGTAAAAGCCTGTCCATGCCAACGCGACGGTGCTCCCCAGGTCCACGTAAAGAGTAAAAGCCAAAATCACTACAACGTAGCTCATCGACCAACCTTGCCGCTCCCACCACTCCAGGAATTCAAAGGCATAAGTGGCCGCACAAAACGCTGCTACCAATGCAGCCCGCAATGCCAAATCTGCATGAAATGCAAACTGGACACCGTAACGGGGGCCTTTGAACACCTGTCGCTGTGTACAGCTCAATTCCTGGGGAGGTTTGGCGAGGGGCTGCATCTCCTCTGCTTTGTTGAATCTGTGTCGCCATCGGCGCGTGTTGAGCTCCACAATCCCCAGAGTCAGCGCAAAGCACCCAATGAAACCAAGACCACATGTTGCAAGCACGATCCAGAAGTCACGGGAAGCACCAAAGGCGATATGCGCACTTTGGCTAGTTTCTGGCCAGGTTCTGCCAGATATACCATGAAGAAAGACAGAGTTGTTGCTCATCGCAACGATTTTGAAACAGCCACGATGCTGCGGAATGATGATCCTGGTGCTCAGTTGCTAGCTCTTGCCTATCTGACAGCCTCTCTGGAGAAGCCTTTGGCAAACCGGGGGACCAGGGGGCGATTTAAATGTTGGGCCCTTTTGGGGATCCCTTTTATGGTATCCTCAGTACACTCCTTCAAGTTTCGTTTACACACTGCCCCATGACTGCCTGCCCCGCCCCTCCCCCCCCGGCACAGAAGCAGAATTGACAGGGTGGCATGAGCAGTATGACAGGCATGTGCAACACACCGGAAAGCTCAGGAACCGTCCACCCCTTGTTTCATGAAGGTCGCATGCCGAGTGGACCCTGGCCCAATCGCAGCCTGTTGCTGTACAGAAGCTGCAGCAGCGCGCACCAAGTTCTGGCGCGCACCCTTGGAGAAGCAGGAGAACACTGCGAACTGAGAACACAACACATCTCACAGCCACACTTGTGGGCTGGTAAGTACATATTCGGTCGCCCAGTCATCGCGCCCATAGGTCCAGACATGAAAACGAGGGCTTGACCCTTTTGCCATATCTGCCGTAGCGCTGCAAACCTGGCACCTTCAGCAAATCTGCCGAACAAAATCACAAGCACTTTTGGTGACCGATGGTCGCGCCACTCTCGTCCCACTGGCCCTTGGAGATTCATGGTGCTCCCGGGCTGTCAGCTCCCTCTCTGATTCCTTGGAACATCGAAGCACCTCCAGGTAGCCTCACTCCCCGTGATCAATTGAAAGGGCGTGTCGTGGATGCCGCTGGCCGCTAGCCTCCTTGCCCACGAAGCTGGAATGGAACAGGACCTTGCGTGTGCCGAACTCGCCTTCTGGACGGCGTGGAGAGGTGTTGGGCATGCCAGGCAAGAGCCCTCACGCACTCGGCCAGCTACTCACTTTCTCTGTCACGACACACATCTCAGTCTGGCATCGCTGGTATCCGCTGATGGCCCACAAGACACGGCCTCCCGGCAGCGGAAGCGCTCGGAGCCCACAGTGATGATGATGCCATCGGGGCAGCTCGTACGTCGTGTCGCGGCCCGTGCTGGCCGCTTCATCTCGCTGCCAAAGTTCATTTTCAAGCAATCCACGATGCCATGGTGCGGCTGGAGGGGTAGAGAGAGAGAACCGCCTGGAAGGCAACGATGGTAGGAACCTTGGCAATTTGTTCGGATGGATCTAGGAGGAAGCAATAGAAGATGGCACAAGGCTTTCGGCGCTCGACCTTGTGCGTCAAACTCAAAGCCCTGTTTTTATGTGCGGCTTGCCTGTGGTGTACAGTGCCTGGCCTGTTGAGCTGCAGATGGCGGAAAACACAAAGCCCAAAACCCAAACCCGAACCACCAAATCCTAAATGCGGCATGAACCGAAATCGGTCACTCTTGGACTCCCGAGCAACAAACACCAAGCGCATCATCAAGGCATCAAGGGAGTTCTGGAATTTGGCGGGTGCCTCCTGCCCATGGTTGGAAACTGAGAGCAACAGGCACGGATTCAACACCTGCAGGTTACAAGATCGAGCATAACACAAAAGGACCGCTTTTCAATGTTTCGTTCATGTTTCGGCTCTCGGATTCTCTTGTTCCGGCTTCTGGGGTTCTTGGTTCCCTTCGATGCTGCCTTTTCGGCTGTATACGGCATAAGACCTAGTCGATTCATTCCGGGCTTGATTTCGCCCATGCATTTAAGCACGTATCAGAATACGGAGCATTAGATTGCGGAAATTCACGAAGGGTTTAGGGTTGAGGGCCGTCGTTTACACCAACAACCCAATATGGGGATTGCTGCTAACGCTTTAATAGACGTTCTATGTGAAGGTCAGGTTCCCTTCTGCATATATATATATATATATAGACACACACAGACATAATGGAAGTCGAAGGCTTTTGGGGCGAAGGGCGCCCTGTCTTCAAAGGATCGGTTCCCTTTGCGTTCAGCGCTTCCTCCATAGTAGCCCTGCCTCACGGGACCAGAAGGTGGTACAACGAGACCACGGCCCAGGCAAGGGAGGCGGCCTCCGAGCGCGCAAGTGATGACGGAGCAACGACCCCACATCAACTCCTGATCCTATGCCTCCGATTGCGTTAAGCCTCCCAGGACATGGCTTTATGAACTCCGGCCATGCACAAACCCAAGTTTCTACGCTGCCCAACCCTGCGCTACCCAACCCCTGCCCACCCCGTACCGAACACCATCGAACACCCGAGCCCTGTAAGCAGCCCTTATAAGCCCCCTTCCCCGCCCCTTTCGGAGACTTGGGGCTCCCGGGCTCCCCATCAGAGCCTTTGACACGGACTGGCTGGCGATGGCCGCGATGTCGGCCCCGGCAAAGGGGGTGGACCTGGAGTTGAAGCCTTTGAGAGTTTGGGCCGCTTTTTCAGCACATTTACTCGGGTGTGGGATTTGTAGGGTCATGTGGCTTTGTGGCGGTTGGGAGAAGCCTCCGGACCTCTCAAATTCTGCAAATTCTGGGGACCCAGCACGCCGAAGCCAGGGACTTGGATCTGGAGCACAGCCTGAGAGCTGGAGCGCAAGCCACAATTAAGAGGTGCTGATTCTTTATGCGCGTGTCTGTTAGCCATTTCTTTCTCCAGCTCCCCTTTTGGAGGGCTTCGGACTTCTTCCTTTCCTTTGGAAGGGCGGGGGGGGAGGGGGGTCGTGCTGCTGCCGAGGCCCCAACAGGCGCTGTCCGCCACTCCACCACCTCTTCGCCAGCACCCTCTCTCTTTGCGCAAGATCCACAGAAGAGCCTAGCGGCTAAATCACACAGCCCCTCAGACGGGAATGTAAAGTTCTCGAGGTGCCTCCGCAATCAGCTCCACTGTCCAGAAATCCTTTGCCTCACGTTGGGTGAACTCCGTTTTCTAGTCTTTGGTTGGGGCGGCGCGGTATTGCAAATCATGTGAGCGGGGACTGCCTGATGGGCTTCTGAAGCCGGGACCCACTGCCGGCTGTGCACTTCCGCCGGCTTTATCCGCAATTTGATCCAATGTTCAAAACATATCCCCCAAGGAGGTGCGACGGCTACGCTGGGAGCCAGACAGCACGAAGGCCCGGGTTGAGGACGCCTCGGTAGGGCAAAGCACTTGTTTTTCGGGTTACATGGCGGATTTTCGGTGAGTGATATACTTGATAGAAAACACATGAGTATAAGAAACCATGTGATATATATATATATATATATATATGCTCGCCCCCCCCCATGATCCACACATTTGGCCTCGGGAAGGGGGTTTTGGGAGGGGGGGGGGGACTCCAGACTCCAGATTTCCAGAAAAAATCTGGAGTACCCGGGCCCCGGACTCCAGACTCCAGATTTCCAGAAAAAATCTGGAGTACCCCCAGACTCCAGACTCCAGATTTCCGTACCCCCAGACTCCAGACTCCAGATTTCCAGAAAAAATCTGGAGTACCTCCAGACTCCAGACTCCAGATTTCCAAAAAAAATCTGGAGTACCGGGACTCTGGACTCCAGATTCTGGAGTCTGTAATCTGGAGTCTGGGGCCGCGAGTACTCCAGATTTTTTCTGGAAATCTGGAGTCTGGAGTCTGGGGCCCCGGTACTCCAGATTTTTTCTGGAAATCTGGAGTCTGGAGTCCGGGGCCCGGGTACTCCAGATTTTTTCTGGAAATCTGGAGTCTGGAGTCCGGGGCCCGGGTACTCCAGATTTTTTCTGGAAATCTGGAGTCTGGAGTCCGGGGCCCGGGTACTCCAGATTTTTTCTGGAAATCTAGTGTTTAGGGTTTAGTGTGTAGGTTTCAGGGTTTAGTGTTTTGTGTTTAGGGTTGAGTGTTAAGTTTAGGTTTTAGGGTTTAGGGTCAAGCGGCTCGGCTAAAACCCAAATAAAACCCTAAACTCTGAAATCCAAACAGTAAGCATCTGAAACCCCGACGGGTTTTTGGTTTCAGGTTTAGATTTAGTAGGGCTCGAGGTTCTGGCCTTGGGGTTTACTGTTTAGGGTTTAGGGTTTAGTGTCTAATGTTTAGGGTTTAGTTTGAAATGTTTAAGGTTTAGTTTTTGGGTTAAGTGCTTAAGTGTTTAGGGTTTCGTGCTAAGTGTTTGGGGTCTGTGCTAAGGGCTTAGTGTTAAGTTTTTAGGGTTAGTGTTTAGGGTTTAGTGTTGAGGGTTTCGGGTTTGGGTTTTAGGTTAAGGGCTTTAAGGATTAAATTTTTATTTACAAATTTAAATGATCTGGGGACGGCACCGGGGCTGCCCCACACCATTGACAACTTAAAAAATCCTTCTGTTTAGGCTTTAGGGTTTAGTGTGTAGGGTTTCGTGTGTAATGGTTAGGGTTTTGTTTGTAGGGTGTAGTGTTTAAGTGTTTAGGGTTTAGAGTTTAGTAAGGGTTTAGTGCTTAAGTGTTTAGGGTTTCGTGTTCAGTGTTTGGGGTTCGTGCTAAGGGCGTAGTGTTAAGCTTTTAGGGTTAGTGTTTACGCTGGTGCTTAGGGTTCAGTGCTAAGGGTTTCGGTTTTTTTTGGGTTAAGGGTTTAGTGTGTAGGGTTTAGTGTGTAATGTTTAGGGTTTAGTTTTTAGGGGTGCTTAGGTGTTTAGGGTTTCCTGTTAAGTGTTTGGGGTTTGTGCTAAGGGCTTAGTGTTAAGTCTTTAGGGTTAGTGTTTAGGGTCTGGTGCTGAGTGTTTATTAAGTGTTTAGGGTTTCGTGTCAAGTGTTTGGGGTTTGTGGGCCTAGTGTTAAGTTTTTAGGGTTAGTGTTTAGGGTCTAGTGCTGAGTGTTTAGGGTTTAGTGTTACGGGTTTCGGGTTTGGTTTTTTGGATTTAGGGTTTTAAGGATGTTTACTAGTGTTCAGGGTTTAGTGTGTAATGTTCAGGGTTTAATTTTTTGGGTGTAGTGTTTGAGTGTTTAGGTTTCGTGTTTACGGTCTAGTGCTTAAGTGTTTAGGGTTTCATGTTAAGTGCTTGGGGTTTGTGCTAAGGGCTTAGTGTTAAGTTTTTGGGTTAGTGTTTAGGGTCTGGTGCTGAGTGTTTAGGGTTTAGAGCTAAGGGTTTCGGGGTTGGATTTTAGGGTTAAGGGGTTTGAGGGTTTTTGCAAGTTTACATGATCTGGGGAAGGCACTGGGGCTTCCCCAGACCCACCTAAACATTAAACATCCTTAAAATCTTATAAAAATCTTTAAGCTTCTGTTTAAGCATTCTCAGGATTATGAAGGTTTTAAGCCGTTTAAGCCTTTAAAGACCTTAAATTGCTTACGTATTTAAGTGGCTGCCCTTTGCGGATTTTAGAGATTGTTGAAGTTGCCAATGGTCTGGAGAAGCCCCGGTGCCTTCCCCAGACAATATAAATTTTTCAAAATCCGTAAAACCCTGAAATTCTTACAGTTGTAAATGGCTGTCCTTTTAAAGTTTAAAGATTTTAGGATGTTCAATTCTAAAATCCGTAACTTCCTTAATTTTAAACGGCTGCCCGTTTTAAATTTTAAAGAATTTTAGACTTTTAAGGGATAAACGTTTCGAGGTTGTTAAGGGCTTTAAAGCCTTTTAAGATCCTTTAAATCTTGAAAATTTTGAAAGGCTTTAAATACCTTAAAGCCCTTCAAATTCGAACTGCCCCTTTTAAGGATCTTTAAAATTGCAAATGGTCTGGGGAAGCCCCGGAGCCTTCCACAGATCATCTAAATTTTTACAAACCCCTAAAACCTAAAACCCTGAAAAGCCTTAAGCTTCTAAATGGCTACCCTTGTAAAATTTTATAGAGCCGCAGAACACAAGTTTCAGAAGCAAAATGCACATAAAAACACTAGTGTTTTTATAGAGGATAATATAATAGAGCTTTTTGTATTCCAGTGCAGTTTTTACTGCATTTTTCCGGTGAAAAAACAGAACATCAGACAAAGACGAAGACAGGAAAACCATAGGTGTGGATCATGGGGGGGGGGGGGGCTGACCATATATATATATATATGTGTACCTATATATATATATCGACATATCATCAGGATTCTACAGAAAGACATATAGCGAATTGAAATGTACAAAATAAAAACACATATCTGGATTTATATGTGTGTTTGATTTATGTATGGGCCCTTTTGGATTTCCGGTTCTACCTAACTAAAAGCTGGGGATCTTTAGACGAAATTTTGGACTGTGGGCCCGCGGAGTGATGCAGGGTTCTTGCGAGTCGGTACCCCCTCCGGAAAGCACACCCTTGGTAAGCCCAGCGAGGTTACCGAGGCCCGTACCCAGCTCGATAAGATAGCCTGGGCAGCTTCTCCAGTTCACATTGTAGGGTTTTGGATGGTGTAGGGTGGCATTGGGTTCAGAGTCAGGGCTTCAATGTTGGGTTTCGGGCTTCATGACAAATCACGTAGAGGCCAAGACTAGACCTTCTGATCTCTACATGCGAAGCTGGCAGAATTCTGAAGCTCACATTGTACGACTCATGTGATTCTGTGGGCTGTGTATGGAAGTGTCCAAGCACGCATGTAAGCAACACTTCCGCTGCATTCCGCGACTTGACGGTTTGGAACATTGCGGGCACTTCCTACTTCGTTTCAGAACCTTCCTGCCGACACGTTCCTGTACCGAAGTTCCGTCACAAAAAACGCTCAGCGACTCCCTTGCTCTGCCGTGTGGCTCGCGGCCAGAATTGGCCGCGACAGCAGCAAATGCATCGTGAGGGAGTTCTGGAGTTGGCAGGTGTGCGTGCCTCCGGCTGGTTGGCAAATGGTTTCAGGGCCATCCAACACCCTACAAATGAAAACCAGCATGTGTGTGAATGTTTATCAGGGCAGCAGCCATATGAATTTAATGCACGACTCTGGAACTACAAAAGTACGAATCCGCTGCTCTCATGCAACCCAGAGAAAACATTGCATTCTTTGGAGCCTGCGCTTGAGGGTTTCACTTGGGGGGCTTAGGGTTGACGGCTGAGAGTCTCTTCTCATCGATCTCATCGCACGCACCCTCACAAAGCCGAAAAGAGTTTCACGCGGTGACGCCGCCAGCAAAGACCTCGAACGCTCTCCTTCGCTGAAGCTAGAGTAGACATATATATATATATATGTATATAAATAAATATATATATATATATATATTTATTTATTTATTTATATTTATATTTATATTTATATTTATATTTATATTTATATTTATATTTATATTTATATTTATATTTATATATATGTATATATATATGTATATGTACATATATATATATATCTACATATGTACAATACAGATGTTTATTCGAATGTATGTATACAGATTTTTTTGACATCCTGCAGCCTTTTAAGAGGTCAACGAAACGAGGGTTCGAGGCCCAGGCCGTAGGTTCCGATGCTGGGGTCCAGCGACAAGGCTTCGGCGTTGTTGCCTTGTCTATTGGTTCAGGACTTTGGGTTTCAGGGTTTCCAGGTTTCAGGGCAGTTCTGTGCTTTGGGTTTTAGAGGGTTTTGATCGTAGGGGTTCGGACGGATGGTTTCTAGGGCAGTTTAGGGTTAGGGTCCTGGCCTACACTACCTGGGCACGTAGGCAGCCAAAAAGCTACCGTAATATGAAGAAGTTACAAAGGTTTAAGAATTTGATGGCTGGGCATGCAGCCATTTCGCATGCACTGGCGACAGTCTGACACGAGGCACCTCCACCAGAGAGGTCGCGAAACCGCTGGCACAACACCTGACAGGTGCTTGCAAGCCGAGTGTGCCGCAATCAAAACAAAGGAAGACCCAGTTGTTGCACAAGTCGAAGCTCCACAGGAGGCGAAGGGGCCGTTCCTGCTGAAAACATTCAAAGTAGACGAGCCACAGGACTTCAACAACACATGGAGCACGATCCCTGGCCCAGCCTTTGTAGAGGTTGGAGCCACGATCGAGATCTCAGACAGCGCAGCATCACTTGCAAACAAATTGCGCTGCTCTCTACGTCAGATTCAGCGGATTCTGATGATCTACCGCCTGATGTAGTGAGGAGTTCTGGCCAGCCGCTAAAGTATTCAGCGGAGCTGCTCGCCATTTCACTATGCCGAGCCCAGAAAGGGTAATGGAACTGTGTGCCATATGCCTAGGAAGCTTAGTGCATGTGCCCTTTCAACAAGAAAGCCGAACAACATGCGAATGCGGCCTTCTGCGGACTGGGGGCCTTTGGCACTGTTGTCTTGAGGGCACAGTCTCAAGGGAACGTCGACCCAGGTGCTTGTGCCCGTACCCTGCCCGTACCGATCAACATAGGGACAACGTGCTTCACATGGACTCAATGGATTCTTCAGCGCCCTCGAGATTGGGCAGATGTCCTGCACAGCGTGCATGGCAACACAGGACAACCCAAGACACTCCAGGAGCAAACGTGCATGCTTGCAGTGTCACAGTGTCATTCTTTGTATACGTGGCACCATCCCAGGAGCGATCCCACTGCTGTTCTCCTGGCGATCTGGCCTAGACCGGTGTGCTAGTCGTCTGGGGCCACGGCGTGTGCAACACGTCCAGGTGCAAGCTCCCTGCGTCTTGGACAGGTTGAGCCCCTTACTTTCAGGCCTATGCCTGTGGGAGCTCAAACTCATGCTTTACAGAAGACTCATGACTGTTGCTGATGACTGTTGTTGCTGGAACTGCATCCGCTCCCTCACCTGGACTCTGACTCTGACTGCTACAAACCGGCCTGGCGAACGTCATGGCCACGCGGACGAAGTTCACAACCTCATGACGGAGCACGTGGGGCATGTCTGACCAAGCTCCTGCTGGATGCCCGTCGAAGGCTGAGGGCAAGTTAGATATTGAAGAGTACCCCTGAAAGGCACTCATCCTACTAACTAGACACGCAGAGAGCAAGTTCTTTTTCATCTCCTGAGATCTAAGCGAGGTATTTGGAAGCATGGTGGGCATAGGGAATTGATTCTGAGGGCCCCGAGATGCCCTGTCCCTGCTGGGCTGCCAGCCGCAGGCCGAGTGGAGGATGGTAGGGGCGTCTGCACATCAAGCTGGAAGTCCGTAAGGTCCTGGGCTTTTTGCGGCGCAGCCGGACGCAAAGACACAAAACCGCTCTTGCTGCATGCATGAATAGACACCCTCGCGCACTGCGAACCGCCAAGTAACCCAAGTGTTTCGTGAGAAGGAACTTGAAACAGGTGAAAAAAACCTCGACCTCGTCCCAGCACCTATCGACACGCAGCCCACGCAGAGCAAAAGAACAGCAGGCAGAGCGTCGTAGCCCGGCAGTGTACGGGTGGAGTCAGCAACTTCGCCACCAGGCTTCCGCAGCACCTCCATCACCGGCATTGTCATCTTGAGTCATTAAAAAGTCATTAAGTCATTAGCACTGCTGCACTACATGGCGCTACATCTGGCATTCACCTTGATGTGGCCTTTTATGGCCTTCCGGGGGGGTCGACAGACAGAGGAGAGCAGCTTAAGCGGCTTCCTTGCGTCCTGTTTTGAACTATTGAAGCACAGGTGCCAGGCCCCAGTAGTTGGGGGTCGCCGCAGTACTCGGGTTGACAGCAGCCACACCGAACTCGTATGCGGTGTTGGGGTACCTCAGACTCGTGCAGTCGGCAGATGTACGGTTTGTGTGTATGTATGCATGCATGTATATATATGTGTACATAGCTATGGCCAAGTAGTGAAACGAATATTTCGAACAAAACACACACGCACACACTCACACCCATACATGCACGTGCACACCCACACCCACACGCCAACGCCCGCACAAGCACACGCACCCGCGAACACGCGCGCACACACACACACACACACTATTGCAGCCAAGATGGCACGAACATCTTTCGCACACAAGTCTAAAGATAGCATCATGTTCTTCATCTGTCTAAGCCACATTTGGCAAGTAATGGTCATCAGACGCATTTCGCAACAGCTCTCTTTTTGCGGGGGTGTTGTGTCGATATCAGCTTCATCTGATCTTCGATCGACATGCCACTTTCAACGACAATCCCAGCTGCACGTGACTGTGCCAGAGGACTTGTCAAGGGATTTCGGCCCCAGGCTGGCGACGGGCCCCATCAATAGAGTGTCACCATGCCCTTCCTCTATATCCCCTCTATCATGTGGCGACGCTCACTTCAACACGCAACATGATGGTTAGGCACAACATCCATCCCACTGGCAATGCAAAGACTCACATCACTCCTTTTGGAACAAGGGTTCACACACACACACACACACACACACACACACACACACACACACACGCATACACACACACACACACACAGGTTCGCACCCTCTGTCGAAAGACTTGTCAGATTTGGGATTTAGGTTATCACTGCGTCACAAGCATTGTCACTGCAGGTAGACCAGGCGTCCTTGATCTAAATCCTTGCCTCATGTCACTCAGCTTCAAGAGAGTGACACGGGCACCTCTGCCCTTGCAGCTGCATTTACTATCCTTGGCAAACAGGAGTGTGCACACACACACACACAAAGACACAAAGACACAGACATAGACGCAAAGACGCAGAGACGCAGATACGCATGGTCGCACGCATGCACACACCCGCACACACACACACATCCATAATACACACACACACACCCACAAACCCACACACCCAGCCACCTAGACACCCACTCACCCACCCACCCACCCACCCACCCCACCCACCCACCCACCCACCCACACACAGACAGACACACACACACACACACACACACACACACACGCACGGAGACACACACACACACACAGACACAGAGACACAGACACAGCGACCCACACACACAGAGACACACACACACACACAGAGACACGCACACGCACACGCACACGCACACGCACACGCACACGCACACGCACGCGCACACGCCCACGCCCACGCCCACGCCCACGCCCACGCCCACGCCCACGCCCACGCCCACGCCCACGCCCACGCCCACGCCCACGCCCACGCCCACGCCCACGCCCACGCCCACGCCCACGCCCACGCCCACGCCCACGCCCACGCCCACGCCCACGCCCACCACGCACACGTATATACATATATATATATATATGTGCACGAACATTAATTCGTCGTCGTGCGTGATGTGGCTAGATGTGACAGAGACACTGGTCAGCTTGCAAAGCTTCTATGTCGCTGTGTCTATGGGTTCTGAAGACCAACTTGTTCGGCCTCTGCAAAGAGCCCCTCCAGACTCTAGGCTCAGGATGCCTAAACAAAGATGTCGCTACAACTGCCGATTGCTTTGCTGCAGACATGCAGTCAGGTTTCACTTGCTGCCCTGGCAAGGTCAGTGCCAAGGACAGGTACTGATGATAGACGTCGCCGGAAGTCGAGGTAACGCCTGCCCCCGTGAAAGCGCAAACTGTTGGCTCAAAATCAATACGACCCCGCAGTCTCTGTCTTGGAACCTGAGCCTTTTACTCTTTCGAGGCTTTGTGTTTCGCGTGCAGCCGCGTGCACGGGCAAGGAAAGGCCCGCACATGGATCTTGATGCACCGGCGAGGTGAAGCATTGGTGTACGTCTTCGACCCTCGTAACGATGCATAATCAGCCGATGCCGATGCACAACCAACTAGCCAAGCAGAAGCCGACAAACAAGCGAGCGATGGCACAAACTATTATAGTCGAATCTCATACACCTTGCACCCCATCCTCGGTTTCGCACTAGAGGCAAGAGAAGCCTAGGGTAGGCTCAATTTTTCTAGTGAGGGTTTCCCTTTTAGGGCATCTTTTTTGAATAGTCCGCCTTTTCAGGGCGCCCCCTGGACAGAAATTTCAAGAAGACCAGCAAGATACGCGGCCTGCAATCAGGATGCAGGAGCCTGCTGGCAGGCTAATGTATTGCACCCGCGGGCGGCAGCGCAGCCTGGGGAAAGGGAACAGTAACCCCAAACACAAATTCCCAAGATTGATTGATTGATTGCCTGTGGGCGCGAACGCCTTTGCGTTTGCAAGGCAACATAGGCTGACAATTTCCCAAGACCGGCAATTCAGATTCCCCTGGACAAGCGGCTCGTACCCAGGCGGTGCATGCACTTCCACTGCGGAGCCAACGTCCAGGAACCTTCTTCCCACGAGGATCCTAGTGATTGGTAGTAGAGACAGTCGCAATATAAGGGTAGTGCACCAGTATTAAGCGCAGCATAAAAGGAACATGTTATACTAGCATAGTAGCTTCTGCCAGAACGCACAAGCTTTCTCAGGCACTCTCAGCGGTGCCTCAAGAATGGAGCAGACTCAGAACGGCGCATGAAAGCCCAAAAGCTACTTTGACTTTGTCAGCTACTGAAAAAAGATGCTCAGGGTTCTCTTAGGTGACCTGCAAAAAAAGTATGGCCTGGGGCTTCTTAAAGGTACCGTTTCAAAAGCCGAGAGGCTGCGAAGCAACGAACCACACAAAGACGGTCGTCACCACGGCCTGGGAGCTCGGTGCAGCCCTTGTTTTTTGGCTTTGGGTTCAAGCCCTTCGATCATTCTCCCGACTCCGCTCCCCCCTCCCCCCCTTCGATGCCAAACCCTATTCTCACTAAACCCAGACTGACAAGACCTGCCCCCCCCCCCCCCTTCCCTCCCAAGAACCCCCCGATCACGAATAGAAGAGTACATGTTGTCCATCTTCGGTTTGCAGATATGGACTGAGGTTATGTCACCATAATATAAAAAACATGCTTCTTTTACATAGACGCATTTGGTGTTTCAACTTAAGTTCCTGAGCAGCAATCCAGTCTTGGGTCGGGAACGGGCTTCTGCAGCCCACGCGGCGCGCTGCGTGTTGCCTCCGATCGTCGCCTCGAGGAGGTCGCGGATCTCGTAGCCGGGCACCTGTCCGGCAGAGTCGAGGGAGCATGGCGGTCGAACATTCTCTAAGTACATGCGTTTTGCAGAGCAAGGCTCGTTTCCTGAAATAGCGCAAAAAACCTACAAGCGACTAAGGCCTTGGCACCAAAATTGGCCCTCAAGTGGCTCAACCCTGACGATTCCGCCCATGCCGTCGACGCCTGCGACCGCTGGCGCGCGAGGCTGGCCGGGGCCTTAAGTCGAGAGGGTCGTTTTCTGTAGTCTCAAACTCTCAAAACAGTCCCTAGCCAGAGTGCCGACAGCACCGCCGACGTGTTCTGCAGGTCCACGAACGACTCCAGCACCTATGGGGCTGAGACGAAGGTCAAGAACTCTGGCCGAGCTCTCTCGAGTGTCTTTAGAATCCATTCCGCAGGTATAAGAGAAACTCAGGAGAATGTAGCTTCATTTGAACTCGGGTGTACTTCCACGAACTGGCCATCTGCGCACAGGCTCGCGAACCCTACACGGTAATTCTAGCTGAGTTGCCCAAGTGTTTCCCACACCACCCTCTGCAGTGGCAGAGGGCGTCCGTGCCGCGTTTGTCACAAAGAGAGGCACCTTAGACGATGCGAGTCATATCATCAACACAACAACAAACATCAAGAATATGCATAATTCGGAACGCAAATAACAATGATGAAAGTTAATCATGAGTACAGCAGACGGCCGTTGGAACTCATGGTGTCATGTTCATGGGCCCCTGGTTCTCACGTGGTAGCAAGAGCAGTATGCTATGTAGGGGTTGATCGAAACTGAAGTCAGTGCTTGGGAGCCTTCGCACAGGAAATTCTACCAGACGTACTGCAGGAGGGTACCTTAGTATCCATCAACCCCCATTTGCTGTCCAGCTGCGGAGATGGCCCCGGCTGGCAACTCACCATTCCTGCACGTGCTCCCCAGAAGGGGTGAAGGTGCGTGAGCCTCGCCGTTAATCAAGCTCTAAGTTACTTAAAGCCCCACAGCTACCCCCGGCCGAACAAAAGAACAACAAATGCCAAAACACCCTGCGGACTCCGCCTGGTCAGGAGCACAGCGGAGCGGCTGCTTCCTTCGCAGCGGTCGAAAACGGCGCTGGGCGTCACCGCCAGGCAGCTGATCTGGGTTGAGGTTTTGTTGACTTGAAAGGGGGGGTGAAGTAAGCAACTTGTACAAGGCCGTGAGTAGCTCATTCCCAAGAGCATGCACCAACTAGAAACAAACTTGGCGCGAGACAGCCGTCGTGAAAATATGTGGGTCAGTCTTTGCAACTGAGGGGACCACTGTGCGCTGGACGAGTAGGAGCTCAAAAGGCTCTCCAATCCCTTCTCCGGCACAGAATTGGAGGTTCAGTTTGGGGTTGAATAAGTTAGAACTGGGGTTTGGGGGTTGAGTAGAGACTTGGGGTTCAACACGGAGCTTGCTACTTTCGTTCCCCGAAATTCTCCAAATGCCCTCACATGCCCTCAATGCCCTCGAAGCCTTCTGAGTACTCTTCCAAGGCAAACTCCGGTGCCGTGGAACCCAGAATATTCTATGATGCCGCTGAGCAGCTGCAAAGTCGAATCCCAGCGGTGCACCTCGTGCTCCGACTGAGGGCGGGGGTCTTCAAGTCTTTAGGCTCTCGGGGGACCCCATCAAGTTCTGGAGGGACCCCCAGGATATAAAAGAAGGGTACTGCCCTTACCACCCGCCCCAAGGCAACTTGGGAAGCTCCAAACCCTTAAACCCCAAACTTGCACCCTAAGCACCCCCAAGGCCAGGGACCAACAAAGCAGCAACCCAGGATGCATCGACTCTCGTTTACCTGAAAGGCGTCAACCCGGCAGGCGACTCAGTTTTCAAATGAAAGCGTTCAAGGCCAAGGCTGAGCCCTAGTAAGAGCGATCCTGCGGAAAACATGTGGGGAGCAGGGCTGTGATCGTAACATCCCCGGGTTCGGCCATCTTGGGCGATCCCACTGAGCACATCACGACAAGAAGGCTACTTTGCCCCTGTTGAGACTTTGAACCGATCTCTGTCAGCTCTGGAGCACACCATTGCCGTGCTCACAGCAGGCCAGGGCAGGCCATGTTACGGCTGAGGAAGGACTGTGCTGTTAGCTGCATTTCCCTCTTGCCTTGCGTTCTTTTCAGCTCACGCAGTCAGCGACAGGCTGCGAACGGCGAAGTACCTGAGCATGCTGCTGCTGAAGACGCAACGCCCTGAGACTGCCGTGCCAGGCATGGAGTGGCCGTGAGCATGTTCAAACACATCGTGTACACAAAATTTGTCACAACAGCGATGATGCACGGCAAAACGGCGCATTCACCGTGAAAGACATGCACACCAGCATCAATATGAGTACATGTGCGTGTGAATGTGTGTATGCATGCGTGTACGTACGGGTGTCATTTTGTCTCCATGCATGCACGCATGTGCCTGCGTGATCCGCGTTATGTCCATGTTTACTAAATTTTGTGTTTTCCTGTACCTGAGCCTATACTGATACGTGCTGCACGTGTACTTATACTTGTACGTATACTTGTGTTTGCACTTAGACATGCCTTACACTTATGCTTTTCTTTAAACCTTATGCAAACTGAAACTTTAACTTTTGCGTGTACTTACACTTACACATGTACTTGTTCTTGTGCTTTTACTATACTTAGCTTCTGCATGTAATGCTTTTACTTACTCTCATGTCAGCAGTCCATGAACGAGAGCAAGCTCCCCTTCCACCAAAGCCCTTCTGTTCATGCTGGGGCCTGGGGGTTTCCGAAAACTTGGGATCCCTTGTTGAGGATACTTTCCATTTTTGCTGGGGCAGGGACCCTAGTGCTTTTTCAGATCCAGAGAAGCTGCAAAGCCACTGGCACGGCCTCGGCCCCCCAGCGGACCACTTCGCCGGTGGACAGCGTCGCAACGAAGCTGGAGGGTGGCTCTGCTGCCTGTGATGGTGGGCCGAGGCTATCCGAAAAACCTGAAACCAAGGATCAAGGTTGAGGGTTTTGGGCTTAAGGGTTAGGGTTTGGGGTTTAGGCTGGTCGAGCATTCAAGGGTAAAGGCCACTGCTTGCAGGACTCCTCAAGACAACCGAGGAGGGCCTCAGGGCCTCTTGTTGGCAGACGCGGTTTCGCACATACACACCATCGTTGAGACGTGTAGAGATCGAGAAGCCTCCCCGAGCCAAAGCAGAGACACCACCAGCAGACCTTCAAACAAGAGCTGCGCTGCAAGTAACTGGTCTTGCTCATCATGATGCGCTCTATGAACGCAGCATTTGAGTTCCGAAGCCAAGAAGATGCCCGCCAAGAAATGCTTTTGGGGGAGGGCCAGGTGCCAAGGTGCCAGGTGCCGAACACCTTGCCTGGGTGGCTCAAGAGATAGGCTGGGGCGGCTTTGGGTGAATACGGTATGTCAAGGCTAAAGCCTGAACCCGGCCACCCTAAACCCATCTTGCCCTGGATGCTAAACTACCCGAACACCTCAACCCTACCACAATTTGCCCTGAATCATGTCATGTCTAGCTGGGTAGACCGGGGGGGGGGGGTTAAGCCCTAAAGCCTGAAACGGCCAGGCTGCAGAAGCTCTGCCACCTCTGAGATGTCGCTCCCGGACTCTGCGAAGCCCCAGGCCACTACCTTGCAATTCGCGGGAGGGTGCCTTTGATGAGGTTAGGGTGTTGGAGGCCGTTTGAGGATGCACTGACACATATACATACGTACATACATACATACATGCATACAGACAGACAGACATACATTTATATATATATATATATACACATGATGCATAAGATATACATGAATAAATACCTGTGTATGTACATGTTTCTTTACATGTTTTCTTACATGTATAGATACATTTTATGTACATATCGGTTTGTTTATCTATGTTTACATGCTTTATCGACTTCGGGCTGTTAAAATGATGCATGGCAGTGTAAGGCCCCCATGGTTCAAGCACGAATCCACGCGCTCCTGAGCCGGAACCAAGGGTTTCGGGTTTAGGGAGCATTTAGAACATCTATAGTCCAAAGCATCCTAAGCCCCTGAAGCCCCAAGTCCCCGAAGCCCAAAACCCCTACCCCTTTGATTCATCTGTGTCGCCGATCCATCAGCAAGAAGAGCAGCAAAAGCGCCACCAGATGACACAAGGTCCCTAGACAATGGATGCAGTAGTCCACAAGAATTGGAGGATCCAAACTAGTTGCACTCCTGATACACGAGATCACAAGTAGAGTGTGATCACTTCTTGGTTACTTTTATGATGCAGCACCGTATTCTGGGGTACCGCGCCTCTAATCTACCCCATGCTTATTCTAGGAACCCCCAGAAAGGTACAACCGCAAGGGACCGTGATTTGGGGAACATTTGGTCAAGGAAGGCCCTGGGCCCAAAATGGTTCATCTCCACAAACAACCCAGGCACCGAGATCCCTGCAATAAGCACCAAAATGTTCAGAAACGCAAGTCTCCTCAACACTCAGCAAAGGCTAGAAAGATTGAGCATTTGGGTCCCATTTGGGCCAAGTGCTGGGTCCGTTTTGCCGCATGTTGCCCCATGTTGCCCGCAAACTTAAACCCTAAACCCGCACAACCGCTGCAACACCAAGCCCATAGCACCCTAAACCATGCAACCCTTACAATCACTAGAACAGCTTATCCCTACATGCACGCAGGGCCTGACGTCTTTGAGGCGGTCTTGAACTTCGCGGCTGTCTCCTCCGAACCTGGGGCGATGGTGGGAAACTGGGTTCCAGGCAATTTCGCTTGCGGTTCGGGGTTTGGGGTGAGGGTTCCTCTAAGGGGCTCAGAAATGAGACTAAAATTCTGTGGGCTTATGCAGGAGTTCGGTCCCATTAAATCTGAAACCAATTTTTGACATCAGCCCCGCATAATATGGTGCATTATTGTACACTGTACATCATTATATGGTTGTCAGAACGGTACGAGTAGCCTAGTTGAAAGTCCTTAACTGCATGCCCCCCCGCCCTGCCGTGGACTTCGACAAGCTTCCGCCAGTCGTCTTCTAAACCCTCAACCCCCAAGCCCTGGCCTAAAACGGCCTTGAAACCAGTCCATATTCGGGGCTCGGGAAGCTCGGCGTGGCCCCAGGTCACCACGCTGCCATCCTTCCGAAGCACAGCGAAGGCCAGGGAGCCGGCACAAATCTTCGAGACTCCTCTGACATCCACGGCATCCCACGGCTACATGACTTGGGCTTTGCCAAACAGAAGGTACCCCACTTTGACAAGTACAAAGCTGGGGAAGTTGCCAACTTTATGAGGTTTGTTGCCCTGCAATTGCATGAGAAGACCCTGTCTGGAAGCTACGACACGCACATACACCCCTATACATAGGCCCTTTTGAGAGACCCTACATAGAACCTAAATCCCCGTTCTTTCACTTCACATTCAAGTGGGGGGAGAACTGAGCTCCACTCCTTGGAGTTGGTCCCGGAATGCCGCGGTGTCGCCTCCAGCCAGCGCCATGCCCCAGGTTACCTGAGCTTCGAGGGTCGGGGGTCTGAAGCAACCTTCGCTTTGAGGCTTCAGGCTGCGCCGGCTTCAGAAGTCAAGGAGGGACACTGAAGGCCTCGACCCTGTTCATGTAAGGTTTAGGCAATTGAGGCTGGAAGCCACGTCTTCGTCCCGCGTCAACGCAGCGAACGCGCCACTCGTAGCTTCAATCCTGCGAAGGAGCGCAGGACGCATGGATCCGTGTCACGGAACGGCTGCGGCTCCGACACGTGCTGATGACATGGCTTTTCCCGGTTTAGGGGTTTGGGGGGGGGGGGGGGCCCGAAATACTTGCACATCCTGGACTCACATGTTGGATCTGGAAAATGGGCGTTAATGAACCGGCTCAGCCGAGGTGCTGAAATACATCCTTCAGCTGCTCGCTGACACCCTGGCCTAGCGTTGACTTGCGGATTGGGCTTTGGCATGCTTTGGGCATCGGCCATCTGTAAGATAGGAGTCTATTTGATCAGAATGGATACTTTGGGTAGTCTAAGCGCAAAACACATAAGGGTTATCATTCCACGTGGGCCGGATTTTTCCAAGTAACACAGGTCTATTCAGATTTGAACGGTAGTTTACACCGCAGTTACATTATTTGAATTACACGGCGGGGAGAAAACTACTAACTTGCGCATGCTCGCGCTCCTCAATTGTGGACCGCGCAGCTCTCGCCGCCAAAGCCCGCTTGGCCCCAGGTCGTCACAGAGCCATCCGCGCGGATGGCGGCGAAGGCACGGAAGTTGCCCTTTTCGGCAGGGCCCCTAGATTCCCTAGACATGTGGAAACTAGACGTGTTCAAAAACTGAGTGGAAGAGCATGCTTCTCCCAAAAAGTACCTAAAAGTCAGGGCCCTTGCTATACAGCTCTGCCAGGAAGCGAAATGCCACGCGCGGTGCTGTCCTGTCCTATTTTTAGCTCCACATCAAGGACCGTGGAAGCACCAACAGGTATCGAACTCTCCGTGAAAAGCGCCAATTACTTGGAAGCTTCGCACGTTCGTGACCGTTCGTGCCTTGTTTGTGACAGTGCCTGCGACGAAAAACCCCCCTCATTCATCGGCAAGACGCTGGCCTTGATTCCCGTGACATCTGCAAGCTCATGGAAGCCATCTCAGCTGCACGTTCTCAAGACGGCCCTCAAGGGATACAAGGAATACAGTGAGATGGCTCCAGCTTATCTCTCGGAACTATGAACCCTCTTGGTAGAGTAGTAAAAGCACTTGTATGCTTTGAACCACAATCTCAAAGCCTGTCTTGAGCCCGCAATCTTACATGCTAACACGCTCAGGAATAATCTAAATAAGGCTGCATGTACTGTATATGCTTGTACATATCTCTGTATACATACGCATGTATGTGTATACATACATATATGCATGCATATATATATATATATATATATATATATATTTTGTTATTCATTTCTTCATTTATTCATTTATTCAATTATTCATATTCATATTCATATTCATATGTATATTTATATCTATATATATTTATATTTATATTTATATTTATTTTATATTTTATTTTTATATTTACCCACGCGCACACGCGCACACACGCACACACGCACACATGCACACACGCACACACGCACACACGCACACACGCACACACGCACGCACGCGCACGCACGCGCACACACACACACACTCTCTCATTTCGGGCTTCTTGTTCCGCGTAAGCTGCACCAGCCAAGCGGCTGACGATGCCGCCTCGATTCGGATGGCCCCATGTCACCTGGTTGCCAAGGGCCCTTTGGGGTCCTTCATGGTCCTCCGAAGGACTTGACACAGGGTTCAGGGTTGCTTGGATTGCGCATTTCGGGTGGTAGCAGCATGCTCTTGTTTCCGAGACAAGTGTGCAAGATTTGCCGCTTGACGCTATTGAGCAGGACGGATGTTTCCAGCTTGTGGGGACTGATCTGCCTGCAAGTTGAGTCACGACCAGACCATCCGAGCGTAGCGCGGCGAAGGCGAACGACGTGGCTTCAATCCTGGGATGCGAGAAGCAGGTCCATCGCAGTGTAGTACGTGGTCAGCCAGCTTGGTAGCCCATGTCCAAAAGCGTCGCCAGGAATCGTCGTGACATCGTGAAGTTGTGCATGCACCACCTCACCTGGGCCGATCCGGGTGCAGGCTTTCACATGTGAAGGGGACACCATGCTAATAACTTGTAGCTTCGAGCTCTGCTCTCCAAAGACCTCTGTTGTCAACCCATGTCCCTGCCAAGTAGCTGTCGCCACCCTTGTCCGGATGTCCCCAGGTTACCACGGAGCCATCCTTCTCAGCACAAGGCATCTTCAAGACGTGGTCCACGGCATGACAACCAAAAACAACGGATGCCTAGGGGGGGGGAGGGGGGGTACCGAAAAACACCAAGGGCTGCATGATAAAAGAGATCCCCCGCAAAAGGCAGAAAACTCAGAGAACTGGCCATACAACCCTGAACCGTAAAACACACGGCCCTCAACTTTAAACCTTAAACCCTGCACCTCACCCACATCGCAGTCCTCTTGGAGCGCGGCGAAAGCCCCGTCGTCCGAGCCGTGGAGCTCCTTCCTCCGCTTGGGTGGCGGTAAGGGGTTTAGGGTTCAGAAGTGCTCGGAGATGATTAGGGCATCAGGGCTTGGGGCGTCACATTTTGTGCACTGACGAAGAGTAAGGAGGTACGAGTACCCATGAGGGGGGACGATCTGAGCTGTGGGCCCTGATAGTACATTCGCTTGGGCTACCGACCAAGGCCCGCAAGCTAGACCTTCCCCTCCCTCCCCCCCCACAACTGTGCTTCGGGCATTTTTGGGCATCTTCGGGCCAAGGGGCACGTCCCGCAGGCCCGCTGGCAGCTCGGGGCCTTCCGCTGATGCCTTGCCCCAGGTCCTCACCTGCGACAGAAACCGAAAATCAAAGGGAGACAAACCCGAAAGACGAAGAGCCCGATATCATCTTCAGACATACTCGGGATCTTCATGTGACTTGACGTACAAGTCCTATCGGCAACAGGATTCCCCAAAACCAGCTGAAAACCACTCGAAAATCCGAAACCGAAGATGCCCATCCCCCCCATCATGTTCACGATTGAAGAGGGCCAATGGCTGTCTTAACCTCCCAGAGATTCTAGAGTCTGGTGTGACAGAGATCGGGAACTCCTTACAGTCCGGCACAAGGGGGAGCGCAAAGAGACGGCGCAAATACCTTCTCCTTCGAGTCTGGGGACTTTTTGCATTTTGTGGCTGGAGGGGTGCCATCTTCAAATTTTCGGTGCTTTTCAGGGCATGCTGCGCTGCGAGATTCTAGGAAGTGCAACGACCCCAAAAAATCCCAAGAGATGCTACGCTGCTACAGTATCTAGGCAGTGGACCGAGCCATCACCAGCCAGCTCAGCGTATGCACGGCCAGACTTCACCTGGGTTGCAGTTCCCAAAGACTCCAGTGTCCCTTCGTGTTCCTTTGTTAAAGCATATATACCTTACTAGAAGGGATCCTAATCGTCTGATTTGAGGAAGATGTTCGCGTGTCTGGGTTCCTCCAAGGCACTGCTGAAATCCGAGCTTAAAATTCGCTACAGTGTCGTAAACTTGTTATAGTATAGAGACGACGTGGACTAGCTCTGCACCAGGATGAAACAGTCTTGAAAGAGGTGACAAAAGGTGACGATGCCCTGCGAACCTTCTTGAGAACCCTCTCAAGGCATACTGCAGTTTCGGGACCCTGCGGCTTCTCGCTGTGATGCCTGTCAAAGTGACCTGCTCAGATTTGAGCTCATACGGCTTTTGCAAACAGTGGCGACTCAAAACTCGCGGAAGGAGATGGGCTTGTTCTTGAGGTACCTACTACAAGCCCTTGAATTGGGTATCCATAAGCCATAGAAGCCCCAGGGATGCTAGCAGAGGACCCACTTGTCCACCGACACGAGACCGGCTAGCCCTGCTCCAAACCCTAGAATGAGAACTCTCTACCTTCCCCCCCTCCCCTCCCCTTGCAACAAAGAATAATTGTGATGTAGTATGATAGGGCCTGATAGGGCATGTTTTTGGCTGGGGTGGGGTGGGGTGGAGCTGCTTTCAACCCTTGCGGTCCTCCGCCCCCAGATTGAGATCTTGGAAGGCTGCGGCCTGCCAAAAGCAACTCTCGCAGTTTAGGCCTCGAAGGGTACACAACTGACCCCCGAAAGTTCCCCGAACATTCCTTTGATCCCTAAACCTCAAATCTTGGCCAGCGCGAAGAGCACGTAAGAGGTTCAGCAACAAGCTTGAGGTGTAGCTCAAGTCGATCTGCCAAATGCACTATGTTCATTACTTTCCTGTAAACCTTCAACTCAGCTCTCATCGCCCCGCCAGTTGTTCTGCAGGTGGGAGCTTCGTGCCGTTGGTAGTGACCAGCCAGCGGAGGCAGGCTGCAGGCTCCAGCCACTTCCTTTGGCTCAGGCTCCGGGACAGGCCCTAGTTCCAGGAGCTTCGTCCATTAGGTGACATTTTGCTTTGTTTAATTTTGAAGCTCGGGCAACGTGCTGTCGTTTCTGCCGCATCTTTGGGTTTAACACCTGCGTGAAGGTAGCCGAAGCTTATTGCATTTCTTATTGCATTCCTGAGCGTCCGTTCTCGCAGCTCCTCTTCGGCTTGGGATCGGAGCTCTGAGACCGTCGCGGTCTCCTCCAGCCTGCAGAGATGGTTAACGTGTTCAGGGCAAAGGGCTAACTAAGACATGCTTGTCTTGTCAAGCTCAGCGACTCCGGGTGCAAAATCTGACACATTTCCGAGTCCAATCCGTGTCAGGGAGTGTCCAGCTCACTCGAATGCTCAAGACAGGTGGCTGCAGCGTCACGCTGCTGCCACTCAGAAGCGCCACGGTGATGTGCCGAGCCATGGCTCCACATGGGTGAGACGGTGTAAGGCCGTGTAGGGGTTGAGGTCCTGTGACCAGTGCAATCATCTTGGCTGCCCATTTTGGGACCCGGCAGATGCTTGAGCAACATGACTTGGATTGTCGTATCTGGTCCCGTCCGGTCCGTTCTCTAATCTTAAAGTCTTTTGCTCATGCTTGCGCACAGTTGAAAGTATCGTCGGTGACATACTGATTGGGAGCTGCGATACAGCGTGATACAGTTTGCTTCAGATACTTTACATCTGAGATCTTGAAATGCAGTGCAACGAAGCTCAAGCAGGACGCAAGGGCCAAGAGAGTTGCCCTTTTCGCTCACTCCCTCTCCTCAACCAAAAACCCTAAGCCCAGGCCCACTAGTTCGTGCCCATTTGGGTTAAGGGAAGCAAAGAGGAAAAACCCTAGAGCTCGGCCGAGGGGCGGATCCGCAGGTGCACCGTGCCGCCCTCGATCAGCGAGGCGAGGGTTGCCTTGAGAAGGTATCTAGCACACACACCCTATAACAAACACCAAATCATGGGGTGTGGCCAAAACCAGGCGACACATTTGGTAAAGTCTTCATTCGGGGTGGCCAAAACCGGGCGACACATTTAGTCAACTGGTGATTCGGGGTGGCCAAAACCGGCCGACACATTTGGTGAAGTGGTCATTCGGGGTGACCGATTCCGGGCGACACATTTGGTGAAGTGGTCATTCGGGGTGGACAAAACCAGGCGAGACAATTGGTAAAGTGGTCATTCGGGGTGGCCAAGACCGGCGACACATTTAGTAAAGCGGTCATTCGGGGCGACCAAAACGGGGCGACACATCTGGTAAAGTGGTCATTTGGGGTGGCCAAAACCGGGCGACACATTTAGTAAAGCGGTCATTCGGAGTGGCCAAAACCACACATTTGGTAAAGTTGTCATTCGGGGTGGCCAAAACCGGGTGACATATTTATTTGGTAGAGTGGTCATTGGGGCGGCCAAAACCGGGCGACACATTTGGTAAAGTGGTCATTTGGGGTCCGGGCGACACATTTAGTAAAGCGGGTCACTCGGGGTGGCCAAAACCGGGCGATGCATTTGATAAAGTTGTCATTCGGGGTGGCCAAAACCCTGCGACACATTGTCATTTGGGCTGGCCAAAACCGGGCGACACATTTAGTAAAGCGGTCATTCGGGGCGGCCCAAACCGCTCGACACATTTGGTAAAGTTGTCATTCGGGGTGGCCAAAACCCGGCGACACATTTAGTAAAGTGGTCATTCGGGGTGGCCACAACCGGGCGACACATTTGATCAAGTAGCGGTGGCCAAAACCCGGCGGTCATTCGGAGTGGCCCAAGCCGGGCGACACATGTGGACAAGTAGTCATTCGGCGTGGCCAAAACCGGGCGACACATTTAGTAAAGCGGTCATTCGGGGCGGCCCAAACCGCTCGACACATTTGGTAAAGTTGTCATTCGGGGTGGCCAAAACCCGGCGACACATTTAGTAAAGTAGTCATTCGGGTTGGCCAAAAACACATTTAGAAAAGTAAACCGGGCGAAACGCTTAGTAAAGTAGATCATTCGGGGTGGCCAAAACCGGGCGACACATTTAGTAAGGTAGTCACTCGGGGTGACCAAAACCGGGCGACACACGCAGTAACGCAGTCATTCGGGGTGGCCAAAACCGCGCGACACATTTAGTAAAGCAGTCATTCGAGGTGGCCAAAACCTGGCAACAGGGTGGCCAAAACCGGGCGACACTTTTAGTAACGCAGTCAAATGGGGTGGCCAGAACCGGGCGACACATTTAGCAAAGTGGTCATTCGGGGGGTGGCCAAAACCGAGCGACACATTTTGTAGAGTAGTATTCTGTGGCCAAAGTTCTGATGGATCCGAGGCACTTTGGGGCTAATCTGCAGCGTGACCGTCACGTCCAGTTGCGGGGCAATACCATTCGCCTGCTGCGGCGTGTAGCGGAGCAAAAGGCTGGCTTGTCTAAACAATCCTGGAACCTTAAATTAAAGAACTTAAAAAAAGGAACCTCAAAGGCCTTAAACTGGCCCTAAACCTCTCCTGGGGCGTGATGGTCGCAGTCCCAAAGGATGCCTTCATCTCAAAGCCTCGGAGGCGACTCGGATGTGCACACGGGACACAGAATTCTTTTCTCGGGATTTTTGGGTAGGATTTCTAAGGTTTAGAGGGCTCATAGGGTTTATGGCGTTTGGGGGTTAGTGCAAGCTTGTCGCTCTGTCATGCCATGGCATTCCTCTACAAGAATCTCAACAACATCAGGCACACATCTTGTGATCAGATGCCTGGAAAAAGATCGTCGTTGCTGGCGGTGGGGTCCTGCGCAAAGTGGACGAGATAAGCATCCAGCTGCTTCGATGAGAGATTTGGAAATACACAGATTGGCAGGTAGATAGACTGATGGACAGCCATTTTGAAAGAGGAGGTGAGAAGAGATCCCTCCATCCGATTGCACAGAAACCCTAAACCCTGAACCCCTAAACCGCCTGTTTCTGGATCCTTGGCCCAGCTCTCTAAATTATGGCAACTTCTTGTAGCAAAGGTACACCTAAGGGCCTTATAGTGGACACTGCTCAAGGCTGAGGCTTGGGGCCTGTGCTTCAACATTGGGCCCTGACTGCAAGTTCGGAGACTCACCTCTTCGTAGAGAAGCTTCCGGAAAAGAGTGCAAAGGATGCCCGTTTACAAGAGAAACTAGTTAGTTTCTTAAAAGGGGAAAAAGGGTGCTGGAATACACGCAAGCCACAATGACCCTCCCCAAGCGCTAAACCCCAAACATCCCTTACGATTCACCCTAGCTTCCTCCAAATGCGTGCGCGAACCCCACTCTAAACCCCAAACACCCACACTCAACAGTATATACACTAAGCACCCAACTTGCAGCGGCACCTGGCACAGAGAGTCACGGCACGCTCGCAGCAAGAGGTTGGAGCGGTGCGTTGTTGCCCAGAGGCTCCTTGAACCCGGAGCTGCTATACCCCAGGTTTAGGGTATAGGCGGTATAGGTTTATAGGGTATACATATTCCTTAACTAGATTGGGCTCCTTGGAAAAAGATGATCTGTGGAGGGTTAAGAATCGCAAATACATGCGCGGTTATGTTGGGGGTTTTAAAAGTAAGTATAGGAAAATGGTGACAAACGTCACTACCTTGTTGCGGGGGGGTGGGGGGGGGGGGACCTCAGCCTCAATCCTTCGCTTTTCTTGTCCAAGATGCAGATCTTCAGGTGCAGATGGTGTCCGGAGCCTGCCAAGCACAACAATCTTCGTAGCCAAGGCTTCTGGCGCAACGCATCATTCTGCGCATACGAGTAAATGCATCTGCCCAGCCCATCAAAGCTAAGAGGATGCTTTTTTGACAGTTGTGCCCCTTAAGCCATGAAAGCCACGCAGTGACGCAGGAAGCCAGGCCCCTTCTTGATGCTTTCAGTTGATGTAGGGCTTTGGATTCCACCAAAGCCCTGGCCTCACGGAGAACTTCACGGCTTGGCCTCGATTTGTGGCGGTATGTGAAGGCTTTTGGGGTGTGACGGTGCGACTGCAAACCAAACCCTCCTTAGTTGCCCAAGCTGCTTGGCAAGATGGGCGACAGAATCTGGACCGCATAGCCTGGCTGCAGAGCTTCATGCTGTTGTGTAGGGTTCTAGGGTTTAGGGTTTAATTAGGGTTTAGGGCGCCAACTGCGTCTTGCCAGAACCATCCAACTCTGTGGCCTTGGCACGCAGCTACAAGCGCCAAGACCTTAAACCCTTCAACCCTTAACCCTGAACATGCCTAAGCTACAAGCCCATAAGTCTGTGCCAGGTGTCTGGGCCGATTTCCCTCCAGCTCCAACACCTCCACCTGCCCCGAGATCAGCGGGAAGCCTCCAGGAAGTACAAGGTTTGTAGGGTTCTCGGGCTTAGGGTTTAAAACTTTAGGGGTTCGGGGGTTTAGGTCTTTTTCTCTCTTGTTATTGTATTTGCTGTTGTTATGTAATATCTTTTTTGGGGGAGGGTGGTTCTCGATTGATCAATCGATTCCCTCCCTCTAAAACAGTTCAAGCGCCCCTTCATCCACCCCCAATTGTGGATTCCATGAAGGCAGCCAAAACTGGAGGGGGGGGGGGGGGGGTGGGGGGGGCAGGGGCACTTTGCTCCTTTTGGGCCTTCGCCAGGGCTGAAGCTCTTCTCGAGGAAGGCAAAGTCTGCCGGCGCGGAGAGCACGAGGTACTGCCTTTTTCTGATCTTGGGAGGTGGCCAGGGCCTCTTTGGCCCAGGGTGCTGGAATGCTGTCTTGTGTCAGGGCTCCTGGAGATGTTGGGAGCTTTGTCCTGAGGCCACCACCCGGCTGACACCACGCGTGGGAAGGCCACGAAAGCCAAACTCAGCTCTGTGTTGACAATGTCCTGAGCATAAAGGAAAGAAAACCTTAGAAGCCATTGAAGCCCAACAAATCCAACCAAAACATATACACCCGAAAACGCACACGATAGTATAAACCCTACGTATAGTTAAGCCTATAGGCCCTAAAATCCGCCGAGGCCTTGGGCTGTCGGTGTCCCCTCCCCAACACACCGAAACGACGATTGCACCCCTTTATTTGCTACCCCCCCTAGCCGACAAGTGTCCGGGAGCAGACGGTGCATCAGGACCAGGGGGCACTTCAGCCTGCCATAGGGGCCGCCCCCGCCCCCCCACGCCCCCCCACGACGCCCCCCGCCCCCCACCCCGTGCACCCCTCCCCCTCCCCCCTGGCCCCCCCACCACCCCGCTGCCCAACCAGATGTCCTGCCTCTTTCCCCGCCTGACAGCCGCACAGCTTGGAGGGCCTTTCACCTTGCGCCTCCGTTCCCACCCACCCCCACCCCACCTGCCCCCAACCCCCCGAGGCGGGTGGCGTAGCGTGAAAATCATAAAGGTCTGGCAACTATAGTCGCGACCTTATTTGGGCACTTATGACCCCATGAACCGCCTTCAAGTAGGCTGCTACAGTAGGCAGTGACTATAAGTGCTCAGCAAGCGTCGAAGAAGGGATCTGTCAGGCTGGTGGAGGAAGCGTCGATGCTCAAGCGGTTCAGTGTCACCTTGCAAGTGGCCCCGGACAGGCTGAACCCTTCCACCACGATGTACCCAGTTTGGGATCCGTCTCTGCAAGGGCAGATAGGCCGTTTCCTATAGGAAACCTCGGCCCTAAACCCTTTAAACCATAAACCTCTTTAAGCCTGTGAACCCTGTGAGCCCCTGCGAACCTTAAACCTGGAACCATCGTAGGATTCCTATACACACTCACCAACATCAAGACCCTAATTCACGTAAGCGACTGCCGTTTTTGCAAGGGGAAAACAGTCTTTGCCAGCTTCAGCTCGAGCGGCGGGCCCAGCGAAGTTGACGGACCTACCACAAGGAGCTAAAACGCAGGGCACAGAGGCAGAGAGGCACAGAGGCACAGAGGGCTTGGCTGGTTTCAAGGGGTTCTAGGATTTATAGGTTTAGTGCTACGCTCCACTTTTTCTCTGTAGACCGGCTGCTCTCACAGCCCGATAACAAGCACCCCAGCCCCAGCCGTCCCGAAACTTGCCGACCATACGGATAGAAGGCCCAGAAAGGTTCACTGGCAACACACCCCAAGTTCTCTTCATACCACATTTTGCATATCACGCCTCTTTTTGCCTCAATGGATTCCAAACCCCGGACACCTGTCGCGCTGGCCGGCCGTGTCAAGCAACCCATCCTCCGCCAGCACCTGCGTAGGATCGGACTGAGGTGTTGGCTCGGAAGGGGGTGGCAGGCTTTGGGCTCACCAAGTGGGATTTAAGATGAGTTGACTTCTGGGACTGCAAAGCTTACGGGTTGCTAAAGATCCACAAGGCTATTAGAGATTATTAGAGTAAAAAGCCGTCGCCCGAAGTCTCGGTCCCCTGCTGCTGAGGCGCATAGCTCGTCATCGTCCATAAGGCCGTGCCGGGCGTGGAAGGGTTTGCGACAGATCCGAGAATCAAGCTGTAGGCGCGCCCTTGCCTAGGAAAGTCGTGGGCTGTTGCTACGTTACACACACACACAGACACACCAACCAACCGCAACACAACATAACACCACTAAACTTATCCCTACACTGAAGCACCCAGCTCTAGGACATGTGCCCCGGTGTCTAGTTCCCAGTTGTGGCAACAGCGTTCTCATTCAGGCCAAGATGCTCCAGCGTCATGTGCAGCAGCAGCGATGCGTTGCTCCGAATCACCTGGCTCACCTGCTGGCCAAGGCATTGGCGCAGCAGCGCCACTGGGCAAAAAAGCTCTCTGCTCCAAAACCCTGCAAGTACGAAGCATACTCGAAAAGATGCCGCAATAGACCATAAGATACTTCAAAATACATCAGGATGGAGGGGGCTGCGCACCCCAACCCCCCCCCCCTGTTTTAAGCCGTGCAAGCTTGCTTCAATGCATTTGTTTTCAAACCCATCATGCGAGCATTGTGTTTGCAAATGGGGGGGGGACGGGGAGGCTGCGCTCCGCCCCCCACGACCCAAAATTAAGAAGGATTCGAGCGGAATTAATCGACGTCTTATTAAAATTGATAAGAAATCATATGAAAAGTAGCATGACTTTATGAGAATATACGGGATCTTATAAAAATATAAATGGAATAGTCTACAGTGTCTACATCTACGGGGCCTCTTGAGGTAAACCAAGGAAATAGAGCCAAAATCAATAAGGACTCGAGCAAAATCAATAAGAAATCCTACGAAAAGTAGTATGTATGAATCACTTTCTGAACATAAAAGGGAGTGTGGGTTTTCCTAGGAAAAACCAAGACAATGACCAAAAAAAACACCCAAAACAAAAACAATGCCCAAAAGTCAACTCCACCCAAACTTCGTGCCCCGCCAGCGACAGCAAAGCAAAACGCCTGCCCGCAGCGACAGCAAAATTAAGCGCCAGGCAGCGACAGCAAAAGAGCAGCGACAACAAGAAAAAACAACACTCTTACCGACATGCTTTGGAACCGCGGTAGCGCATGATTTGTTTTTTTTGCAGTTGCCGCAGGGCGCGAATTTGCTATGCTGTCGCTGCGGGCCGTGGGCGCGCTCACTCACTCACTCACTCGCGGGCCCGTGGTTTTGCTGTAGCACTCGTTTGTTTTTTGCTGCTGTCGCCGCGGGGCGATTGTTTTTTGGCTGTCGCTGCGGGCCGCGGGCGCTCCTCTCTCACTCGCGGCCCGTGTTTTTTGCTGTAGCACTCGGGGGCGCGATTCTTTAATTTTGCTGTCACTGTCGTCGGGTCGCTTCATTCTTGCTATCGCTGTGAGTCGTGGGCGCGATCACTCACTCACTGACTCGCGGGCCCGCGTGTTTTTTGCTGCAGCACTTGAGAGCGCGTGTTTTAAATTTGCTGTCGTCAGGGCACGCTGTTTATCGATTTTTGGCTGTTGCCGCGCCTCACTCACTCACCCGCCATCTTTGTTTTCGTTGTGGTCCTTTTTGTTGTCGCTGCGGGCCGCGGGCGCGCTCACTCACTCACTCACTCACTCGCGGGCCCACGTTTTTTGCTGCTGCACTCGAGCTGTAGCACTCGGACAGCCCTTTGTTTGCTGTCGTCACGCTTTATGCTGCCGCTGCAAGCCGACGAGAAGGCTCGCCTAAACTAGAAATACCAGCAAATAAGGTAGACGAAATTAAAGGGTCGTCCCTCAAGCACACACCCACGCGCCGCCAGCACAAGGAGCACGGCACCAGAAGAGCCGAGTCCCCACAGGCTGGACACGACACACATTGCAGTATCCCCTTGGTGCGATGGGGTAGTGCCCAAGACATCAGGCACCACCCCACTTCGGGACGAAGGAGCAATGTACTATCACATACGATAATACGACATCATCTGCTAACACATACTTTTAACCAGTGGACAAAGTGATGATCTACGAACAGCAGCTCTGAAGTCAACATCCCTGGAAAAAAAGCCTCTGTGCCCACAGCGACGGCCGTCGCAGTCGCAAAGTCGAATCGCAAGGGCTCGGCTTGGCTTGCGGCGTCCTTTCGAGGCTTCCAACGCCCAGCTCGGGGTTGCAGCCATTGTTGTAGTGCAGAGATGGTAAAAAAAGTTTACCGTGTATTTGTAGCAACGCATGTCATTTTCATCTAGCATTAGTATACCACAGCATATACTATGGCTTTCGGGTCGCGCACGCATCATGGCAGAGTAACGGGCCATGCGCTGGACAGCAAGGTGCCGCTGTCCTGGACCTCTGTAGTGACGTGTAGAGCTTGTGCGTCCTGGCCTGAGAATTGCGGCAGTCGGCAGCTTGTTCAATACGGCAAATGGTCGAACCACCCAGCTCTCTACCTTTAAAAAAGCACTCATCTGGATGTGGGGTTCTTTTCAAATTCAAGGGAAGAGAAGTGTTATGTCGCAAGCCACTTGCGGGCAAGGTGTGTCTGACAAGCCAAGATTGGACAACTGTTGGCAAGCCCTGAGACACGGTTACAATTACTGAACATTAATGATCCCTAAACCTGCGGTCAAGCTACTCACGCGAAATGCCAGACGAAGAGAAGCCAAGCTTTGCACGGCCACGAAAGAGTCCGTACGGACTACCTCAGTGGGCCAGTGAATCTGCCGACCGAATCCTCCAATCACTCTGTCCTGTTCTTCATCGAACATATCGAACATGCACGAGAAGCCAACCCTTGCCACTAATCCCTCGGAACTACGGTCCCGCCCATCAGCCCACATGTGTAGTGGTATACTGGGCTCGCAGCTGAGACCTCCAGCAGCCGCGGCGTCACCAGCTCTCCAGGAACCTGGTCAGAGCTGCTCGGGCCGCCTTCCCTAAACCCCAAAGATCCCAAATCCGACTAGCCCTACAACACCCTGCTCTGCAGGGTCCGTATCACTTACGTGGATTCGCGGCTTCGCCGAAACATCTCCCGGCCGTCTTGGCGGAGATGACGGTGGCGCCCCTGCGCTGCTCGCCATGGAAGGTCGTGGCCTGGAGACTGGAGATTTCTGGGCTCAGGGCTTGGGACGTTAAATTTTGGGAACCCTTAAACGAGCCCCACCATCACAAACCTTGAATGACCCCTAAGCCCTATAAAAGCTGAGACAGGGCCAGCTACGGGCCTGCTCACTGAGCGTCTTCCGTGGGTACAAGGAGGTCACCTCGGGAGCTCTCAAACCGAGCAATACTCGCAGGTTCATGGTTCTTTTTTTAGGGTTCAGGCTTTACAGGCTTCAGGCTTTACAGAGGTCAGAGCAAAGGGCTGACGGTTCAGGCCTTCTAGGGGGCTGAGGCTTGGGTGGGCGATCTATTCGGTCTGTATCTTTTCCAACTCTTTCGCAACACCTTGAACACAAAGCTTTGTCTGAGGCCCCAAGGAACGCTGAAGTCCATCAGAGGCGTCAGCGCCTGGGCCCCAGGGACATCGATGACCGCAAGGCCTGGACACAGGGAGGATCAGGGCCTTTTTTGATAATTCTGTTGTTTGCTTGTTTTTCCCCACCCTCGGTGTGGGGCTGTTAGATTTTAATTTTTAATCTCAACTCTTCTCCTCGCCCGGAACCCTTCTCCTCGCCCGGTCTACTCCTCGCTCATCCCTGGAGTGCCCAGCCTCAACGTGTCCCTGGAGTGCCCAACTCTAGAGTGGAGCCCCGGATCTCCTGGAGCGCCAAATCCAGAGTGCCCAGCCCCAGAGTTTTTTCTGGAGTGCCCAAACCCAGACTCTGGAGTGCCCAACCCCAGCCCTAGAGTTTCCCTGGAGGGGGGGGGGGGGGGGTGTTCTCATGTATTCTATTTTACTTTTAGGGCTTTAGGGTTTAAGGGTTTTGGCTTGTGTTTAGGGGCACGTGCAGCCCTCTGAAAGGAGTGTTGCATTCTGCCGGGATCCAACAGCTGCTGGCCACCAAGGTACTGGGTGGGTTCGCCGTCGAGGCTGGGATTGGATTGCGAACAATGACTTCAACGGCTTTCTTGGCATGATTCTCACTGGCGATTCTGACCTTTCTAGACATACGCGTCCCGTGTGCTGGAGGGAACAGAGGGAACATGCAACTCAGACTGGTTGCATTACAAGAAAGGTGTCGGCCTCGCTCTCCCCCCCCCCTCGAAATCTTCAAACCCAACCTGCGGTCGCGAACTCGAAGTGCACCACGCGCACGTTGCAGCTGGGCACCGGCAGCGGGGCTGCAGACCTGAGAAGTTCTGAGCGAAGGCAGCTCTAAGGGCTCTCTGAAAAAGTTTTGGCGCGTGCGATACTTTGGGGGGATGTGCTGCGGTGAAGAACGCCTTGTCACAGCCACGCTAGCTTGCGTGGGGAAATAGCCTCGGGCAGTTCAAGGCGTAAGGTTTGCAGTAGTCATCACAATGTCACTTTTGCCGGTTTGCTTAGAGATTGGAGAGGTCCTTCGGGGTCGACCTTTTCGGTGGCTGCGTACACCTGCGGCGTGTACGCATGTGAGGGGTTCCTAAACCATTTCGATCTTGATTCCCCTGAAACGATCATGAACTCAAGGCAAAACAATTCTGCCCTCACACCCAACCACAAAACCCTAAGCAAGGAGCTTATAACAATCCGTCTGGGCACCACTGGCGAAATTTGTTGCAGAGCCTCTGCAGGTTGTCAAACTCAGAGGTGCTGTTGCCTGGGCTTAGGTTGAAGGATTTAGGGTTGAGGCATGGTCACCCCTATTTTGTTGCCAAAGGTCCACTTCACACAACGACAAGCGCCCAGTTCGGATGGCTGCATTACACCTCAGACCCCTGCGCACCTGTCCGCTATCACAGGCGCCAACTTGCGGCGTCGAGGCCGCGCAAGGCGCCGAGGGCTTCTATAGTACAATACTACAAAGCAAGGTGTTATACTAAAGACTCTGATTTAAGGCGGATTTTGGATCAGTATGGTACCAAGGGGTGGTCTTGTGTCAGAGTGCCGGTGACATCGTAGCCGTCCGGGGCAATGATTTCCAGCACGTCCCCAATCTCCAGCGAAGTGGAGAGGAGGATCTGCCTCAGGGTCGCAGGGTCGCAGAGCATGTCGAGCCCGAGCCGAGAGGCGCATAGGAGATGAGCCGAGAAGCACTCGGAGCTCCAGCTCGTCAACTGTGGAAGGCGTGGCAACCGGATAGATGACCTGGCAAGGCAAATGAGACCATCTTCATTGCATGCTTCCTTAACATCTTGCCTTGCATGTCCAAGTCATGTACACAAAGACAAGTATGGCAGCTTCTGGTAAGTTCTGGTACCAGGTTTCAACAAGCCTTACCAAGTAACATTTCCTTTCAAGGCTATAGGGCTTGCCCGCCAACCTCTCATTCCTTGTATGTTTCCGGGTTTTGGATTTGCCAGCCACTATCTCCCGTTGCGGGGGTTGTGGTCTGGGAAGGTGCGGTTCAGATTTGTGGTGTGGGAAGGTAGTGTTTTGACCGTGTCGGTGGGGGGGGGGGTGGGGGGGTGTTGTCTCTGGGAAGCGAGTTCGGTTTAAGGTTGAGTCTGACATGTCAAGCTGCTCAGCACCTGCAGCAGATGTCGTAGCAGCTGCTGCTGGCAACCCGCACGTTACTCAGACAGGGGAATGGGGGGGAGGTCTCCAAACTCCAACATCTGCCGCCCGAACGCAACGTAGAATTAGAAAATAATCCCTGCCCCCTGCGCACCCGGAGCGCGTGGAAGACTTCGGTGAGCAAAAATCCCGGAGCCTCTCCTGAAGCGTTTTCGAGGTCTTTGCGCTTGAGGAATTGCACTCACAAAGCTTTGGCCACGACTTACGTAAGCTGAGTCTGGCCCTGGCTGGCTGGCAAGCCACATGCATGCGGCGGATGTGAAGACTACAAACATTCGTCAACACGAGAGGTGTCAGCGGAACTAAGCTGAGCGGATTTCATGCGGTCACCACAGGCTTGGCAAAGCGGAGACAGGTGGCCAATGTCCAGGAGGTTGCCGTAGTCAGCCTCTAAGGAAACTTCTAGGGCAACCCACTACTACTTGGAGGACGAGGAGGAGGAGGAGGAGGAGGAGGAGGTGGGCAATACTGTAGGGAGGGATCATCGGAAGCCCGCCTCCTGCGTGGCGTAGCTGTGAATCTGCCATGTCCCAGCCTCCAGAACACTCTTTACATGGTGTGTCGGGTCATTGTGACATTGTGCATGATGTGAACCTCCATGGCAATGACGGTGGGGTTCCGAACAACCACGTTCCTGAGCGGGTGGCTAGGGCAGCCAGGAGCACGGAGTGGACACATCGAATTGGATCTGTGATTTGGCTTCAGGTTTCAGGCTTCTTTGGACTCAGGGCGATTGGGCAGAAAGGGCCTGGGATAAGATCCTTTAGATTCACCCTGGACCCAGAACCCAAAACACACAATCCTATAAACCCTAAACCCGTACTAAACCCGGAAAGCCGACAACCTGTATATCCCATAGCCCCTGGCCACAAACCCTAGGCCCTACAACTTATAATTATAACACATAAACAACCTGAATCCTATAAACCTCACAGACCCTGACAACCCTAAAAGGGTCCCTGAATCAGCTCTGGAAATCCGAGTCAAAAGCCGAGGCTCAGCTGGTACTTTGCCAAGGCGGCGAGCATGGTGGCCCCAACCTTGGAGCCAAAAGTCTCGAGAAGCCAAAGCAAGAAAATCAGGGTTCAGGGTTTAGGCAATTATTTGGGTCTGCACAGTGGCCACTATAGTCTATAGGCTTCAGGGTGTAGGGCGATAATAAATAACAAAAAAAAGATGACCGAATCACACGACCCAGGCGCGGGGTGGATTGATGCCGTGGAGCCCGGGAGAGGGGTTCCTGGGACAAGCGGGGAGGGTCTGAAGATAGATCGTCCTGTGGATCTCTTTGAACTTTGAACTTTGATTTGATTTGTGTGCTTTGTGTGCTTTGTGTGCTTCGGGGGGCTGCTTTGCAGTTTTGCGCAGCTCGGCTCGTCGGCTCTTCGGCTCTTCGGCTCTTCGGCTTTTCCTTCCTGGGAATGTTCTCTCGAATTGGGCTTTGGACCACCACTCAACATCAACCGTCAACAGTGCTCCTCACAGAGCCAACATCAGTGCAGTCTGGCTCACCACTGCATAAGACGGTCCCAGAGCCGGCGATCGGAGTGTCTGTGGCATCCAGCTCTTGCCTCGAGGGAGGAAGCTCCAAGGAGTCTTAGCCTACAGGCGGCAATGATCTAGCAACCGATGCACTATGGCTTCTTGTATTCCAAGAGATCAGACGCCGAGCGACACCTTGGCATGCTAGGTTGCTTCCGTGCAAAATTGCTCCCCGAGCTTCTCTCGAAAACCTTGAACTGGCGGAAATCTAAATTGCTGGCCCTTTGTGGGGTGCCCATAAATGAGGATTTGCTTTGAGCACTCCCCCAGCTGCTTAAAGTTCAACGGAAGTGCAATGCTGCTTGGCACAGCGTCGGGAAGACATAGCCAAACGGCGCCTGCACTGCGATCCCAGGCTGTCTTAGGCTGTCTTCCTAGAGACTGGAATACACTACTACACGGATGCTGGAAACAGCAACAAAAAGCGTCAGCACTTGGCATATGCACTGTCTCTCTTCGGGCTGGGAGCGAGGCTTTTTAGGCCCTTGCTCAGCGCCAAACACACCCCCCAGAGTGGAGTCATTAAAGCTCAACATGTTGCTTCTTCTCCCGCTCTCGCATCGCTCGCCCTCTCCCCTACTTGCCAAGCAACAGATGTTACCCAACGCTACGTGGCTGCGCCTGTAGTGCGAGGAAGCCTGCAGATGTAACCGCATTCGTTGTCCGGAAGCGCAGCGTCACGTTGTTGCGTGTCTCCTGGCAGTCATCTGGAGCTCTGGGCATTTGAATGTCCAGCGGGTGCGCATGGACATGCTTCTTGCGGATTCTGTGAGCCTGCGTTGGCCTCTTTGAAGATCGTTAGCAAAGGGCACCGAACAGCTACTGCCAAAACCGTGTAGCGATGCACCTCGAGACTCTCATACACTCAGGAGCATGAGGGAGTTGAACGGAAGAGGCAGAATGGTATCAGATGGGGTGAACGATATGGGAGGGTGGGAGGGAAAATCCTCTCACCAATGTCATGATGATTTTCTGGGTTCGGAGATGATACTAGATGGTTCCCATCTGGGCGCGGACTGGGCAGGGTTCCGGGCTTTGAGCATCGGATTCCTCAATGCCACCTGCCATCAAGCCGGCATGCTGCTACGGAAACCTTCGTCACAAAGTTTTACATTTGCGGGTCTCCAGATGTTCAGTTCAAGCATGGGGAGATGAAGACACATGCAAACTCTGTGGTAGTGGAGCGTACGTTGCGAGTTGGGGTCGCAGGCCATTCACGCAACTCAACCCGGAACTCAGCTCCTCGGCAAGTGTTGAACGCGCTGTTGCATCTGGCGTCACCGACACCTGCCCGGGAAGGCAGAACCTACCATATCCTAGCTGGGTTGGCCTTGTCACAGCCATCTGGGTACCTGCAGCATGCACGTACCCTTCTCATCATTGTATGCTAGGTCCCAATTTGTTGCTCTATTCTGCTCCACTTCCTTGCAGCAAGTGTGAGGCACTTTACCTCTCATCTTCGAAGCATCGAGGCTTTCGCTTTCAGCCCAGCCAGTGCGCAACAGGACTGGTCCGGCGAGTATTGGGCAACCGGACTATACTGGACTGCTGCTGCAAGCTAAGCAATCCGATCCCAAGAGCAAAGACCCCTCGGACCTCGGTGAAGCGCCAGAGCCGATAGCCCTCAAAGGGCTCCTTCCACGCTTTACGAGGCTTCTTTGGTCAGGCTTCTTTGGTCGGGGTCTTGGGAAGTGGAAACTCCCAAAAATACTCGAAGAATCCAAAAAAAACAAAAAACAAAAAAAACCTGAAGCTCGAACTGTTGAAGCTGGAAGCTGCACCCGGACCCTATACTGGGCCCCAAAAGGGCCTCAACAGGCCCTGAGCTTGAGCTGCCCTAGCTTTCGCGGACAGGCCACAGTAGCTTCACCAGCGAAGCTGATGGTCCAAAGGTTTTGTTCCTCGGGGTCTAAAGGAGCAGTCCCGGATAGGCTTCTACAATGAGGCCGGAAGCTCACAGCCAGAAAGAGACAATGCACACAATCGTAGGGCTGTTCAAGGTGCGCGCATCCGCGTGTCCAAGGTGCACACGGTATTTTGCAAGTCCAACGTGCGCACGGGGTCCCCTTTAGCACGCACGGGCCAGCGTTTTCGAGGAGGCTTCCTACCCGCTTGTCATCTGCTGTCAGTGCTTGCAGCTTCCCGCCCAACATCTCCTTTTCAGGGTTTCGGGCTTGCCAACAAACATCTCGCTTTTGGAGTTGAGGTTTCTGCTTTCCGGGCTTGGGGTTCTCTCACGTTCAAGCCTTTTGAGGTCACAACTGTTCAACGTTGTTGTGTCCGGCTTGTCCGGGCTCTTCCTCCTAAGCACTTGCAGGAATGTGTCGCGCAAATGACAGGCTGTTGCGACCATTTGAAGGGATGGGTTTGGTGGGGGAAAATCCCCACATAAACAAGCTAACAGCTAACATATAGTGCATATGACCACTGCTGCGCAAATGGTAGCTTGCGAATGGCAATCTGCGACATTTCAGAAGCAGTGGGAGACACTTCGGAGACACTCGGCACAAAAAAATGTGGGCTTCCACATGGGCTGCATGACGCAAGGCTTAGCCGTGGCCAAAGACCGGAAGCAGCATTGTGCATAAGGCTCAGACCTTGAGAAGGGGGAAGTAATGAAAAGCAAAGCCACAAGTGTGTTCCATGCCGTAAATAAACCATCCCTAGCTCCTCACCAATCTGAAGACTTGAACTACCCTTTCGGCGCGAGGAGCCGCCGTCTCCTCTCCGTTCACACCCTGCAGCCGCATCACGTAGCCTCATCTTGGGGTCAACGGTGGCAAACTCCTGTGTGTTGGAACGATTGAAGAGTTTTGGTAATATGTGTATATAGATGTACCTTTACCACGAACCTTCAAAATACCTGCCCCACCATAACGGTAAGTTCAGTAGGTTTGCAAACAGAAGCTCTGCCTCTAGGCTACCTCCCGCCTAGCGGTAGGCTTCGGGTAGACTCTAGCACCGCGACTATAGGGGTAGGCCTACCAAAAGCTCACCCCTAGCGTAGGGGTAGGCTCGAGACAGGTCTACCCCCAGGGTATGGGTAGGCCTACCCACATCTAGAGTTGGAGTAGGGACGATTTGGACCTGGAACAACCAGGCATCATCTTGAGCTCTTAAGCTACGTGGGTGCATCCACTCTTTCTGTCAAGCAGCGGCGGCCCCGGACTAGACCCGGTGCGACGAAGAGCCGCGCAGTTCGCCCACCGCCTTGCCCAAAGTTGGCGTAAACACACGGTGTAGGGTTCAGGGTTTAGAATTTAGGGTCCTCTGGTTTAGAGTGTAGCGGGGGGTTCAGGGTCTTAGGCGTAGGGCTTTGGAGCCCTTGCCGAGAGGGGAGGTAGAGTGAGGCGTGCGATCTGGATGGCTGATATGATGAAATCACATAGACAGAATGGGAGGTTCTATCAAATAGGGCCCCTTCCTGGGCTCTACTACAATACTCAGAATTTAACGTTCATGAGTTCTTTGTTCGGGGTCTCTTCACCTCAAGGAAGAGACTACAGAAATCCCACAGGTGCCTGCCCAAAACCCGCCACAACCCCACAAGAAACAGACAACACCGCTCAGAAACAAACAAGCCTCCACTAGAAACAGGCAACCCCCCAGTAAAAAACAGACAAACACCCACTGAACCTCTAGAAGACAGTTGCAGGGATCCCACAAAAACCCCACACCGATCCCAGACACTTCCCACGATTATCCACCCAAATCCCTCTTAAATGCCACTTCTTGGTGCAGCAGTCAAAACCCACACCAATCCCACACACCTCCCGCGAAAGTCCCACCAAAATCCCTCCAAACTCCCACTGAATTAACTCTAACTTTCTGGCTCCGGGTATGCGGACTTCCCACGAAGACGAAGTCCCACCAAAATCCCACTTAAATCCCCAAACTCCCGCCTAGCTCCCACTTGCATCCCACTTTCTGGCTCCCGGATATGCGGACTTCCCACGACAGTCCCAGCAAAATCCCACTTAATCCCACCAAACTCCCGCTTCAATCCCACTGTCTGGATCCGGGTCTGCGGTTCCCACACACTTCACTCGAAAGTCCCACCAAAATCCCACTTATATCACATTAAAACCCCACTCAGACATCCCCGCAAACCGTCTGGATTTTCTCAGCACCCCTTTGGACGGGAATTAAGCAGGATTTATGCGGTTCCAAGCACCCATGTTGTTGAGTTAAAGAAGCACATTTGAAGATTGAAGAAGCAGCCACTGGCATGCAAAGAAATATGGAGCCTTGTTTTACAAGAAGCTCACTCCAAAGGTGGTACGTGTTATAAAATCAGAACTGGAACTACCCTAAACCCGAAACACCAAAAATCCAAAACCCGAAACCCTCAAGCCCTCCCTATGCCACCCATGTGCCTTCGCAGGTGCTCACCACGGCGCTCGCCTCGAAGGCTGCGAAGGCCAACGGGATCTGGTTACCCGGACCGAAGACATCCTGATGTTTAGGGGGATGGCTTTGATGGCGGGGGTTGGGGTTTAGTTAGGGTTTACAGGGTTTAGAGGATCCAGGGTTGATGGGGCTCTGGGGCTCCTAGAGCTCTTGCGGGCTACAGGGCTGTTAGGATTTATGGTGTGTACGGCCTCATGAAGCGCGAATGGGTCTTGCACAGATGCGTCCCAGGGCCATTGCAGGCCCTGCACTGCCCTTCGAAGTCAATCCTCGGAACCCTATTGAACCTGTACTGGTACTGACACCGTCAATGCACGACGGCGCGCGCACAACCAGAACATTCAGATATGCTTATAAGACACGGTCATGAACATGAGAACAGCAATCACCGTCAACATCTTCATGCTGTGGCAAACAAAGACAGGCCTTCGTCAACTTTATCAACACAGAAAAGGAAAAGATATGAAAAGATATGAAAAGATGTCACTCGTTGGCCATGCTCCGAGGCTCTCCAGTCACAACGACCGTGCAGAGCGCTGGGAAGCTGAAGCCTGCGGGTGCCTGGCATCCAAAAGGCAGGGCCATGATTTGCCGGTAACGCCCCTAGACGATCTCCTTAAGGTCCTGCGGAATATGAGCTATATGAGCGATGTTTAGGGTCCATGGTCCTTGACCGTCAGCGTCGACTCGCCAGCGTTTGTGGGCGTAGAAGCGAGCTCCTTGGCACGCTTTGAGTTGTTTGTCCCTGTTGCCTCTAACAAGCCTAGCAAGCCCCAAGCCCCTTTCATGTCTCAGCTCAACACCTTTGCTTTCTGTTGGCCTAGGGAATAAGGGAATCACAACAAGAATAGCAAGTAGGTATATGAATCCATTTTCAGAACAGCAGGTTAAACAAGCTCATCTCGGAAGCGAGCCCAGGCCGAAGCTACCGACACCCACCCCAGCGTCTAACCGTCCAAAGCTGCCTGATATGGCTGCTTTATGCTGTGTTGTAGGGCTTAGTGAGTGTAGGGCGGAGGGTTCAGAGTTTGTCGCACTACCAACAGCGTATGCATCTGGTGGTGGTTGAGCCGAGCATCGAAGGCCAGGATGACGTTTGTCACCTCCCGAGAAGAGAGTCATTCTCTCAAAAGGGTGCTTGCAATACCAATCTGCAAATTTAAGAGTGAAAGTGGAGGTCGCAATCGATGCTGGCCTGGCCAGGGTGATCATCGCGCCCGCTGTCCGCCGAGTTGACGCCGCTCTCCTGTACGAAGAGCGTTGGGCAGAGGACGAGCTTTGGGTTTTGGGGGTTGTTGGGGGTTGACAGGGTTTAGGGCTTCGGGGGTCCGAACCTTGAAGGGGGAAACCCGGATCCATGGACATGTGTCGAACAAGTGCCTTCAACAGAGGACAGTGGGAAAGACTTGCTGGTGTTTGCATGGGATGAATCCTGGCTCGGGCTTTGGCATCAAAGCCGCAACAACACCTTGTCAGCCCTTCAAGGCTCCTTAAGCCTCTTATGCCCCGCCTTCAGCCCCCACAAGCCTCTGAGGCTTCTAAACCCTCTAAGCCCTCTTAACCCTCTGAACCGTAAGTCCCCAAAAGCTAGCACGGAGATCAGCTCAAGAGGCAGGGCCCAGGAGAGCACCGAAGTTCATCGGGCTCTCCACCTGGAAGCCTGGGTTTAGGGTTTGGGGCTTAGCGGATGCGTGGGGAGGGGAGCCGGGGAGGCGGGGGAGGCGGGGGAGGCGGAGGAGAGGGGTTTCATGCATCGGAGAGGATGTTGCACTCTCGACTTTCAAGTCTTGGGGGGTTGGGGTTTTTGAGGGCTTCGAATTGAACTTAGCCTCATGGCTTCGAGTTGAAGGTCCGCGTCCTACAAACCCTACATTCCTAAATTCCTACATTCTCAGGGAGACAAAAGCAGTGGGCTTTCAGGGCGCGGAGCGCCCAACAAATCGTTTCGCGCTATGGGGAAGACCTCAGAAGCGACGGGCACGTCGAAACTGCCAGGAAAGCGAAGGAACATTGCAAGAAGTTCTGCGATGACAATTGCACCATTGCAGCAACAGCATCATAACAACAAAATAGAAACATAAATAGCAATAAGAAGAAAGAAGAAGAAGCCTGTAAATTCGCCTCGGCTTCCTGCCGAGAAGCGTCTGGAACAAGCAGACCCGGATCGGGCCTCCTTCCTCCCCAACCCAAGCCAAATTTTTTGACGCAACCCCCCCCCCCCCGCCCTGTGGGACCCCCCCCAATCCCTTGGAGGCGATGACGTGGAGGGTCCGCTTGTCGGTTCGCTGCTGCAGGGAGTGCCTCAAAAAACCCCCCTCCCACCCCCCCCCAAACCCCCCCACCCCCCCCCCACCCCCCCCCCCCCCCCCACCCCCCCCCCCCCCCCCACCCCCCCCCACCCCCCCCCCACCCCCCCCCCCCCCCCCACCCCCCCCCCCCCCCCCCCCCCCCCACCCCCCCCCCCCCCCCCCCCCCCCCCCCCCCCCCCCCCCCCCCCCACCCCCCCCCCACCCCCCCCCCCCCCCCCCCCCCACCCCCCCCCACCCCCCCCCCCCCCCCCACCCCCCCCCCACCCCCCCCCCCCCCCTCTCCTTTTTTTGCGAAACCCTCTTTCCTCCTTTCCTGTCCTGGGGCCGGCCCGGCTGCCGAGGCGGCGCGCGCAAGCGTTTACAATTAACGATTGTGAGTATTCTTATGATAAGTATTACGCGGATCAACATTATTGCTGTTGGTATTATGCTTACCTCTGGTAGCGGCTACGGATGGCCTATTGCGACTGTTGCAGCCGAGATGCCCTCAGCCGTCGAGCCAAGGTCTGCAACCTGCCGCCCCTCTTGTTGGGTCCCCTAAACGGGCTTGGGGTTTATAGTGGCTCTCGGCCAAGTGCAGCAGAACAACTCATCCCTGAATCACAAAAGCTCCTCCGCATCCGCCGAATTTGTGAAGCTGGAGATTCTCCACTCAAGTCCTGCCAGTGTCTTGAAGATCCAAAAGCCCCCCTAAAATCCGAGGCTGTTCCATGCTGTTCCTCGCCTCCGCACTTCATGCCCTGCAGTTCGAGAGCACACTTCGACTACCAAAAGACCTCCCGAGAAACCCGACACCAGCCCAACCAAACCACCATAAAACCCCTGCTTAGGCCTCTACAACCTACCCCTTTCGGTTCAACTCCAAATCTAAACCCAAAAAACTCTCAACCCTATTCAACCGACCCCTTTTGTTGCAGGCTCCTCCAAGCTCCGGGACCAATGGGTTCCGGGCCGCTAGGGCCATGACGTAGGGCCCGGCCGGGACCTCCGAGCTTTGGGGCTTGCAGAGGGACGCTTTAGGGCTTGAAACCTTTCCTATCCCCAACCTAACTCGCCCTTTCCAAACAAGCAAGGCCCAAGTAACCGTACTTCCGCTTTGATTGGTCATACGGACAGGTGTGGTAGATTTGCAAGTATAGATGTTCTAAATATACATGTAAAGGGTTGTGTGTGTGAAAGACCCAAGACCGTACAAAATGATCCAGATTAGTGGGTCTCTTGCGCCATCCTTCCATTCACGCAGTTCTAACCAGAAATACAATTGCAAAATGCTCGCGATCGAAGGTCATAAGTGAGCGACCCAAAATACCATTAATCAGTGTTATGCTATGCTTGTGCCTGTTAACCATTCGAAAATGCCCTATACAAAGCCCCTATAACATACGTATTTTAGAGACTTCTTTGGCCGCGTGACGGGATGCAATGCTCTTCCCTTTAAAGAACTGAAAAGTATTGACTCTAGGGTACACCACCTCTGGAGACCCTTAAAGAATCATTCCAAATCTTATCCATAAGAAGATCATAAGAAAGCCATGAGAGAGAGAGAGTGGGAGAACAAACAACACACTCCTAGCAGACCCAGCAGAGTCCCTTGCGCGACTCCGTCCGACAATAGTCCTTAAGTTGGGCTTGTTCAAGAGGGCAAGTTATGCTTCAGTCATCTCTCAAATTCTGTGGGTTTGTCTGATCTTCCGGAGTGGGAAGCCTCGCCAGCAACCACACGGAGAGTGACCTGCAGCTCACAGCAACACAAGGGGGACGCCACCAAAAGAACTCAAACTCTTCGGGTTTATAAGGAAAGCACTAGACGACAACAGTAACTACTGCAGCTCCACACATGCTTAGGGTGTGGTGCAGGGCTGGCTGAAATGGGAGGGTTATGAGTACCACATGATGTGTCCAGGGGTGTCTGCCTTGGACATTGGCAGCAACTCCGGGCACCCCGCTCGAACCCGAAATGCCCGATAATTCTATCCATGTAAAACCCGTGTGAATGCCTTCTTCAAGGCTGTGGAAACCCTACCCGATCAGCCCCGCACACAACGGGCCACAGGCCGCTTCTTAAAGCCCTGAACCGTGCATGGCCTGCGGCCGCTGCGTGGTGGTGGGGACGACAGCGCTGCAGAGCAGCGTGGCGCTGACGGCGGCCAAGTCCTGTTTGGGTGGGGGAGTGGAGGGGATGGGAATTGGGATAATTTGGGGTTTAGTTTCGTTTCATATCGAGTTTTAGGATTTCTTGGGGGTGTCGGGCTTTTGGGCATCAGCAAAAGCCCCAGCCTGATACAGCACCTCCAGGGATGGAGCCACCTGTAGTGCGCAGCTCTCCTGCGCTGACAAGAGCAGCGGTGGGCTCTAGGGCCTCTTGTAGACGCTGAGAGGGCAGCTCATGGAATCGCCTCCTCCTTTCTAGGGATCAGGGTGACTTTGCCGGCTCGGGTGCGCCCGGCAAAACAAAGCCCCGCCTCCACCGCGAAGCCTGCGGGTGCGTCCACTAGAAGGCTGCCGCCAACCGGCAGGGCCGTGATGGACTGGAATTGGATCATCAGCACATTCCTTGGCATGACAACCCCGCACGACTCAACCCTGCTAGTCACAGAGGGGTCGTGAGATGAAATGCATATGCCAGAAGTTTCTCCATCGAACTAGAAGGCTGTTGAGCTTCGGGCTTTAGCCGTTGACCTGAATTTTGGGCCTCCATTGTTTGACCTCCAATAGCCGTTCAGTTGGGCGGCTGCTGCCCGGCCAGCGACGTGCGGAAGTAGTCCACGTGGAAGTTCACCAAGGCCCGCACCTCCCCACTCTTTCGGCGATGCTCTGCTATTGGTACATGTCTATGTATATGTGTATGAAAAAACTCACATATCATACATTGCAATATTTTGCTGCGAAGCTCCTCACCCTTCTAGACGAGGGTTGCAGATTTGCACTCGGGAGGGGTTGAGCAGAGGGGTTGCCAATTTCCCCTCACTTCCGGAGATTCCGGGATGCTCCCACTCGACCGCGCATGCTCATGCCGGATTCCTACGGCTTTGCCTGCGGCGCGGGTGTGCTGGCTGCAGCCCTTCGACCCGTGGCCGTGTTGGAATCATAGCCAAACTCCAGGAGGAAGACGTTGCCTTGGGCTATGGCGGGGAGAACGCGGTGTACTCCGAACGACTGAATGAGGACAGGATCGCCAAGTTGTTGAATGCCAACACCGACAAGTACTTGCAAAGATTCACTCGGGCCTGGAAGCTTGGAGGCTTGGCGGATTGCTGGATGGCCTAACATGGCCTTGGACCCTTGCAGCTCAAACAGGCCCAAGGGGCTCGAAGCCAGCGGTGTGCCGTCCGGTACGCGGATCCTGGCAGCGAGCCCCCCCCCCCAGCTCTCGTGGTTCCTGCAGTGTAAACGCAGGATATTCCAGCGACTTTTGTCCATCCTCACCTCTAAAAAGACTCCTGATGGGCTAAACAAGGAGTCATCACCCCGCCGCGAGAGCCAAAAGCTCTGCCGTTGAGGCTCCTGGCCACCAATCCATAAGTCTGAGTCCGATCCCAGCCTCCTGTGCCAGCTGGAAATGAGTTTGATTGAACATCTGGTTGAAATGAGTGACTTTCTGGGGCTTTGGGGGGTTGTAATCCGAATAGGTTAGCACTTCTTAGTTCCCCAAACAATGCGTCAACACTAAGGGGCTCCAACGTGAAGGGTAACAGGGACCAGAGTGTGGCGCACTTTCAGGCGCCCGCGGCCCGTACCATGCGATTTTCTGGCTTCCATATTCCACGAACATCGCGGTGCAACTCTAGATACTCTAGATTCTAGATATTCTAGGCACGAGCATGGCCGCGCTGACCGTCCTAGAAATTGTCACCCGCCAAGGCGTCGAACAGACTCGAGCAAGTGCTGGAATGGAAATTGTCGGTTGCGGTTATCGTTGTCGTTGTCGTTGTCGCTGGCGCTGTGGTTGTGGCTGTGGCTGTGGCTGTGGCTGTGGCTGTGGCTGTGGCTGTGGCTGTGGCTGTGGCTGTGGCTGTGGCTGTGGCTGTGGCTGTGGCTGTGGCTGTGGCTGTGGCTGTGGCTGTGGTGGTTGTTGGTCGTTGGTCGTTGGTCGTTGGTCGTTGGTCGTTGGTCGTTGGTCGTTGCTCGTTGCTCGTTGCTCGTTGCTCGTTGCTCGTTGCTCGTTGCTCGTTGCTCCTTGGCCGTTGCTCGTTGGTCGTTGGTCGTTGGTCGTTGGTCATTGGTCGTCCGTTGTCCGTTGTCCGTTGTCCGTTGTCCGTTGTCCGTTGTCCGTTGTCCGTTGTCCGTTGTCCGTTGTCCGTTGTCCGTTGTCCGTTGTCCGTTGTCCGTTGTCCGTTGTCCGTTGTCCGTTGTCCGCGGTCGCAGTCGCGGTCGCGGTCGACGTCGTCGACGTCGTCGTCGTCGTCGTCGTCATCGGCTTCGTCGTCGGCTTCGTCGTCTTGCTGCTTGCTGCTTGCTGCTCGCTGCTCGCTCCTCGCTGCTCGCTGCTCGCTGCCCGCTGCGTGCTCTGTTGTCTCTGCTACTGTCTCTGCTACTGTCTCTGCCACTGCTGCTGCTGCTGCTGCTGCTGCTGCTGCTGCTGCTGCTGCTGCTGCTGCTGCTGCTGCTGCTGCTGCTGCTGCTGCTGCTGCTGCTGCTGTTGTTGTTGCTGCTGTTGCTATTGCTTGCTGTTGTTGCAAGATTATGCTACCATGGGACAACAGAGGCGCAAAATCGTGGCAAACGCATGATCACAAAACCATTTGATTTGTTCAGCTGCGGTTTCTGTTGGGGCCAGCTTCTCGCCTCAATGGACTTAACCAATCTCTGCCCTGCACACGCTGCTAAGCCACAAGCCTACTTTTCTGCGGACAGTACACGGCTGCGAAGGATGCTGTTTGGTCCATTTCTTGGGGCACGCTACCTTAAATAGTGAAGCGATAGGGGTCGTATGGATGCCAAGCATAAAACCCCCGGATCCTTGGAAGTTGCCGGCCACGGTTAGGATGGCCAGGGGCTCCGCTGAGGGCGCTGTGGGTGCTGCGGCGATGGGCAGGTCCGCAGAGACTCCCAGGATGTCCTCACGGGGCCATCTCCGGGTTCACAAGGCTTTGAGGCTTTTTTGGGGTTTACAGGCATAGGGGGTTTAGGGGTTTAGGGGGTTCAGTAGAAGATCGACGGGGTTTACGGGGTTCAGGCAGTTTCGGGGTGAAGGGTTTAAAGTGGGGCTTGGTGCGGAGCTTTGGACATTGTTTGGCGCTCGGCCCCGCCTGTCGCCGATACAGGAACTCTGCTGGCCGGAAGTCCTAAGCACTTCGAGGTCAAGGGGCTTCCATATACGGCTCTTCATACTTCTCTGTCCGCCTTCGAAGGGGTAATGGCCCTTAACCCTAAACCCCCTTAGTTGCCGAGGCACCCAGATGAAGCCCAAAGGCGCCACAAGGCGCCAGTTCACTGGGTCCAAAGAGTCGAAGGGCACCTTTTCCGGAAGGAGCAGATTCTCGAGGGTTTAGGGCCTTGCCTATGGGACCTTCGCGGCTTAGGGCTTAGGGTTTGGGATGGTTTGGGGTTTCGGGAGGCTCCCTGAAATCGAAACCATTGTGCCTTCAGCGGGAAAACGACCACACGGGTGGCCAAGCCACTTTCCGAATATGGTAGCATGCTGTCGAAGGACAGCACAAAGGAGCCTGCTCTGCGGCGACAAAGGTGGTCATGGGTGGCTTCGGGCTGCTTTGGGTTTCTGAGGTACTCCGGCGCAAGGCAGCTACTCAAACAAGAAAGCGACACCCAATGCAACAACAGCGCCCCCCCCCTCCCTCTACTGTGCAGAAAGCTGCAGGCCAAGAGCCACCAACACCGAACTCTCCAACAACCCAGAAACCCGACCCCAATCGGCCTGAGGGCATCGGCTCCTCGTAGACCTGGACAAAGTTTGGGCCAGAGCTTCGCCAGGGCTGTGGTGAAGCTGGGGAAGAAATCGAAGAAGAAGCTGCCGGAGCCCAGATTCGGGTTCAGGCTTTTGGTTTTAAGCGGGTGCCATGCAGGATTGCTGCGGATTGCTGCCAGAGGGCTCCAAAGGAGGTGCCGGGTCCCTCCGCGTCGCTGGCAATGTAGCGGATGGTGCTGTACGTCGCCTGGGAGCTTCAAGAGACAAGCAGAGGCCTTGTTCAGTTGCAAGGATGTGTGTTTTTGCTTCAGGGTTTGTAGGCTTTAATAGGGCTCGTGAGGTTGGAAGGGTTTTGGGTTGATCATGTGTTGGGGTTTGTGAGATCAGGGTTTATGGGGGTCAGGGCAGGAGGGCTCGGACCCCATTTGACCCAACGCCAGGTGGCGTCGATGTCGTCGCCGGCCGTACTCCGAGTCGTGAGCCTGGCAACTGCTTCAAACCTACACCGCACTTGACATCACGGAATGCCACAAGCAACCTTTCATCCAGTGAACGAAAGTTGCGTGCAGGCACTCGCAACTACTTCATTGTAGAAGTTCCACCTCACGTGTCGGTTCTCCTCGACACCTGAGCCTTCGATTCGAGGAATCCTTCAAACCCAGGCCCCCTGGCCTGAAGCCGTCTTGCTGGGCGGAACTGTACCTGAGCCCGGCCACAAGACAAGGATCGGGTCGCTCTAGTTCTTTCACTCTTTCAGCCGAGCTTCTGCACCGCGTTGAAGACCTGGATTTCGAAGCCGTAAGTGCTTCCAGCAGCCTCAAGTAACTAGGCGATGCCCTTTGCAACTTAATTCAACATGACCGAAGTGCTTCAGATTCACGGATTCATGCCCGCAGAAATGAGCAAACAGGCAAGGCACAATGCGCACGCTGCTTGGCAGAGTCACCTGGCCGAGGAGAAGCCGCGACGTCTCAAAACCAAACTCCGACAGCCATCTTGTGCTATGGGAAGCTGGGAAATTGGGAACCCTCAAGCCGCCTCCCAAACCCAGAAGGCTGTAAAACTGAAAATTCCTGGCTGTGGCCTCGGGATTCCAAGTTTCGGGATCTCGGAAAGCCCGGCCTTGAATTTCAAGGTGTCAAGGCCTTGAAATTCCACAGTTTGGGGGGCTGCTAAAATGAACTCGGCCCAGAAACTTGACTTTACAGGGTCCACCCCCACCGGACACCTCCAAACAGCCGCAAACAGCCGGGGACACTTGACTGGAGGGCCCATACTAAAGTGGGTCCAACAGTACCACGCAGAATCATTGGGCCTTTGGTTGGCGGTGACTTACATGTTCATCTTCGGCCACTTGTGGGCACATGTGGGAACGGCGGTTCATTGCCTCGTCGCGTTGACTTAGTCGAAGTGACCAGGGACGGATCAAGAAAGACTGGGTGCCCGTCACAGGCACCTTCTAGAGCCGGGCTCCTTATCAAGCGGTCCGCCCAACGGAGGCCCTCAGAACGGGGTACCACCCTCTTAACCAAAAGTCACAGACGCCCTAAAACGCTCAAAGGCCAATGCCTCGGCGATGTTGGGTGCACCTGAAAGGTTCAGGGTCTCTCGGGTTTGAAGGTTGTGGTTTAGTAAGCTTTATAACGCCCTTTGTTGGGGGGATTTTCGGGAGCAAATCCAAAATAAACCTGGTCTGAAAGCTGCTGAGGCCTGTACCTACACATACATTACAAGACAGGACTGGTCTTGGGGGTCGGGGCCAATAGCCGAAAACCCCTTGGTTCAGGGGTATGGCCTCAACCAACTTTTGTTGGGGATATTGGAGGCTCCGGGGAGAGGAATCCGGCGGGAGGGGGATGTGCAAGGTTCTAAGTTCTATGTCCTGGCAGATTTGACGAACTCTCAAAAATCCCCGGAGTTTTCGGGTTTCGGTATGAACTTGCTTTTTTTCAAGGGACTGAAGGAAGAACCCTTTTTCTTTTTAGGGACCTTTGGGGTTCTTTAGGGGTTTATGAGAGGCTACTTCGGTATTTAGGGACTACAAAAGGTCTGTGCAGGGTAAAAAGGGGAATAAGACTAAGGGTCCCTTCTGAGGGTCCCTCCTTATACTCTGTTTTTCGTTTTACAAGCCTTCCAAACCCTAACTCCTAAAGGATCTAACATATGAACGATATGCAAGACTACTGTTCAACTACAGCAACTACATGGTGAGATGCTTCAATCGAACTCCCAAGTGACAGACCAAGTCGTAGACCTGAACGACGCGCCCAAGCCTAAGCCCCATCCCGACCTCCGACTCGGCAGCGCCGCACAGCCACCGGCGAGGTCGGGCGCAGCGCGGCCGTGCCGGCGAGTTGCACGGAGGGCGCGGCCTTAGAATTCCACTTACTAGTTCTGGTATCCCGCCAGATGAATTGTAATTCGCCTCGGCTTCCTGCCGAGAAGCGTCCACCCCCCCCCCCCCCCCCCTGTGGGACCCCCCCCAATCCCTTGGAGGAGCTGCAAACCGATGCCGTGGAGGGTCCCGCTTGTCGGTGGCTCCTACAGGGGGAGTGCCTCAAAAACCCCCCCCCCCCCCCCCCCCCCCCCCCCCAACCCCCCCCCACCCGCTCTGCCCTTCCTCCCTCTTTCGTCCTGGGGCCGGCCCGGCTGCCGAGGCGGTGCGCGCAAGCGTTTACAATTACATGGTTGGGCAAAGTCTAGGGTCCGAGGAGGTTTTGGAGTTTGGGGTTTTTTATGGCGGTCCTTGACGCTGATCGGTCTCGAACTAAAGACTGGTTGCGATTGCTGTAGTCCTGGTCCACAGATGCAAGGGGCGTAGTGTACCCACTTGTTCTCTACAGCCAAACCTTCAACCCTAAATCCCCAACCAGAAACCCGGACCGCATGATTGCAGCAAAGGGCGTAGTGGTAAGCCGGCAGCGGCTGGGTCAGGCAGCTTGGCGGGAAGCTGAAGCCCTGGCTCGTTAGGTTTACTCCGGAGTCTACCCTTAGGAAAACTCCTTAAGTTTCAGGCTGACTTTCCCTTTATGAGCACAATTGGATGAAGTCCTCGGGCACACGCAGCTCCAGAGCTCCCCCGTTGCCAGGACCGCTTTGCTCGGCAGTGAAGAAGACGGAGAGCCAATTCCTCTCTCAAGTTGCGATGTTAGCGCTGGGCCCTAGCGGCAAGGGTTTGTGGGATGCGTGAAAGTTCAGGTTCAGGGTTTAGGGCAGAAGCCTTCAGCAGACATTTCCACGAACGTCTATGACAGAAATTTGTCTTCTGCAAGATGTGTGGGCTACAGCCTCGATTCTCAGAAGCGATTCAGAGATGGTCGACACAGGTACCCTCAGGCTGGCAACTTGAAGAAAGCTTCGGAGGCGTAGGGCAAGGCCTGGCTTAGCTTGGCTTTAACAGAGGCCGATAAGAACCGCCAATTTACCTAGCCTTTTTGCGGGCTCGAACTCTCAAACCCGGGAATCTTAGGAAGCAGCCTAAGCCTGAGCCCTATCCCGACTAAAACCCCCAGACCCCACAGAAAAGAGAAAGAGAGAGAGGGAGGCAAGTCTTGGGGTTCCTGAGGTGAGTTTCGAGACACTTCCCACCTGGTGACGCCCGCTCCGAAGAACTCAGGCGTGACCGTGGCATCTGCACGGGCTTTAGAGGTGTTGTGAGTGTTTGGGAGTGTTGGGTGTTTCGGGGGCTAGGATGTTCTTTTCTTTTTCCCGAAAGCATGGCGAGGGTTTTTTCAGCGGAGGTAGTCTTCGGGAAGATTCGTCGTTGTTGATGATGCATGGATGGATTTCGTGATGGATGGTGGATGGATGGACGGCGTGATGGATGTCGTGGCTTTCCTCTTGAAACTGATGTGTTTTAAAGCAAGGGGTATGGTTGACGGAACTCGCCGCACCTGCCACAAATCATCGCGCTGGCGCGTGCAAAGGCCTTCGCTTTCTCGTGCGCGAACGACAACCCTCCGCGTGGCCGCGGGGTGTCATGACGCTGGCGCGTGGGAGGTGTTGGCATTTTCGTCCGCGAACGACAACCCTCTGCGTGTTCGCGGGGTGTCGCGACGCTGGCGAAGTGTTCTAAGGTCATTTCTACACCAGTCGCGGTTGTTGCTTACAAGGATCTGGCGGGGGTTCAGGTCCGCATGGATGCCGTCATGGATGTCGTGATGATGATGGATGACGCGTGCATGGATGCCGTCAAGGATTTCGAAAATTAGTGATGTCTTAACTACGGCTCTAAAATGCTTTCGGGAGAACCGTTCTCTAGTTTGCTTCTTTTTTGTTGGAGGGGGTGGGGGGGAAGTTAGGGTTTCGAGGGTTTTCTGTTTTGGGCTCGATACGCGGGCAGGTCCTCAACTTATGGCCCCTGGCTGTGTCCTGCGATTTAATACGCACCGGTACCTTACCTCACAAGCCTTTTATGTGCCACACGTATATTTGACAGCACAAGCCTAAAGCCTGCAAACTCTTGCAAGCCCCGAAAATCCCGCAGCTCGGCCTCTCAAGACCCCCAAGACCGGCACATTCTTCCTCAGCCTGCACTGCTTCGTCTCTATACGTTGAAAGCGTTGACAGCTTTGAAAGTCTAGGATTTAGGGATTAGGGGTGATAGGGAAGCTTCTCCAGAACCTGGTAGGGTGAATGGGGACCTATTCCGAGCAAGGAAGTTCGAAGCTCGAGAAAAAAGAAAAGCCGTCGGGGGGTTTGGTTGGGCTCTTGCCTTGATCTTGATGAACGAAGTTTGCACTGGGTTCTTGGCTTTGGGTGCTCAGGTTTGCTATCCTCTGGCGAGAGCTGGGACAGGTGCCCCCAAATACCTAAAGCCTCAGCTCTAAACCCGCATCTGGGCTTAAGGGAGGTCTTTGATTTTTCTTGGGGGTGGGGGGAGGGGCGACGGGGTGGACGCAACTACGGGCTCTTTCTTGATAGCCCCGTAAATGCCAGGACCGGACCATGCTAGATCCATCCTCATGTGCCTCGCCGATTCTTCGGTCAGAGCCGTCAGCAGTCCGGTTCTCGGCAGCGCCTGGGGGTTTGTACGATTGTCCTCTCCTTTGTCTACAACGGTTCAACCACGACGTCTCGTAAATCCTCTGGTTGATTCCGACTCAGATTCCGATCGCTCCCATGCTTCCTTCTGAGAGCGAGCGGCGGTCGAAGCGGTAGCCAGAGGAGCTGTTGTGCCACGGAGCCTGCACAGGTCATGGGGGCCTTCGTTCATTTACGCTACACTGCACATCAAAGGCAATAGCCCTAAACATCGCGAAGCCCGGCAGCCCGATTATAAATGCCTGAAAACACTTGGCCTGAGAGTCCAAACGTTCTGCGGGTCGTTTTGGGGGAGCGCGAAGATGGGATTGTTGACCACCAGCTTCCTTTGACAGTGCAAACGACATTCGTGTTTGGAAGTTCGGGGCTTGGTAGGGAGACTAGGGGTTGGAAGGCCGAGGGATTCCTTGCTGAGAGCACGCCGAGGTTTGGTGACCGGCTTCAGTGAGGGAAGCAACTTGATGTGCACAGGCAGAACCAGAACCAGTTGTGGATAGAGAAAACGGCTTGCACTGGTTTTGGCTGATGCCTTACCCTTAGCTTTTGCTTTGACCTTCTGTTTAGGAAAATCGGCGCATGGGTACAACGTGGAACAAGCTTCAAAGGGGGCCAGATGAGGCCAATTTGGTGTGGCTCTCGCCGAAATCTTCCAGGCACATGGCCCAAGAAGCTTTGCCCTCTTCCCCTTCCTTCTCCCCAACAAATTAAACAGCGCAAAACAAAGCACAAGAAGCACAAACAAACAGAAAAGACAGAGAGAGAGAGAGAGAGAGAAAACAAAAACAAAAAAACAAACAATGCACGTGACACAAAACAAATCGTCGTCCAAGCGGCAGGACGATGGCACTGCCGGCATAGACCACCCCATAAGAGCGGAGAACGTAGATGCAGAAGCGACCGCTGTAGAGCCAGTACCCTTAGATTGGCGCAGTGAAAAAGTCCGCAGGCGTGGTTTGGGGGCTTCCGCTTGTAAGTGCAAACAGATGAACATTCAGCTGGCACATGCTGGAACAGGTTGAGGCACACTGCTTTCTGGCACCCCTTCGAGAAAGCAGCTGACTCTCGGAGGCTTGCGCAAAAGGACTCGTCCGGCTCCGCTCACGAGAGCCGCAAAGCCAAAATCTCAAGTGTGACTCGAACTCCCCGTCTGCATGTTCTTTGCGGGACCACCTACCGAGGTCCCGTTCGATTTGGCTTTCTCCTCTTCGCTGTGAAGCCTGTGATTTCAGCTCAGGCGCCATCTATCTGTGGATCCAGGCCGATGTCGCCCCGGCCCTGCATCAGCAATATCCCTGGAACATCAAATCTGAGAGCAGCAGTCCGGCCTAGAGAACATTCGCCTTGGAGCCCCTGAAGCCCGGAACCCGGCACAGATCCGAATGATACCATGAACGTATCAGATGCCTGTCGAAGAGCTCACTGACGGGCCTGCGGAACCTCCGGCATCGCCCTCGAATCCATGTAGGAGGTGAGCTCCTACTTTGATTTTGTCAAAATCACCTTGGACCCAGCCGGACACACTGTGGCTCCATCTCTCCCTTTCTCCCACTTTACAAGAAAAGGAGAGTAGTAGAGAGAGAGAGAGGAGGCAGAGAGAGCGGGGGCTGACTCTGCATTTGGATCGCTGCAATCTACTGATGACTCAAGGCTCCTCTGGTGCAGCGGGGCCTGCATCGATACCTGAGCAGATCTGCAACATGCAAACGATACAGAACTTGTAGTATACCTGCAGAAGCAGTCCTGTGTGTGTGTGTGTGGATTGTAGAATGTTAATCGCATGATGGCGCATGGTAACCGGCGACGTATGTAGAAAAATCTATGTGATCATATTCTTCTTTTCTCTTGCTGGAGGGCTGCTGCTCTGTCCGGTGTCCTTGGCAACTGCCACTCGGCAGCAAAGGGGGGAACTACGAGTACTACGGGTCACAAAGGACGGAATCACTACAGGAATCGCTACAGTCGCTACAGAGAAATCACTACATGAATCAAGGTAGGAATCAGGCCTAAGGCCTAGGATTCGGAGAGAAAAAAAGAGCGTGCGCGTCGAATGTCCTCCTCCGAAGCTCACTCAGCTCACTCACGTGATCTCACTTGGTGTTGCCTTGCTCGGCTCCGTTCTCTCGCAACAAATCGGCGATGCTGGTGTGGCCACAGCGGCAAGCAATGGAAAAAGGCGTGTCTCCGTACTTGTTCGCGGCATCCTGGTGTTGGCAAGGACACACTTCCCAAGATCTACTTTTCTCGTCCAAGCGACGGACATTGAACTTTGGCAGCTTGGATTTTCTTAGGCCTTCATAGCGAGTCGCTAGGACTTTACTAGTCTTTACCAGCTAGCTCTATTCGAAGAGATCCCTGATAAGAAGCTTGTTGAGCTCAAGGGTTGTTCAGCACATCTGATCCTGAGCCTGTGCCTTGGATGCACTTCCAAAGCATTGCCAAAGTGTCCACATTTTGAGGCTGAAGGTTGGGGGAAGGTTTGGGGGAAGGTTTGGGGGAAGGTTTGGGGGAAGGTTTGGGGAACCCCAGAACCTAAGGGTTTAATGTTGCACAGAAGGCATAATTAAGCTTTCTCGAGAAGATGGGATACTTGAAGCCTGAAGCCTCGACCTTTCCAGGATCTCCAAAAGTCTTCTTTCTTCAGGGCGCCTTTTCTTTCTACAAATTCCTGACTTAAAACTATATGATTACATAGGCGAATCATATCCGGAAAGGGGGTACCTTACGGAGGCCTCCGGGCATACTTTAATACCTTTGTTTGGGGGCCCGCTATAATGCAAGTCTCCCGGGGCCGGGGGCTCAGTCCTTCGGGTTTCAGGAAGGCATAAGCTTTCTCGAGAAGATGGGATACTTGAAGCCTGAAGCCTCGACCTTTGCAGGATCTCCAAAAGTCTTCTTTCTTCAGGGCGCCTTTTCTTTCTACAAATTCCTGACTTAAAACTATATGATTACATAGGCGAATCATATCCGGAAAGGGGGTACCTTACGGAGGCCTCCGGGCATACTTTAATACCTTTGTTTGGGGGCCCGCTATAATGCAAGTCTCCCGGCACCGGGGGCTCAGTCCTTCGGGTTTCAGGAAGGCATAAGCTTTCTCGAGAAGATGGGATACTTGAAGCCTGAAGCCTCGACCTTTCCAGGATCTCCAAAAGTCTTCTTTCTTCAGGGCGCCTTTTCTTTCTACAAATTCCTGACTTAAAACTATATGATTACATAGGCGAATCATATCCGGAAAGGGGGCACCGAACGGAGGCCTCCGGGCATACTTTAATACCTTTGTTTGGGGGCCCGCTATAATGCAAGTCTCCCGGGGCCCGGGGCTCAGTCCTTCGGGTTTCAGGAAGGCATAAGCTTTCTCGAGAAGAAGGGATACTTGAAGCCTGAAGCCTTTCCAGGGTCGGGTGGCAGCTTACGGAGGCCTCCGGACCCCTTCCCTGCCTGACTGTTTGGGGTCTTTTTTTATTCAGGGTCCTCGACTGTTTGTGGGGGGGGGGGGGGGGGGTAAGCTTATTAAAGCAGGTCCAACATTGTCCCGGTGCGCGCCTGCGAACACCGGAAGGAGAGCAAGAGCCGCACCACCTCCAAGCGGTCGGCTACGCAGGACACGAACAAAGGCGTCGATCCACAGTAGGCGGGCTTGTCCTTGCAGACACGTCGCTAACCGCTAACCTTTCAAGCTCATTCTGTGGGTTTGAAGCTTCATGAAAACATTCAGGCAGCCGGTCATGGGTTTGTAGCCCCACCCCCCCTGTCCCTTTGCATCCCGGATCATCTCCTATCTACAGGTGGGTCCCCTTGATCCCATTTGATCCCCTTTTGATCCCCTGATCCCCTCCTTGTTTGCGCCAGCCTCAAGAAGGAGCCGTGCCACTTCGACGTGGCCACGCTCCGCTGCCTTCAGGAGAGGGGTCTCCCCTTCCTCGTTGCTGCTATCCTTGTTCGCCTTGGCCTCGAGCAAGAGCCGCGCAATCTCCAAATGCCCCTGCTGCGATGCCACGAAGAGCGGCGTGGAGTAGGCCTCGGACTTCTCTTTGTCAGCCCGGGCCTCCAAAAGCAGCCGTGCGACCTCCAAACGCCCCGTCAGGGCCGCCATGAAAAGCGGCGTGGGCCCTATGGGCCCGTAGCCGCCATAGCCGCCGTAGCCGCCGTAGCCGCGGCCGGCCGCGGAGTGCCGGGCGTTCCTAGTATGGGAGAGATCGTCAACTTCACACATGTCACCCAGCTGCAAGCTGCAATTGTCTGCAAAGAACTTGAATGTGCGTAATTACCTCCAAAGCTCAAATCCGCCCGCGCTTCCAGAAGGTATCGCGCCATGCTCAGTTGGCCACTTTTGGCCGCCATCAGCAAAGGCGTGGACCCCACAACGTCCGGCTTGTCAATGTCTGCACAGGCCTAACATTTTTCATACATTTTCATACGTTCGCATTCCCAGCGGCGCAATGGAAACACTCATCCGAAACCTGTAACTCCCAAACCCTGAACCCTAATTGAAAATGTTCGCGTCAACTCGAACCGGCCTCCTGCAACAACTTCGCAGCTGCTATGAAGCCGCGCTCCGCTGCCACATGTAGCGCCGTGGTCCCATCACGGGCAACCGACAAGTCGGCGTCCTGCGCGGAGATGCGCGGAGTGTGCGAAGACACTGGACCCTCTTGACCCTCTTGACCCTTTTGACCCTCTTGACCCTCTTGACCGTCTTGACCCTGTTGGCCTCCTTGACCCTCTTGACCATGACCTTCTTGGTCAGTGCGGTCAAGACTCCAGGCGGTCAAGACGGTCACTCCGGTCAAGACAGTCATGCACTCTCGTCGCCGGTGGCTCTTTGTCTGCAGGTTTTCTATATGTAGGATCTTAGGGGGCGCACAAACCCTTCTGGGTGTGAAAATGCCGGGAGAACGAAACCATGAGTGCATTGGAGAGTTGGCTTACAGAGAGCGCGGTATTTTAATCATGCTTTTTGCTCGCATGGGTCGCGATTAGCCCTGCGAAGCCGACCAAGCCCAAACCCCCCCCCCCCACCACCCCCGCCCCACCCCCCCCACAAAAAAAAAAACAAAACATCCGTCTTGACGCCACAAATTTAAAATAATAGAACCCTCTTTGCAGACCACTGCGTCCTGTGGCCTCTGCAGGATAGCTTCGACCTCCTGCAGCCGATCACATTCTACAGCGCGTCGTAGCCTGGGAGGCTCAAAGTGCTTTTGAAGTGGTGGAGCTACGTTCGTTGCCGCGCCAAAAGTATGTGTCAAAATAACAGCTTCAATTACACCACCCCCAGACACTCAAAGGCACGTCAAAGAAACAGTGGAGACAACGGGAGACGAACGGAGACGAAGGGAGACAAAGGGAGACGAGGAGCACTACAACCCGGCAAAGCCACCCACAAAAAGGGAGACAAAGGGAGACAAAGGGAGACAAGGAGCCAAGGAACCCGGCAACAATCCTCAGAATGTCAGCAATCCTTAAATGAATTTAGAACCCCAACAGTCGACTGTTTGGGGAAAAAGGCTCTGCCTTGGAGAGCCGAGCTGCTCCGTGATCTGTAGGTCCGTGGCAGGGCTGAAGGGTAGAATCACGAGTTGTAGCCTCGGTACATACAATAGAACGGTACACTGACATGTGCTAAAACACCCTAGGCAACCTCGACCCCAGTGCAACCCTCTTTCCAGTAATGGAGCCAGTACTGCCATTACTTACCCTCGAGATTGCAAGCAAGTCGCTCTAGTGGCAGTTCCAAGTGTGTGTCCTCACCCAAGAGAGAACCGTCGCGAAGCAGGCGCTGCCTGAATCTAGACCTGCGGAAACTTCAAGCCCAGACAACTTTAGGGTTGGGCTGCGTGGGGCTCTACCGCTCTGCCGGCATCGCGAAGAGCGCTGTTTGGAAGACCCTCGCCTCTTGCACTGACTTTGCAGATGCTGCTTGAGGCGCCTTACTGTGGAAGGCCCTGACGCAATGCTTTCGAACTCCTCCGGCTCGAGGGCGAGGGCGAGTTTGCCCGAAGCCCAGTAGATGCGCAACATCCTTGTCCTACGAAGCTAAGCCAACTGCCAGAGCAAAGCCATCAGACACATTTGAGAAAGGCATCCTGAGCGTGGTAATTCAGCGTCAGATTCACAACGACTGTCTCTGCTCTGGTTACCGTGACTTACCGTTGAATCAGTTGACGCCTTGGGCCACTTGCAGCGAACAGGAAGCAGCCATGATGGAGAGACTTTTTGCCGGGAAGGTCGTTTGTTGAAGTATTCGCAGGTTCTGACGTTCGGAGTGCGCAACACTGGGCTCCCTTCATCTCGCCGACGAATATCGTAGAATCACCCTTAAGGCTCTTCTATACTCCCAAACGGGGACCACTATTTTTCGGAACCCCCAAAACCGCAAACCCTACCTCCCAGGTGTTCTTCCACACCTTGCAGATCACCTTGCGGCCACAGTGCAAGCGTAGCCAGGAGGCAGCTGCACCTGCGGAGATCGGGACAAGTGGAACGTTCCCGTCTTAGCAACACATCTAGGAAGCTTCCTCAGAACTGGAGTCAAGTTCGGAGTTGGCATAGTGGGCATAGGTGGCATCTCAGGGACCCCAGGCTTATTGCAACTTACGCATATAAGCTATATTTGGCGTGATCCATCCCTATTTCCAAGCACCTCCACCCTCACGACCCCTAGTACCCAAGAACTCACAAACAAGGCCAAAAAGAGGCACTATTTCGGGGTAGGGGTAGAATAGGATCCCGTTTCCCTCAGCCTGGAGCTCTTTTGGGGGCTAGCCCAAACGAAACTTCATGTTCCAAAACCGATAAGGCCTAAAACTCTACAGTTATTTATAGACTGCCCAAACCCGGCACCCCCGAACCCTTTACACAGATTAAACAAGCTTCAAGGGCGGAAGGTTCTTTTACTTCTAAAGTGTGGCCCGGGCCTGTTTTTCTAAAAAGTTGTTGCTCGGCTTGGCTGGGCAAATTGTGTAAATAGCAGCATTTCCGTGTAACTAGCAGCATTTCTGCGTATTCAGAGGCTGCAAAACATAGCAGCATTTCTGCGCTGTGAGAAGCTTCAAAAACTGTAAATAGCAGCATTTCTGCGCTGTCAGAGGCTTCAAAAAACTGTAAATGGCAGCATTCCTGCGTTCTCAGAGGCTGGAAACACTGTAAAAAGCAGCATTTCTGTGTGTTTAGTTTAGCGGCTGGACATACTGCAAATGGCAGCATTTCTGAGTTTGCAGAGGCTGCAAGTTCTGAAAACCTAGCAGCATTTCTGAGTTTCCATACGCTGCAAGTAAATACTGCAACGAGTGGCATTTCTGGATTTCCAGAGGCTGCAAATGCTGTAAATGCCAACAAACGGAAGGGAATCATATGCTTTGACACCAGCTTGCACGGCCTAAAAAGCGGGTGGTTGGGGGGGTGGGGGGAGCACAAACACTTGGAAAGGATTCTACTGGTGCACGGATCACAAAAGCGGGGGGCTTGGGTAGGGGCGCAACCATTTGCAAACAGAACGCTCAGCGCGATGGGGGTTGGAAGGGGTCCATACGGTGTTTGAAGGAAGCTTGCACGGCTTAAGAAAGGTGCACACCTTTAAAACAGCTACGCCCCCAGAGCTTTGTGCGACTTTGCGCCTCAAAGCCTGGGGAGGCGGCCGCCGCGCCGGCCCCGCCAGGGGCGGCAGCAGAGGCACCACCGAAGACGGCGGCGCCGAAGATCAGCCTACTGGTATGGGAATATAGGGGTTCATAAGATGAAGATAAGAGGGTTCTGGCGGAACGTAGGGTTAGCAAGTGCTTCTGGGCTTTTATGGGGCTGAGTATGGGGTTTTTTTGGAGCTGAATATGAGGTGTCACGAGAGGTTTGCAGGGTTTTCACAATCTCATAGTGTTTAGAAGGCGAAGGCTTGTATGGGGCTGAAAATGGGATTCTTTTGGTGAGTATACGGTTTCAGAAGGATGAATTTGTGCTTTTATGGAGCTGTAGAATCCCCACATTCTTCAGGGCGGGGGGGGGGGTCCAAAATGTAGGCTACATTTTTGGACTCACCCCCCCCCCCCCCCCCCCCCCCCCCTAAATGTAGGATTCGCGCCTTCTCAACACCTCTTGCGATCTGTTGTTTTGGGCTTTAGGACATTGGGGTATGTTATCTTTCTCTCTCTCTCTCTTCAATGTCTTTGCTTCTCTCTCTTTCTCTCCCTTTCTCTCTCTGAGTCTCTCTGAGTCTCTCTCTCTATTTCTTTCTTTCGCTCTCTCTCTCTCTCAAGAGCCATTTCTCTGTAGCCAAGCAAGGCTGCTAAGAAGTGTAAGTGTGTGTGTGTGTGTGAGTGTGTGTGTGTTGGTGTGTCTCGCCTCCCGTATCGTGAAATGTGGCGACACGACTCTGAGCCCATTGTTTCCTGATGGTTCCGAGCGGCACATCTGAACTGCATGCACAGATTTTCAGTTAGCAGGATAGACTCTGACCCTTCCTGAACATCCCGAAGAAAAAAAACAAAAAAACACCCTCTGGCTTGCACAAGCCTGCTATCTTCAAGCGTTCTGCTTTCTTCTCCGAGACTTCGGTTAAACCCTCATAGACCCCGCCCCCTCTCGACCCCTCTGGCCTACATCCTAAACCCTACAACGACCCCCCCACCGCTTCTGTGATCAAGAATCAGCCTGACCCCCGCCCCCCCTGCATACATGGAAGTTGCCGCAAAACCGGAATATGCGGAAAAGCATTCCTGCATTTATGTACCCCCCCATCCTACATTTATTCAGGCGGTGGGGATGCTGTAGATTGATTCAGGCTTTTTTCGGGTGTTGTTTTGGGGCTTGATATAGAGCTTCTAGGGGTTTGTTGAACTGAAAATAGGGTGTTGAGGAAGTGGGGAATTCGGGTTACGGCTATAGGAGTAAGCCGGTACAGGGACAGAAACGGCAGCGAGGGTGCGATAACTTCCTTTCGGCACAACCACACATGACATGTCGATCATGGTGTCTCACCTTGCTTGCCTGAACAGCACACATGTCGATTCAGGTGTTTCACCTATGGTTGCCTTCAAATTAATGGCCTTTTCTGGATGGGCCCTGGACTTCACGTCAAACTGTACTTGAGACGTGCACCTGCATACAACAGTTGATGTGCCTTCAAGGCGACACATGTTCTGCAGGAGTTATATAGGTGTTGTGGGGTTTCTTGCAAAGGGCTTAAGGCTCATACAGGGGTTAGAACCTCAGGCAGGGTTCAGGAACCGTATGGATTGAAAAGTTAAGCGGTCCTGCTAAGGTGAAACATGCTTGAGGAATATTAGCTGCGCCGAGGCTGCGTGGGAGCCCAGCAGAAGAAAAAAGGGAGAGCCGGCTGTGATGGCCCCGGTCCAAGGGGACGCGGAATCTGTGACCATCACCTGGTGTCAAACAAAGTCTGCCTTGCAATCGAAAGTTGGAAGCGCAGCTTGAACCCAAACCTCGAGCAACATCTGCCAATAGTGCTCGGCCGGACGTGACTCTTGGCAAATCCTCGGGCTACTTGCGATCTCGACTCCGAAGCTGTGCAAGGACAGGCAGGTTGCGAGCGCAGGCGAAGACCAACGCTGCGACCAAGAGCATGACGCACATGAAAAAACAGGAGCCCGGAAGCAGGTTGTACCATTCATTGCCGTTCTCCTGGGCTCTCTTGAGTGATCTGAATATGCCTACCAGAAGTCAGCTCCCATCCTTCCTTTTATTCAATTAGAGTCGGCAGCAGCTGCATCGCTGAAAATGCCCAACAAGCTCGAGAGAAAATAAATCAACCTTTCTATATTACTGGTTGCCTCAACAGATACTTGACAAACGCTGAAGAGGCAAGTCTCCACAATATCCACTGCCCAACATAGCAGCTCCAATTCGAGCAAGCCGACGAAGGCAGCCACCATGATCACAAGGATGAAGCCTTGGGAAACTGAGCCGCTCAGCTCAATTTGAAAACTTCGACTCGCTCGTCTTCCGTTGCGCAGAGGCCCTGAAGTTTTTACATCCTGTTCAGCGCATGTTTTCATCGCGCAGAAGTGCCAGCCCCAAATTAAACAGCAAACCTGGCCAAGCAGCAATTGATGACAACTCCGACGCAGCAGCCGCAAGACTGGCGACGCAATGCAAAGGCAAGCGTAGACGCAATGAAGAACATCACCTCAAACTGGCATAAGGGTTCGTGCCTGATAGGGAATGTAGCAAAAAGGTCTGCTACATGCAGCAGGTATCCATTGAAGTTTCGGGCCGAGGGTCTCAGGTGGCCACCACCTAATTTTGGCCCCCTTCTTTCATTTCCTGGTGGTGGACTGCTAGATGGAAACCCTTCACAATAAAATGGAATCCGTCTGCAACCCCTAGGCGCGGATCGGACCTGCGTCTTTTCCTTCCGCCCTCCCCGAGGTGGGAGCTGCCAGATTCGGTTTGGAGCTGCAATCCGATCTGTGGGGGGGAGGGGGGGCAAGCCGCCGCAAGCCTGTGGGCAGGTGTCATAGAGGGTGGTCAAACCACCATGTCCAGGCAGCTCCCAACACCGACAAACACAAAAGCACAAACAACAAGCGCGGCACTGCAAACCTTTGCTGCCCCTGCTTCCTCGACCCGCAGTTCCTTTTCGAATCTGCAGGTTGACCGTGCAAAACTCGACACTCCGAGGTGCATCATTTGACTGCCGAGCGCGTCCCGTGGCTTGGACTGGTTAAACGGAACCCTATACTCGCACATGAACTGCTTGCTGTCCAGGCGCCGGCAAAACCCCGAAAGTCCAGGCGATTCCACGAGCCAGTTCCCGGAGAGCCCCGTACGTAGCCCTGGGGATCTGATGCGCCAGAGACACAAGAGAGGCTTCCGAGATCGAGTGAAGAGGAGTCACAAGACATGCCAGAAATCAATGCATCAGTCGATTCAAAATTAAGCCAGGAGCTGCCACACAGCTTTCGTCGCTACCCGGTCCATGTGATACCAGAACAAGGGCAACGAAGCAGCTGCGCACTGTTTGTAGGTGAAGATCTTGTTTGACAGCTGGTCAACCAGACCTCAGACCGACTCACAACATGTTTGCACTGTTCTGATCTCTTCTTCGCTTGGACAGGCCCAAAACTAGGTGCACACAAAACGTACCATTGTAAGCGCTCGGGGTGCAGTCTAGCACTTCTGTGCGCACTCGTTCCTCAAAGCGTTCGACGGTGCCAAACCACGTGACAATACATCGAAGAACAACCTGTCGGTCACAGATGATCTCTTCGCCCTCGCAGGTATGGTCTGTCAACGTATCACAGCACCAGCAGAGGCTTTCTTTGACGGTGAAGTTTGCCAGCTCTGTCTCCAGGAGCTTCGCAGACCGGTAGTACGCGCGCAATGCAGCAACGCTCACATAGAAGCCCACGAAGGCGAGCACAGCCATAGCCACGAAAATCACTCTTGCCTGCCTCATGACAGCGGGTGGGAGAAATGCAATGGCAAGCAGAATAACCGACAGGGCGATGGGCAGTGAGATGAAGCCAGGCCCCAGAACCTCTGTGGGGGCGAGAGCTTGGATGGGCATGGGCTTGGGCTTGACTCGGGCTTGACTAGAGCCTTAAGGCTTTTCAGCACGGGACCCGCGCAAGCAAGGGAGCGCCCTTTCTACTTGCACTGCAAGGCCGTGGTCTCGGCAAGCGATTGAACCAAGGAACTGTCGGTCGAATGGTGAGCTTAGCCGGCTGGTTGGTCGCTCGGCTGTGCAGAAAACCAGCCATTTCAAACACCTACAGCATCCTACAGCACGATCAAGGTACATTCGTAAGGGGAAAAGTCGGGTTTATCAAGTGCAAGGAACACAGCGCTGCACACAGCAGCCACAGGAACCTCTAGTCGCCAAGACACACACCAGAGGCGACGAGTATACGTCGGATCCCAGAAGACCTTGGCTGCAAACGGGAGCCTCAGCCATTCTCCCCAACAAAGCAAGCAGAGTCGTGATCACCACCCGGGGCGAGCGGCAACGAGGGAGTCTGAGATCTTCAGGAAGGCCCCCATGCTGACAAGAGCTGCTGTCTTCCTCTCTGAGTCATGTTGATCGATACACAGAACGTCCAGAAAGATGCGTTGCCACGGCCGCCAAGCAAGCAGACAGAAGCAGTACAAGAAGAAGCCCGTGGCCGTGCAGATGCAGGAGTCTCAGCTGCGCACGTCTTTTCGAGACGCTTTGGAGGTTCTTTTGTTTCGGGAAGTCTAGGGATTAGGGCCTATGCTGACAAACTGCTAGACCCACTCACAGCTCTCCAAGTTCTGAGGCAAAGTTGAAGCCTCCACTCCTTCATTCTGAGGTCATTCAGAAATTGTCTGTTTCTTCGCAGGCGCTAAAAAGACATGCTTCTTAGCCAAGGAACCTCGCGGATATGCTGGGTCCTGCTGAAACCGTGGGATTGGCAAGATGCCAAACCCAACGAGCAGGCAGATTGCCAGCGAGCCGAGGGTGGCGAGAAGCGACGCGTAGAAAGAGTTGTTCAGGTAGATGGCCGTCCAGATCTTCTTCCACTGGCTTCCATGCCAGCTATGACTCCAAAACTCATCGATACGGTGGGCCTGGAAACTTTTGCGACTTTGGCTGCCGGGTGTCTTGCGGCGAAAAACACGACCCAAGCCGCTGAGAGCTTGCCAGGCAGATGCCGCTTGAATGATGTCTGGTCGCTGAGGTTCCATTCTGGATATCACTCCGGCAACGAACTCTTCCGCAGCTTGGCGGGGACACACCGCGGACTCAGAGTCTGATGATTCCATGGAATCCATAGCCGCGGGAGAGCTAAACGCAGCTACCCTGCCCAAATACCCCTCCAGAATTCTGATACCTTCGTCAGAGCCCGTGATCACACGGCCTATGGCCTATGGCATCCAATTGTCTGATGCAGCGTTTGGTGCTGGGTTGGGTTATGCAGGGTTGTGGAAGCTTGGTGGAGAAAATGCGTCCCTGGGAATTCCCGAAACTTTACGGCCGATCTCAGAATGGCCTGAGGAAGATGTTGTTCTGACGGTCCCCGCGGAAGGGATGGTCCTGACCCAGGCCTGCCATGACCTTGCAAGGATGGCGGAGAGCGAACCGAGTTGTAGGCAACTGCTATGCTACGAGTATTCGTCAGAAACTTCAAGCTCAAAGAACGAACAGAACTGCTCAGAGTGGAAGCAACCAAGAGCCGACTGTCCTCAGGTTAGCTAGGTTGGCCCGGTTATAGACCCTCTGAACAAACCCAATAAGGAAACAAAACGAAAGATCAAAAGAACCAACGGTCGGTTTAAGTAGAAGCGGCCGAGCCAGCGGCGCTTGGCGGAGCGTAGAGCAGGGCGCCTTTCTCGGGCTATCTGGGACCAGTGCTTCTCGTTTCGCAAATTCGGGAAAAACCCAGAAAAGCCCCGCAGTGCACTAAGTCACTCTACAGCCCTAAAGGCCCCGAGGCCCCCGAGGCAACTTCTCACCAAGGGGTTAGATTCAGGCACATTTCGGGCGAAGATTCGCTTTGGCTCCTGACCTGTTGTCACGCGGTAGCTCGGGGCCACTCCCCCGGAAGAGCGCAGCTCCACCCCGGCCGCCGCCGCGAAGAACCCACTCGGTGGAGGCAGCAAGGCCTCCCTCGGCTTTTCTGTAAGGTTAATCAAGTTGTTAGCTGCTTCCGAATTATGGTATGGAATCGTGGCTGCTATCTCTGAGTCTTAAGTTAAGTTCCTTCTCAGCTTCTTGTACGCCATCCGGGAATCAACGGCAAATCGGCCCATGCTTACGAAACAACTTCAGAACTCAAAAAAAAACACACACACACACACACACACACACGAATCCTGGACAAGCAGCAAGCGAATGGTGTGCTGGACGGTCTCGGTGATGGGGTCCATGTCTCCAAACGCCTCATTTCACTGTCGATGCTACGATGAGAGAGGATGGGGTGAATTAAGGAATTAAGGACGTACAACACTAGGATGCAAGGGAGACACCACTCTCACAGAGCAACGCCGTGTGGCCAGCACCTCAGGGCGAAGAGCCGAGTCTTTTTTCGCTAGGCCTCGCCTCAAGGCCTCAAGGACAACATGGCCGCATGGGCTCACAACGAAATTCCAGTCGAAATCTGGAGAGGCCCCACAAGAATTGCCCGGAATGGGGGGCCTGCGTGGCACAAGACGGGGCAGCACAAACCGTGCCCTGGGCTGGCAAACACCTCAGCTGCTTGGAGTTGGGGCCTCTGAGTCTGCTGGGAGCCTCTGAATTTTCTGAATATCTCAACAAAAATTCCTGCCGTAAGGATCGCGCTCGGCAGCGCAGGCTTCGTTCAGGTGCCATTGTGTCCTGCGCGATTTCGAACGGAATGATACAAGTCTGGTTTGTGATTGGACACGGAGGGCAAGTGCGCCCGCGTGCTTGTCGACGCTCTTAGCACATGGGTCCCCTGCTGAGGGCGATAGGCTCATGAGGCCAAGGCGCAGTGGCCAGAAAAACACGTGGAGGTGCCCGCCAGTCACGATGTTCGCGCCAGCCTCTGCACGAAGCCTGCAGCCGTCACGAAACCGCACGAATCCCTGTGCGGCAACCTACACGGAGCGTAGAAGCAACTCGTAGCTAAGGAAGCAAAAGCATCACAAGCAAGAAATTCCCCTGCCTTATCCCGATGTTGGCGGTGCTGCCTTGTGCAGCAAGGTCAATCCTTGTCGCTGCTGCATTGCAACGCGGTCGTGCAAGACTCAGATTGGTTCAGGGCGGATGCTGAAGCCCTCAAGCATCAAACTCCGAGTCTTATGGAGCCCAAGCCCCCGAAAACCTGCAACTTTCCACTGATCTACAGGCTTCTGGGCCCAACCCCCGCCATCCGAAATCACCCTGCCACCGCAGTGCAGCCAACCGGCTCGCCGCTGCCGGCTTCGTCCAGAATCTCAGCACCCCCCGCCACGTGGAAACGGGAGGCCGAGCCCGTGGCCCCTGAGGGGATGTCGGGGATGAAGGGGATGTAGGGCTTGTACAGGGTTTGTTTAGGGTTACGTCGGGTCTACAGCGCAAGCAGTACGACAGCGGATCTAAATTCAAAGGTAGGTGGTACTCACCCCACTCCCCCCCTCACCCCCAAAAACAGAAAACAAATTATTTTTTTTCTTCGAACATCCCCACCTTCAGGGAGTCTCTGGGGGTTGAGCACTCCAGGGAGTCTCTGGGGTTGGGTACTCCAGGGAGTCTGGGGTTGGTGGGCACTCCAGTAGCTGCGCTGGGGGCTGCTGACGTCGGAGTGGACCGCCGCCCCCCTCAAAGGCGATGCATCAAAAAGCATCTTTAACAACAACTCCCGTGGCTAAACTGGGCCCTATGCAGGAAGCGCTGGCAATTTGCCACTTTAAACGTGTTTTTGATCACCGTTACTTAGTTTTTTGCGGTCTCTCTTCCAAACGGCCTGACCCACCTTGCTTAGCTAAAGATTCGTTTTGGAGCTTCTGTGTCTTCTCAACTTGTCACCCATTGGGGTTTGGGACTTGCCCCTCACATCAACAGTGCTGGCTTCTAAGCCAATATCATCTAAGGTTTAGGGCTTCTCCTCTTGCGGCTTGGCGCTTGCCACGTCAGGGAGGCTCGCCACCCAACGCCGAAACAAAATTGAGCGCGCGGGCAAAACCTAGAGGCCACGACTGACACATCTCATTGATTGGAGTTTGGTATCGCTTTCTCAAGCAAAACGATGACATCGCTTTTTGGGTTAGGTATCGCTTCCAAAGCAAGTTTCCTATGCCCCACCCAAAGCGACCTAGAGAGGCGCGGAGTGTGAGTGTTGCCATTGTCGCTCAACCTAACAGCCACACAGCCGCCTGCCAGGATCTCCTCCTCCAGCCACGCTGGCGCATACTCGATGACTCCTCAGAGCCCAGCGAACTGCCCGTATTGCCCGCAAATGGCGCCGGTGCGGGATGAATGTTGGCATTATTTTGTCGGTGCTGCCGCTGTTGCTTTCAACTACACATGGCTTGTTTTGTAGGTCTGTGTGTTTATTGCGTGGAGGGTAATGGCTCCTACGTACAGCTACAGGCGAGCACGTCGCGGGGCTTCCTGCAATTGAGTTTCGCAGCTTGCACGGTGCAGACCAGATGCCAAAACCCGAACAGAGCAGGGGAGTTTGTAACATCTGGTCAGAGTCTTTTCCAAATACGCAGACAGAGGATGGAACGTATGGAAAGATGATTTCCAAAGTGATTCGACCTCGCTGGATCGAACCTACATGGCAGTGGGTTAAAATTCGGGTTGTCGCGGGGGGTCCCCCCCGCCCTCTGCTACAAGCCTTGTGGCGGGCAGGTTGTTTCATACCTTTGTCGCGCCGCTACTTTGAACCCAATTTTCTTAGTTGGGTTTTGTAAGGGTTTAGGGTAAAGGGTTTAGGTTTAGGGTTGGGGTTTCGGATGAAGGGTTTAGGGACCGCAGGGATTTTACTGGAGAGCCTTAAACCCTGAACCCTGTAAATATAAACCCTGGGCTTCTCGTTCAAGGTTGTCCTACGGATGGGCACCTGCTGGCTCGAGCAGTCGCGCGGGTTGTCGCGGGTATGTCGCGCCCTGTCGCAGGCCTTGTCGCGGACTGAGAGTGAAAGTTGCTGCAGACACGCATCAAGGTCGCATCGAGATTGGCAATGAGAAAATTCAATGGTATTGCTGTCTTGTCGGGGGGGGGGGGGTTGTAGCCTTGTCGCGGGGGGGGTTGTCGCGGACACGGCACGTCTGTTACAAACCTTTGTCGCGGAGGGACCCCCCGGTGCCTGTTACAAGCCCGGAAAAAAAACTCACTGCCACATCGGTTGCCAAGGAACCGAACGGCTTTGCGGCAAGGTCGTCCATCGTCCACCTGCAAACATGCTCAATAGACTGTTTACCATCGAACCTCCCCACCCTAGGGCGTTACCCCCCCCCTCTTCTCCCGAAAAAACGAGGTACCGATTCTCGGTGGGTGTTCATGTTGAATCTGAAGATGGAGGGGTTCGAAAAAAGTTCGGGCCCCCCCTTCATATCCCAAATATTGCATGATAGTTGATAGTACAAACCCCCTGATCAAGCTTTCCCAAAAATGTCATTGGGACCCCATAAACCCTAGAAGCCCTGGAAACCCCAAATCCCCCCAAGTCCCAGAAACCCGAAAAAATCCAGAGACCCTAATCCTACACCGGAAACCCAGAAACCCCCCCCCCCCAGAAAAATCCAGGCAACCCCCATGCATGCCCTAGTCGGCCCGGGGCGCAGCTGCAGGAGCCCCTCTGGAGGCCGAGCCAAGGAGGCCGAGGCTGCAAAGGCCACGAAGTCCAGCACCAGCTGGTAGGAAGTGGAGGGCTTCAGCCCGCTTCCTTAGCTCGCAGAGTTTAGGGGGCTGGGCGAGTGGGGTTGTGGGTTTTGGGGTCCAGGGATCTCCCTCTATTGAACTCCCTTTGACTTTCGAGTAGGGGGTTGGGGTTTAGGGCTTAGGGTTTGGGGTTTAAGGGGCCCTGGGCCCTAAACCGGCCTAAGCCCCCCCCTCTGCGGAGGACTCCACAACCATGTTGAATGCCGGGCCCCTGGCGTGCCGAGAACACCAGGGACACTTCCCGGAAATCCGTGCCGCTGGTGGCGTCGTGCTCGTAGGCACATCCCTGGGGAGCTGTCTCAAGAAATGGTGCGCGGCGAGTCTTTGGATTTGTTGAGGGTGCAGCAAGCTTGAAAGGCTTTCAGGATTCTGTTTACTAATTACTTGTTTACTTCGTGAGGAAAGTTGGGCAAGGCAATGGCAGAGGACGTCCTGAGCCATAAAATACACGCTAGGCCTAAATCGGCCGAGCAAGCAAGGCCTTTGGCATCGGAAAGCCGTCGACATCCTCGGACCAGATCTCGCGAAGGATGCGGCCACCTAAAGCGTCGATATAGGTCCAGGGTTTAGCAGCTCGCCCCCACCCCTCTCCATCAAGGTCCGACTAAACCTCGAAGAGCAGGGTAAGCCCTGAACCCTGAACCCGGAACCCTAAACTTAAACCTTGACCCCCAAATCTGACTAAACTCCAAATCCTAAACTCTAGGAAAGAAAACGCTCGAAAACCATAGAGAAATCCCCAAACACCCGCTACCATAGACTATACTTCAGAAAGTCCTTCCTTCTATGAACGTCTCTCCGTCTTTGCCATTCGCCGGGCGGCAGCTGCTCTGCGAGATATCTGCCAAGGCCACGGCGCTTGAAGAGCCCTCTGGGCCAGCCGGCTTCAGCCTGAGAGTAGCCATCAGTAGCCATCAGCCAGCAGCCATCAGCTCAATAGGGATGATGTTTTCTTGAATTGGGCTTACAAAAAGCTATTAATACAGCAGCTTCTCGTGGGGGCTGAATAACGGTTTGAGGGACGTGCGGGCCTGAAGGGTTCTTGTGATCGGTGTCTAAGGGTCAGGAGTTGCAGTTTAGAGTTGGGGACATAGGGCTTGGGTTTTTAGAGGGTACCCCAAACGAGCTGAAATGTCGGGTGGCAGTGTCAGGTGTGGGAAGCGGAGTCGCAGGCGGCTCTCACCGAGCTCCGAGGAGTATCCTCCGCTTCGGGCTTTAGGGCTTTAAGGGTTTAGGGATTGGGTTCAAAGGAGTCCTATAGGCTAGCATAAACCCACAACGCATGATGCATCGCAGAAAGCTGTGTCCAACCAACTGCTGCTATGTATCGCACCTTATTCTATAAGGATAGGGCAAGAAGGGAATACCATGAGGCAATTACTTAGGCAACCATTGCTGAGATACTCAAGGCTGCTTGCCCTAGGTTAATACCAAAATAATGTTGGACTCGCTTTAGGTACAGGGGCCGCTATTAAGCGTTTTCCTGAAATCTTATAGAGGACCCCCATTGATGAGATTGTTCCTCAATTATGCGTTGTTGCCCCGGCTGGGGATGCCGATTAGGGAAAAAAAGGCTCTGACCTTAACACAAAGAAGCTGAAGTAGTACTGCTACTACGACAACGACGACGACGACGACGACGACGACGACGACGACGACGACGACGACCCCAGCACAGATTATTCAGGATCGCCGAAAACCCCAAAATTGTTTGGGGGGGGAGGGGGACCCCTGGATATTAAAGCGAGTCCAACATTAAGCAAGAGTTTCTGTCGCTACATAGAGATAGCGGGGACAGTAGTGGAAACAAAGCGGCCTTGTGCATTATTCAAAGTCGAACGGCTTGCATGGTTCTGCGTGGTGAAGGACACGATCATCGGGGCAGGCACACCTGTGCGCACCAGGCGCTTTTTGCAAAGCTGTGAGCGTGTGGAGGTTGCGTCGATGTTTGTTGGTGGGCTTATTTGAGCGTAAAACGGCAAAGTTTGCTCACACTGGCCCGCCTCAAACCTGAAATCTCCAGCCTATTGCCCCTCTAGAAACTTCCTGAATCCTCCAACCACACGTATTGTTGCCCAACACACAAACTCCGTCCCGAATGTGTCAAAGTTTGGCTAGGGTTTAAGGTTTAAGGGCTTCCCTTGCTTTGTGCCATTGACAACGAGTGCAAGCGCAGAGCCATTTCTGCCAAGTGCCTAAAAGTAGCCCAAGACATAAGACCCAAAAACCCTACAGCCCCAAGCCCAAGAGCTCGTTTGCCTTCTTCGAGCGCCGTTGGCCGGACCGTCGCCCCAAAGAGTGGAGCCTGGTTCAGGGCTCGGGAGAAACCGAAACCCTAGAAATGATTTTTGTCGGGCCTATGGGGCTGACGCAATTTTGAGGCCTTCTGTTAAAGAATGACCCGATTAACAGACCAGGCCCAGGGGGCCCAGGGAATCAGCGCTGAATCCTGCTTGGAACCCTATTACAAGCCTGTAATCAGCCTAAATGGAGTCTGAAGGGGGCCTGGCCTCCAGAATCTCAAGACGGCCGGCGAAGGAGGCGAAGTCTGCCAGGGACCTCCGCAAGCATATCTATCTATCTATCTATACTGATATATGCATGTGGAAAAATGTATATAGTATATATCATACATATTATATATATATATATAGAGGGGAAATATCTGCAAGCTGGGACGTGCAGGTCCAGCCACCTTCCTAGCAATGCGACATCAACTCAATACGCACTTAGTGTATGATCTGCTGTATCGGAAGTCTTTTTCAGGAGAAGTGCAGGCTAGAGCCCCCAAAAAAATCCAAGTGGCCCAGAAGCTGTGGCACTCCAACAGACAGACACTACTCCAGGTGCCATCGCAACCAAGTCCTGCGGGGCACATCTCAGAAGCACTGGAGAGCAAGCGGAGCAGCCCATCAAGAGCCACCAGCAACCTCCAACGCCAAAACACATGTATGCGTGTGGGTTTGTATACTTATATGTTTATATCTATATGTTTATATATCTAGATTTATGTGTATATATAAGTTTATATTTATATTTATATGTATATTTATATATATGATCCACACATTTGGCCTTTGGCCTCGGGAAGGCTGGTTTTGGGAGGGAGGGAGGGGGGAATCCAGACTCCAGATTTCCAGAAAAAATGTGGAGTACCCCCAGACTCCAGACTCCAGATTTCCAGGAAAAATCTGGAGTACCCGAAGACTCCAGACTCCAGATTTCCAGAAAAAATCTGGAGTACCAATAAACTCCAGATTCCAGATTTCCAGAAAGAATCTGGAGTACCTCCAGACTCCAGACTCCAGATTTCCAGAAAAAATCTGGAGTACCGGGACCCTGGACTCCAGATTCTGGAGTCTGCAATCTGGAGTCTGGGGCGCCGGGTACTCCAGAACTTTTTTCTGGAAATCTGGAGTCTAAAGCCCCCGGGTACTCCAGACTTTTCTGGAAATCTGGAGTCTGTCCGGGTACTCCAGATGTTTTTGGAAATCTGGAGTCTGGAGTCCGGGGCCCCGGTACTCCAGATTTTTTCTGGAAATCTGGAGTCCGGGGCCCGGGTACTCCAGATTTTTTCTGGCAATCTGAAGTCTGGAGTCCGGGGCCCATGTTCGCCATATGCACGTTTAGGGTTCACGGTTTAGTGTTTTTTGTTTAGGGTTTGTAGGGTGTAGTGTTTAGGGTTCAGGGTTTAGTGTTTAGGGACTAGTGTTTAGGTTTTGGTGTTAAAGGTTTAGGGTTTCCTTTTTTAGGGTCTAGGGTTAAGCGACTTGGATAATGTCTACAACCCTAAACCTTATAATGATGAAATTTTAAAACCCCTAAAGGGCTGAAACCCCCATGGTTTATGTTTGGGGCTTAGGGTTTAGTGTTTAGGGTTTAGGGTTCAGGATGTGGTGTTTCGGGTCTAGGGTTTGGTGTTTAGTGTTTAGGATTTAGTGTGTAGGTTTCAGGTTGAGTTTTAAGCTTATGGTCTAGGATTTAGGTTTAGGGTTTAGGGTCAAACCCTAAACCAAACAAAACCCTAAACTCTAAAATCCAAACAGTAAACATCTGAAACCCCGACGGGTTTTTGGTTTCAGGTTTAGATTTAGTAGGGCTTGAGGTTCCGGCTTTGGGGTTTTCTGTTTATGGTTTAGGGTTTAGTGTTCAGGGTTTGTGTGTAGGGTTTAGTGTGTAGTGTTTAGGAGTTTAGTTTTTAGGGTGTAGTGTTTAAGCGTTTAGGGTCTAGTGTTTAGGGTTTAGTGCTTAAGCATTTAGGGTTTCGTGTTAAGTGTTTGGGGTTTGTGCTAAGGGCTTAGTGTTCAGTTTTTAGGGTTTGTGTTTAGGGTCTAGTGCTAAGTGTTTAGGGTTTAGTGTTAAAGGGTTTCGGGTTTGGTTTAGGGTTAAGGGTTTTAAGGATTTTTACACATTTAAATGATCTGGGAAAGGCACCGGGGCCAGTTTTCGAAAAACTTTTGGAAATTTAAATGGTCTGGGGAAGGCACCGGGGCTTCCCCAGACTATCTGAACTTTTAAAATCCTGAGATTATATATAGGAATCCTCAAAATTCTGTTTAAACATTCTCAGGATTCTAAAGGTTTTACAGCCTTTTAAAAACCTGAAAATGCTTAAACATTGAAGCGGCTGCCCTTTTCGGATTTTAAGGATTTTTTAAGTTGTCAATGGTCTGGAGAAGCCCCGGTGCCTTCCCCAGACCATGTAAATTTTTACAAATCCTTAAAACCCTGAAAGCCTTACAGTTGTAAATGGCTGTCCTTTTAAAGTTTAAGGATTTTAGGATGTTCAGTTCTAAAGTCCGTAACTTCCCAAATTTGAACGGCTGCCCTTTTAAAATATTAAGGTATTCTAGAATAGGTCTTTAAGGGCTTTAAAGCCTTTTAAATCCTGAAGATTTTGAATGGCTGTAAAGACCTTCAAGCCCTTAGCATTTTAAAAGGGCTGGCTGTTCAAAAAACACTAAGGATTTTAAGGGTTTCTAAAATTTGAAACGGTCTGGGGAAGCCCCGGTGCCTTCCGCAGATCAGCTAAATTTTCAGAAACCCCTAAACCCTGAAAAGCCTTTAACTTCTAAATGGCTGCCCTTCTAAAATTTATGGAGAAGCAAGACACACGTTTCAGAAGCAAAATGCACATAAAAACACTAGTGTTTTTATAGGGGAGAATATAAAAGAGCTTTTTGTATTCCAGTACAGTTTTTACTGCATTTTTCCGAGGAGAAAAACAAGAAAATCAGACAACGACGAAGACAGGAAAACCATAGGTCTGGATCATGGGGCGGGGGGTGACCATATGTTTATGTTTATATTTACTTATTTCTTTCTATATTTATACATCATAGGTTCATAGATACTGCACCGTACCGCATCTAACGCATGTAGCCCTTGAATTTGCAAACAGGACAACAGCTCTCGCTGTCCTTCCAGGTGCCTTCGTTGGACCTTCGCCACGTAGCACCGACAAGACCGAGTTGTGGGAAGGTGCCCGGGTAATCCAGGGAGAGCACAAACTGCCTCAGCCGGAAGGTCACTGCCATGTTGGACAGAAGTTGCACTGACAAGCCTGCAACATCCCGTAACAGCCTGCAGCCCATGCTGCGTCCATGCCATGGAGTCCAAGCGAGAACACCCTTGCACTAAAAAATCTGAAAAGCAGGGCCCAACAGTCAACCAGTTGTCCACTGGCCGAAGCACGTGGAAGACGGAATACGGATGACCTGGTGCGGCCTCGCGTTGACCTCAGTGCCACGAAGTGAGGCATCAGCCGAAGGCATTGTGCCAGGCACATGCATTCATGAATTGAGGAGAAGCTTTTGAATTGAGCCCAGCCGCTGCGTCAGCACAATATCCGCAATCTGAGCTGGTCACTCCCGAGAAGCTCACCTCACAGCTTCAGAAAGCTTCAGAAAGCCATTGTTTCATTGTTGGGCGACAGCCGAAGCTTTGCAGGTCTTTGAATCCTCGGCGTCCTGGACCGAAAATTTCCACAATCGCAACAAGCTGTAACGCCGAAATCCTCTGAGAAAACTGGGCATTTCCTAGAATAGGGGTCTGCCTGAGATCCACAAAACGGCGATCCCTTGACAAGGGTACCCGTGATTTTTAAGGCAGCCACGAAAAGATGCGGCCAGCTCGCAAAGTCAGTGGTGCTGCTGAGCCCGTGCGGCTGCGTGCAGCTCACCAGGAGGCCGTCGTAAGTCCCTTCGGGTGCAATGACAGTCCAATGATTTCCACGTCTCCATGAGCAGGCATCCAGCAAGTTTTAAGCGACAAACCCGAATTGACAAAAATCTCTTGGAAGCCATGAGGCGGGTCAGTGACAGCAGTCCGCCGCCGCTGGCATCCCCGAGCTGCCAAGGTGCTGCATCCGGGACCTCTGTGCGAAGGCTGCACAGGGGTTCAGGGCCTTTCGTGGTGCACTTGAGGCTTTAGCTGTAAACTAGCTCGGGCTTACCATCGGGGAGACATGCAGCCGAGATCAGCCGAGGTGCGGAGACCTCAGTTGCCAAGGCGGGACCCCCACAGCTGCCTCGAGAGAGACGCAGATCACGAGGCTCGAATTTTCAGCGAGCTCGCAGCCACTCATCCCGAACCCTCACCCTGGCCCAACACATGGGACTATCTAGATGCCCGGTAACCTGCACAGACCCCTTGAAAAAGTGTCGATTTAGCGGGTACCGCTAGAAGCTTCCTACATACACTGGTTATACACGACGCTACTTGACATGCAGAAGGCCCGAAACTCTGAACCTTGCGGCCTTCTAGGCCGTCCGGGAAAACAGCCACGCGGTTGCCGGCGCCAAGCCCAAAGCCGTTCAGCGTCCTTGGCGGTACTTCGGCGACGTATGCGCCTTTGTGCAGCCCTAAGCCCGAAACCCTAAATTCCTATACCCAACCCTATACCCTCTTTTGGGGTCCCGTCAAGGCATTTTACGAGAGAAGAGACCGAAAAAACATGGGTGGTCGGCCCGGCGTCCGTCGAAGAACTAAAGCTGCCGGGTCTAGGGCTTAGGGTTCATTAGGGTTAGGGCTTGTTTCGCCAATCTACTCGACCTGTACCTCAAAGGCCACATTCAAAAATAGGGTTGCGGTTTTTTGAGGGGGGTCCCCAAGTAAGGATTAAAGATTGGTGTGTGTTAGAATTCGGGTAGAACTATTTAGAACTATTTAGAATAGTGATTCTAAAGTAGAGGATAGATGGAACTTGATCGTCACGTCGTGGGTCTAAAAAAACTCACTTTCAGAAGAAGGCTGCCGAGCCGCAAGTCGAAGAGGAGGCCCCTGTAGCGCTGCCAGCTGTGATGCCTCGGGGGCGGATCAGCCTTCATTTAGAGCATGAGGAGTCCTTGGGATTCTTTGGGGGCTCTTTTGCGGGGCACCCCGATATCCGCGCCGAGTGGCCTGGAAGGCCCTTCGACGAGCTTCCACTCCAAGAGGCTCCACTGCACTGGGCTGCGGCACCTTCATTGATGGGCAGGAGATTTCACATCTCTCCCAAACGAGACTTCAGAAGGGAACCAGGGTCAGGACGAATAGGATGGGCTGGAAAGAGGCTCTTCGAGGCTCTTCGGCCTCTTCTATCAACCCCGTACTCAAGCGAGTGAAGGGCACCTCTTCCAGGGACTCAGCTCGTCCTGGTCTATAGACTATTGTTATTGGGATTGCAAGGGTGCAAAGTAGCAATTTGTCATAGGTATTCCGACAAGATGCTGCTGCTCGCAGTAGCACACGGCATACATGCCTGCGCAACGCGGGGCTTGCAGAATCTTGCCGGGGATTCAATTGCAAGGTTTAGGGCTTAGAGTGACGGGTTCACAGTTGGCAGGCCTGCGAAGAGAAATCGGATGCCCTCCCACACATGGCCATTCACGGAGCTGGCGGTCGGAGCCTGGACAAAGGGCCGAAAGCACCCGAGGCACTCGAGAGCACTGGGGGCCCCTGAACATTGCGAAGCCCAAGTTGAACCTCATAAACCCCATAAAGCCGAGCTAAATCTTCCGCAAACAACCAGCATTTGCCATTATAAGCCCCGACCAGCTCTAAAAAAGTCCCGATCCGAAGTCCAGCTCTGCCCAGTTGGGCCTTGCAGTCGGTGTTGGTCAGGCAGAAGTGGCCGGCCAAGCTCCTGCCGCGTCCGTTCGTTTTTAGTAGGGAAGTAGCACGCATTCGAGTCTCTATGTAATCCCTAAGCAGATGAGATCACTCTGGAGAACCAAGCTACAGGTGTTGCTACAGTCAGGAGGCTGTTCTGAAACGATGGTAGGGTACCTTCGATGATAGAACGCCTGCCAAAACCGAACCCCCAAAAAAAGGGGGCCCAAATTCAGGGCTCCCTGCTACTGTTCCTGTACAGACCTGGGTGTAGGAGTCCTGATAAGCAGTCCCTTGCAAAGCGTCCAAACCAGAGATCGAGAATACGATCTTCTTGAAACCCTCCCGAACCCCTTCAAGCCCTACGCCAAAAAACAAAAATCAAAGCAGTTCTCCCTCGGAAAAGCCGAGGCTCTGCAGGCTCTGCGTGCGTGCGAAGCACTCCGAAGCCTATGTTTGGGAAGGTCTGGATGGAAAGAAATACCTTAGAACCCTCTAAAGAAGGCTTTTAGTTTAGTATGAGGGTGATGTATCTAAGTGTAGGGCCAAACAGAAGCCCATTCTGGTGGATCGGTTATGGCAAGTGAATGGCTCGCCGTCTTGTTGTAGGATTTAAGGTTCGTTGCGGTTTCTGTACGCTCCCACTCTATCACTCTGGACGAAAGGCAGGAAAACTTTCGCACGCAGTGCCGGGCCCTCTGCCCTGAACCCTGAGCCAATAGCCTGAATCCCTGCGCAGCTCGGCGATGCGCTGCAAGCGAGTTGCTCCAAATGCGCCTTCGTCGTCATCCAGGAATTTCCTGACATGGTCCGACGGCCCCCGCCGTAAACTAAACTAAACTTTACCCAAGCTCAGGCCCAACATGGATCTGTTGTTGCCCTATATGACTACCTTCGGTGTTTAGACGTTTCCCAAAACACACCATCTGCATCCCCAAACCTGAGTAGCATAATTAGGCAGGGAACAACTCTGGCGCAGCCCCGCTGGCCGGAGACCAGCCGCCAAGCGTGCCCAGCAGCTGTAAATCAAGGACCTGCCACCACGTGGTGTGTGTGCGCGCGTGACCAGAAATTTCCATCTGGAATGGGATCGCACCTGTTTAGCCGAACTAAACCAGAAAAGCACAGCACCAATCAAACCATTCGCTTTGCGCTCGATAGCACCTTGATTGCGCATAGTTTGCGTCTGTGTGTTTCTCTGTGTGCGTCTCTGTGTGCGTCTCTGTGTGCGTCTCTGTGTGCGTGTGTGTGTGTGTGTGTGTGTGTGTGTGTCTCTGTGTGTGTTTGTGTGTGTGTGTGTGTTGTGTGTGTGTGTTGCGTGTGTGTGTGTGTGTTGTGTGTGTGTGTGTTGTGTGTGTGTGTTGCGTGTGTGTGTGTGTGTGTGTGTGTGTGTTGCGTGTGTGTGTGTGTGTGTGC